GTAAAAAGTCTGCAGCAAAAAAGTAGCTGTCCTGGAAAGAAAATATTTAATTCTTTTTCTCTCTATGCACCATTTTAGTATTTTTCCATGTGTTTCTGATCATCTCAGGGAGATGTATAGTTTTACTCAACTCCAGAGAAATAAAACTCTTGGCGAGGCAGAAATCAGCTAGATCTCAAAGATTTTAATACTACCAAGGGATATGCGCGGAGCCTGTTGATGCTGAAAGGTAGGCAATGCTAATGCGTAAACCCAGGCATAAGAAAGTGTCAGAAATGCCATTCACTGAGAGCAGGATTGAGCTCTAAGTCATGCCAAACGGCAAATTCAGTGTTTTACTTCAGTGTTGCTCCCGGCCTGGCCCAGCTGCACACATGGATTCCTCTCACTGAAGGACAGGGTGCCATTAAGCAGGATGGACTTAGCTGGAATCAAAGGTTTTGCTCAAGGCCTCTCAGCTCTGGAGAGAGCACAAGCTCTGCTCAGGCACTAGTTATTCTTCACAGTTCTCCCCAGTTGAAGAAAGAGAGACAGAATTTATCAGGAGAGCCCCATGAGGATGGGAAGGGCAAAGCACACAGGAGGGAGGCAGGAGCTGCTTATGAGGAGTGGGGTCACACTGGGGCTGGCACCCTCTGTTCAGTTCCCACAGGTTCCACTTGAAGAGCAGATGTCTGGCATGTCTCAGGACTACATTTTGCTGCAGTCACCCCTGTCACACTGCAAGTGTGTGGTGTGGAACCCATGCCACTGCTCTTCAATGCTGTCTCTGGTAGGAGAGATCCACTTACTTAACTCCTTCCTTCACAGGGTTTCTTTTTGGCACCCAGAAGGCATAGGTGCAGTGCATGTGTCCAATGCTGTCCTTTTCTCCCATGAGGTAGTCTTCAGTCCCTTGAAAGACCTCTTAGATCTGCAGTTTTGGAAGCTGAGCTGTGGATGCCGGTAATAGGAATGAGGCATCTAATTGCTTAGTTTAGAGAGGGAATCTGGACACCCCACTGAATTTTCCAAACGTTTCTGGGCCTAATTGGAATGAAGCCCATTAACTTCAGTGGGCTTTGGATGATTTCCTATATACACAGAACTTGAAAAATTATGCTTTAAAAGAAATACCAAAGTTAAATTGGGAAATTTTAACAATTCTCTTTGTCTTTTAATTTAGCGGCTCTATGCTGACAATATAATTAGAGAGATGCTATGTTAATTAATGCCAGATGACATTAGTGGGATGGCAAAAGCATCCAGTTTTCTAAAGAATAGTTCACAGTTGAACCGTTCCTCTCTCCCCACCCCATTTTTAGCAGAGAACTATATTCAAAAAGTCAGAGACAGCAGAATTAAACCAAAAGTCAAACTGTTTGCAAATACCAGTAATATGGTACATCTTAGCATGTCACATTCAAGACAAATCTAATGCGGTTGCAGTAAAAGGCATTAAAGATGTTTCCTTAGTGCCTACATCTAAAGATGGAAGGTTTGCAGGACCTCATCTTCAAGCCAGATGTGCAGCTTTTAAAACTGTGGGGCAGTAATATTTTTTAGGATAATATTGTAAACAACATAACAAGTTGAGTCCAGAGAGAGGGCCACCAAGATGCTTAGAGGGCTGGATCAGCTCTTCTATGGAGACCGGCTGAGAGATGGGGTTGTTCAGGCTGGAGAGAATGCTCAGGTGAGACCTTAGAGCAGCTTCCAGTACTTAAAAGAGGGCCTACAAGAAATCTGGAGAAGGACTTTTAACAAGGGCATGTAGTGATAGGACAAGAAGTCATGGCTTTCGGCTGAAAAGAGGGGATATTTAGATCTGATACTGGGAAGCAGTTCTTCCCTGTGAGAGTGGTGAGGCAGAGAAGCTGTGGCTGCCTCATCCCTAGCAGTGTTCAAGGCCAAGTTGGAAGGGGGCTTGGAGCAACCTGGTTTGGTGGAAGGTGTCCCTGCCCACGGCAGGGGATTGGAACTGGGTGAGCTTTAAGGTTCCTTCCAAACCAAACCATTCTGTGATTCTAAGTTACACTTGGTACAAGTGAATTTGCATATGGTGCTGGGAGAACAAAATGTTAATATAAGGTTATGTAGCAGTTAATGCTATTTGCATTGTCATAGCTGCATACTTCCATCTGCTCTGCAGTGGGGAAAGACACAACTGCAGCATTTACACTCTGCTTATCTTACAGTCTAGAATAACATGCTGTAATTAAGGGATTAAAAAAAAACAAAACAACTTTATCACTTTCTTCATGTGTTGCCCCATGAATAATAATGTCTACTAATGTACACTCTGAAGAACCTTCTTGTTAGCAACTGCTGCAGCTCATTCTTCAGTGACTCAATGAGAAACTAAACGTGAGCTGCCAGCGTGCTCTTGCAGCCCAGAAAGCCAACTGTATCCTGGGCTGCATCAAAAGGAGAGTGACCAGCAGGTCGAAGGAGGTGATCCTGCCCCTCTACTCTGCTCTTGTGAGACCTCACCTGGAGTATTGTGTGCAGTTCTGGTGTCCTCAACAGAAAAAGGACATGGAACTGTTGGAACAAGTCCAGAGGAGGGCCACGAGGATGATCAGGGGCCTGGAGCACCTCCCGTATGAAGATAGGCTGAGAAAGCTGGGGCTGTTCAGCCTGGAGAAGAGAAGTCTGCGTGGAGACCTCATAGCAGCCTTCCAGTATCTGAAGGGGACCTATAGGGATGCTGGGGAGGGACTCTTCATTAGGGGCTGTAGTGATAGGACAAGGGGTAAAACTTAAACAGGGGAAGTTTAGATTGGATATAAGAAAGAAGTTCTTTACTGTAAGGATGGTGAGGCACTGGAATGGGTTGCCCAAGGAAGTTGTGAATGCTCCATCCCTGGCAGTGTTCAGGGCCAGGCTGGACAGAGCCTTGGGTGACATGGTTTAGTGTGAGGTGTCCCTGCCCATGGCAGGGGGGCTGGAACTTAAGGTCCTTTCCAACCCTAACTATTCTATGATTCTGTGATTCTATGACCTTGCACTATTCCTGTGTTTAAAGTGCATAGTGGACAACCCAGCTACCACTGAGGCCACAGGAACAGAACCTAGGCTTGTGCTTTGTGTAGCTGAGCATTTGAAAAGTCATTTTTGGTTTAGGGTCTGTGGATTTCTCAGGCTCCTCAGATAGCTGGAAATGGAGTTGCAGTGATAAGGCAAAACACGTTCACATTCAGTATGAGTCCATACATGTGGTGTTCATGTTCTGTGGGAGTTCATCTATATTAAACTTCAACCTATGCATGTCAAAGGGCCTCTACACTAGGAGGTCCATACCACTATATGAAATTTGTTAGGGCACAAAAATTAACATCCCATGAGAACTATAGCCTTTCTTTTAATATAAACTCACATATTTAAAATTGCATATCTAGAGATATTTATCTATGGGTGTAAATATTTACATGTTTCACTATATGCTGTCTTGTAGATCCTGTCTTGAGTAGAGTTAGTAAGTTAAAAGTCTTAGGGAATATAATTGTATCCCGCTGTGGCAGCAGACAAAAGCTTGTGCTGCTCTAGATAGGCCTTAAAAAGAAAACTCTTCTGTATGTGGTCTTAGTGACAGGGCAGCATCATGAAGTGGGCAGCACTTCCTTAAAGGTCTTTCCTGGGAGGAGAAGAGGAAAAGTAAAAACTGAAGGCTGGAACATCCCAAAATATCTCAAATGCTGCTCCTGGGTAACAAACGGAATCTTACACCAGAGCAAAATAACCTGCCTGCATAAAACAAAACACACAGCCCATACAAACCCATGCAGCCAAATCAAACCTCTTCACAAACTTGGTCATGTAAACAGTTCACATGCGCAGGCTGATCAGGTAGTGTCTATCCTTCCACTGAGTGCTGTAACATTGGCCTAAAAGCATGAAACCGCCAGTATTGTGCCAGTATTGTGGCCTCCGGCCAAACCAGCTGTAGTGTAACTGTGTGCTTGTGCATGGCCAGGACTGAATCTGTATTGGTGGTTATCTGACAACGTCTGCATCACTCACTGCTGGCTAAACCAGCCCAGGACCCTTGGCCTGTCTATGTGTGACAGAAGAATTTTCTTTACTAGTAATAATATTCTAAATTCATGGCAGGCAAACTTGAAGTTGCACAAACCCACTTACCCTCCTGTAGTAACTCTGCATTGGCTTTGCATCTGCTTTGCATAGAGTTCAATGCCAGGAAAAGCCACAGGAAAATCAACTCTTGTCTCAGCTTGTCTGACACTCTCTGTTAACAGGGAAAGCTCACTATTCTTCTTGAGGCTGGAGCTGTATTTTACATTTCCTCCCCCCCCCCCCAACTGCTGATGGGTGGTGAAAGCTCATGTATTCTCAAAATTTAAATGTCACTGGATTTATTGTATGCTGTTTATAATTGGACAAATCAGAGTAGTGTCAGTATGTGGCTGACGGGATCATACTTGGCCTAGTGCTTGATATCAGAAGGAAAGCAACCTGGCAGAGTAGGGAGCTGATTTGCCCTAAGATCCATATCCACAGAGGATCCAGAAGACTTGGACAGGAATATTTTAATGCAAATGTGAAGAAGCCTTTTAATTGATGAATATGCTTTAACTTAACAAGAGTATTTAGCCATAGCACACTGAAGTGTTTTTGGATTTGAGGACATACATCTTCTTTGCCTGTGTTCAGAATCCGCTGTACAAATTGCACTGCTGAAATAAGCACTAAAATGGAGTCAATAACTCAAAACAGCACTTCTACAAAATCTAGCATTGCTTGTGTTGACTTTTCATGAGCTTTTGTATTGCTGCAGTGTATGGGTTGGAACTTAACGGTTTTCATCAGCTCGTTCATTTCAACTTATTTTCAAAGGTCTTCACACATAAACCTGAGAAGATATTTCTAAGCAAAATTTAATTAGAGCAAACAATTTTGTAATAGACATTTATAAGCAAATCCATGCACAAAAACTGAAATAATCACCAAACTTTTCATTCTTTTTTCCAGAACCCTAACAATTCCTTTTCCCTTCCCAGGACACAGAGAATGATTGTTGGCACATTTCATTGAGATCACATGGAGATATGACAATTCAAGCTACCACTGGGACCTGAAATTTTCACAGAGAAGGTTCTACCACAGGCAGCTGCTCTCCAGACACGCTTCTGATGCCAGCTGTGACTGTGTGGGTTTAAGGACGAGCAGCATCTCCCCATACAAAGCCTTGTAGATGAGAACAAAAAGTCAAAGCTGTGTGTGGAGCACCAGTGCTATGTTCAGACCTGGGCAAGTTTTCCTGTTAGGCAGGCATTTTCCCACTGCACGAGGAAGAACCACAACACTCAAAACAGTTTTCCTAGAGGGGGGGAAAATATGAAAGTGAGATCCAGCCATCCTGAAATTGCTGATCAGGGCGTTTACCTCAGTCACCGAACATCTGCATTCAAATCCTTTCTTTGCCTCTCTCACACCACAGATGGGAATGTGGGTTTCCCACATCCCGAGCTTGTGGTTTTACCACCAGGCTACTTGTTCTTTGAAAGCAGGTCTCTCTTTTTGCTTTTACATCTGCTCATGTGAGGTAACCTACTTAATAAGCAAACTGAATCACCCCAGTTTAAGTCTAATTTGTGAGATGATTTCATGTTATATCGTCACATGTATTTTTGCAAGAGTCTCTTTTAATGAGGCTGTTGGGAAACAATCTAATAATATTAAACACACACACAAAAATGACCAGGTTACTAACACCTAAATTCCTGTGAGAGGAGAAATGGGGATCATAGTTTCCCAGTTTCATTTTCTGCACTATTCACAATGATATATACCATCCCGTGGCCCAGGAGTACCCCTATAGAAGCTCCCATCAGAGCCCACAGGACTTGTCACTGATTTCAATGACATAAACAACTCGTTTCAGAACACAGGAAAAGCTTGTCTGACCTTTTGCAGTGTCTGCCTGAAGAGACACCATTTTTCACACAACAGCTCAAAGATGTGTTTGTTTTCCACCCAAGTCTCAACACCCCATTGTGAGGGAGTAGTCCCGAACACCCCCACAGGGGCTTTGGCTCACTGAGGTGAATTTATCACAAGAACACACTTTCTACATCAGACAGCACAGCCCCAGAGGGTTAATGCCTTGGATGCTCAGCTGGATGCAGCCTGAAAGCAGAGCCCCTTAGATGCACATTCAGAATGAGAAGAGCTGGAAGCTGTCACACGCCACTGCCGAGAACAAAGCTCCGGCCTCTTAAATTAAAACTTTTGCACACCAGATGTGTAGACACGACGTGTTTATTTTTGACCTTCCAATTTAAGGAGGGAAACCGGCCAAATTAATCCCTTGCGTGAACCAGTCGGCATCACTGGAGTTACCCTCGGAGTAAGCTTTGTTAGGAACAAGGTTCACAACCTTTGTCTGAGACCTGGCAACGTGTTTCAAACAACTCTTACTGCTTGGGATGTAACACCGGCACATAAATGACACTAGTACACCAATCGACATGAAAGCCTTTCAATTTCAAGGAACTATGGTTTTGGCCTTTTAATAAGAAAAGAGGCTTCACTATGAAGTTGTTAATTTGCTTTTACCCCCCCCCCCCCCCCCCCCCCCCAATTCCCCCTTGTTCATTAACTTTCACACACAGCATCCCGGTAGCTATTACTAAAGCTTTAGCATCCTATTTAGAAACGGGCAAAAGCCGCACAACTTTAACGGGCTCCTAACTTTCGCAGCGATTCCGCAAGGCCTCGGCTGACACCGTCGTGCCCGGCTACGGCCAGGAATGCTTCTTAGGTGCAGTCAGGCACTGCCTTTCACCGCCCGGCCGTCACCATGAACCGGCGAGGCCGACGCTCAACCTCCTTCCCTCAGCACCCCGCTCTAAGGAGCTGAGGCGGTGCGCGCCGCGTCCCCGCCGGCGATGAAGGAGGGGAAATGGCGAGGAAGCGCTGGAATTGTACTTATTTCCCTTCGAACGCGCACTTCCCGAACGAGCGCTCCCTCACGCTGCAACACAAAACGCCTCCTCCGAGCCCCACCTCGCCGGTGCCCGCAACCGGCAGCCCCAATTCCCCCCTCTCCTCTCCTCTCCTCCCGCCGCACCGCCTCAACCGGCCGCGCCAGGACGACGAGAAGAAGAGGAAGAGGGAGGCGCCGCCGCTGCCGCAAGGGGCGGGGGAGCGCGGAGCGCATCGATCGCTCCAGTGCGTGCATCCACCCATCCACCCTCTCGGCGCTCGGCTCCCTCGGCAGCTCCAGCCCTCCCCGTCCCCCGCCATTTCAGACCGGGACGGAAAGGAACGCAGAGCGGCCGCCGCGGCGGGGCGGGCAAGGGAGGTGCCAGCGTGCTCCCGCGGCAGCGCCAGGCAGGTACCGCCTGCCCCATACCCCACCGAACCGGGACTGAATCGCCGTGTTTGCTTTCTTCTCCTTCTTTTCCTTTCAGAGATGGGGCGGGAAGGGAGCGGTGCTGCTTTCCGGAGCCGGACACCCTCCGACTCCGCGTTCCCCTCCGACCCGCGTCCCCCTCCTTTCTCCCGGCGTCGCCCCGCAGAGGGGCCGGAACGCCGGCTAACTGGGTGGGGGCCTCCACCGGCCGCTTGTCCCGCTGCCGCCCGCGGGGTTGAGCCCTGCCCCGCTTCCCCTCCGCCGGCATCCTCCGGAGCAGCCTCCGCCTGCCCCTCCGCCGTCCTTCCCCGCGGCGCGGGCGGTGGCTCGGCGGCCGCGGGAGGGGGCGGCGGGACAGGTGGCCAACGCCCTCCGGGAGCCCGGCGGCTCCTGCCGAGTGACCCCCGCCCTGCCCTTTCCTCATAGATCCATTCAGTTTATTCCTTCCAGCCTGCCCTTTTCCCCAGCCTTCCAGCCCCTGTGCGCGGGGCCGAGGCGCCGGGCCGCGCCGGAAAGTTTGGTCGGCCTGGCCGCGTCGCTGGGTGCGGGGAGCCGGGGCGGGGCGGGCAGCGGCACCCCGAGCCCCGCGGGAGGTTGGGGGAATCCCGCCGCTGGGCCACCCCGGGAAAACAAATCCACCGGAACCCTAAACAGCTGTGGCGGAGAAGCCGCCAGATGAAGCCGTGCTCGGTCCGCGCCTGTCCCGTCAGAGCCGCCCGGCCGCGGGAGGCGGGTTCCCCGGTTGTGGTGAACCTGGCCCGGCTGCCATACGGATCCGGGAGGTCTCCACGGTCACCGGGGAAAGCGGCGGCGAACAGCATCTTTGCCCCGCGAGAAATACTCTCTGACCTCTTCCAAGGTTTAGTGTATCCTGGGTCTTTTATCTCTGTAGTCGGTGCCTTTCAGCCTAGTCCCCACGCTATGTTTCTTATGTATAATTTTGTTTGAGAAACGGCATGCCCTCACAGCTTTTTGTCTTGTCTTTCAGGGAGGGAGTTGCTTTCCGGTAATAGTAAAGGAGCGTGAAACTGAATGAGAACGCACCAACGGCATCCTCATTAGCCGGAGCCCGACTCTGCTTAATGTTGGTTTCTTTGTCATCAGGTCTGCTAAAAAATGACAGAATATAAACTTGTTGTCGTTGGAGCTGGTGGTGTAGGCAAGAGCGCCTTGACAATACAGCTAATTCAGAATCACTTTGTGGATGAATATGACCCTACAATAGAGGTAAACAATATCAGCTTGCACTCATTTTGTGAAGAGAGGTTAACAGTTAAAATGCTGGTTCAGTACTTTTGGACAGTTACCACGAAAACATAGAACAAGGCTTTATAATAAAAACCACTCAAAGGTAATGATCAGCATCAGACCAGCACTGGAGAGGAAATTGTGCTTCTTCATTTGGTTATGGAACTATTACGTTCAATTAAAGTATGGTGTTAATTGCTGTGTTTCGTTGGACAGTTTGGATGCATGCTTTTAGGATCTCTGTGGCAAGGTTTTTGACAAATTCACGTGAAAATGCTTGGTGAAACTCTTTATGGCTTTGTATGCAACCTCTTAAATGAGAAAATTTGTAGTTCTGAAATGTATGCATCAGGCTTTCGCAGCCTCTATCATTAGGATCTGTTTCACACAGTGAAAATGTGTCCTGGAATGTTATGGTGAATGAAGCAGAATTTGGAGCCTGTTTTTTTTTATTTATTTATTTTAAAACCACCAGTGCTTGCTTCTGTACCTAGAAAAGACATGTTATAACCACTGTAGTGGATGCTTTAAAATACATGGCACAGTTCCTCAAAATCTGAAATTGTATTTAAGCTTTAAAAGTTGTAATATTTTAAAGGTATTTAATGAGCAGGCAAGTTCTGCCTTTTAAAGGTAAGGAAAATACTAGTGTTGCCTGAAGTCTCCTGTGGATTGTTGGATTTAATAACCTCAGACCATGTAAAAGTAGAAATGACACTGTAAGTTATACAAGAATTTTATGTTCCCAGCACTGAAGCTCTGTAGCTTATGACTTCATTTATATGTTTATACAGTGAGGCACTTCCCAAGCTCACTTGAAGAAATTACAAGGATTTAAATCTTGGCTTAAAATGGTGACTTGGAAAATGGCTCTGTAGTCATTTTCAGGTACGCACAAGCAAGAGGAGCCAGTGGCCTGAGGTGGTAGGATGTCTTACTCCAGTGAAGTACAGGCCTCTGTGCTCCAAACAGAGATGTGTTGGCTTGCGTTTACATTAATGTGACGCTGTGTTGTGTTGTCCCTCTGTTGCATGGCCAAGTAGCCTCATATATGCTTGTAGAAGGTTTGACCTATTGAGAGAGTAGGGGTGTGTGGCTTGCCACTAGGAGGGCAGCTCTTGCAAGTAGAAAGATGTGAAGTCGTAACAACACAGTCACCCAAAACACACTTGACAAACAGAAAACACAAAACTCAGAGGAAGAAGCAAAATGGGCTTTTACTTTTTCCTGCAAAAGGAACTTTGGAGGATTTGGTCTTTAATACTTGTCATAGTCATCTGGGTTTCTTTGAGGTTGGAGGTGTATTTATGCATTAAAAAAAGTACTGTGGAGGTTCTGTGTTTTGAGTTGTCATATGAAGCCAGAACTGTGTAAACAAGGAGTGCAAAATCTTAAATGTCAGAATTCCTAAATCACTTGAGGAATTTTGATAATCAACAAGCTTAATATTTTGAGGAATGCCAAATACATTTTAATGCAGACTTATAAGATGAAAATGCAGTTCCTCATAGAAAGAACCCAAAATCCCAACTGTGTCTTTTACTCTCTAGTGTGCAGGATGACTGTAACACTGTGGTGTGGTCCAGAATCAGAAACCTTTAACCTAATGGGTTTTACCAGCATCCACAACTTGTTGCATTCAAAAGTATTAATCTTGTGCAACTCCTACAAGTTCTTGTCTGAGTACTAGTTAACGTTTTTGTCTTCTAAGTTCTGAGACCTTGAGGATGGAGGCTTTATCTTCCTACTTATGTGGTAAATCTCCTTGTGTGCAGTCGCAGTGCTATGATCTGGTAGGTAAGCTTGTAGGGAAGAAATAGTTCAGTTGTTGTAAGAGTGATCTGTGATTTGGAGTGGCAAACATGTTGCAGAGTGGGCTTGTGAATTGGGCTTAAATGCTCAAGTGCTTGCTTGAGCAGGATCCTGTTCAGCTGAAAAAGAGTTGCTTGATTGTGCTTCCTGTATAGATGTAGTTGGGGTGGTAGGGGCTGATCGAAGAACAATAGCTGTAGAGCAGCTTTTATGCAGTATGAGGAAATAAGGCTAAAGTTGCTTTTACTGATAAATAACAGTTAAGACAGTTCAGTAGTTTCTCACTTACTACTGTTTCTTTCATTGCTATACAGCTGTTGCCAAAACACTTGTTTTCCCTGGCAGATAAAAAATAAAGCTAAATATTTTGGAATAGATGGAGAAGATAGTTCAGTGTTTGTTATATATAATGGATCCCACAACTACACAGTTACTGAATAATTTTAAGTCTTTCCTGCGGTTAACCAAATAAAACTCAACACTTCTAAAATTCTTATGTTGTGAAGACATGATGCAGTTAGAGAGGGAAAAATATAGTTGTTGTTTGAGCATAGCAGATGATGGGGCAGGAGGAGAAATTAAAATCAGTGTATATTTGGGTGGCTACTGTTAGTCAAATGTATAAGCTTTATATGTGTTTCACGATTTCATATCTTACTTGAGGTAGGTGTCTAAGCATAGATTTACAGCCATGTAATTTTTTAAGTGTTTTGTTTAACTGTGTGTACATTATGCTTGTGAATCTGTGTTTCTAATACACAGAACAGTTGGACTAGTGCCCTCTACTGGATGAGGCCTGTTAAATCTTATCACAAGCAATCACAAATAAATTTTGAATTTTTTATTATTATTATTTTTTACAGCTTCAACATGTTTTAGTGCTAAATATATGTAATATTTTAAATATTCTAGAGAAAGAACAGCTTTGCTAGTTGCCTGGCAGAGGGTTTTCAATTGGATTAGCAAAATCCCATGGCTGATTTAGGAATACTGATATTTAAGTCTATGTTCTTAAATGACCTATGCACTTGCGAAACTTCCACCAGTATTTAGTAATAGCTTATTCTTAGTAGCTGTGATACTTTAACATAAAATCACTGGTAAAGTGGATTTTTTTACAAAATAATGACTGCGGGCTTAGGTAGGATTTATTAAGCAGTGGGACATGTTTTAGATAAATTCCATATGTAGCATACAGCTGAGACTTCTATTGCATTTTCTTATCAGTGCTTGGGAATAGATGGAATAATCACTCCTTTACTGTAATTCATGCTGGTTTTTAAGGCTTCTGAAAGGCCAATAAAAGCAGGTTAAATGATTAATGAAATCAAAACATTTTTATATAGATAAGCTGAGTCAGTATACTGGGGAAAAACTGCAAATTCATATTTGGAGTCAAGTACTGCTTCTATATTAATGCTCTAGTTTGCATTTTGGTTTTACTTAATAGCCTTATACTGGATACTTCCTCATTGCTTCTTCATGGCATTTATCACTGCAAATGTCCCAGTGTGCAGTAAAGCTACTGGATTTTTATAAATTTTGAAATCTATAGATTAGAAGGCTGGTGAGGATTTTTGTTGTTGGAAGGGAGTCTGGTCATTTGAGTTCTGCAGTGATGTCTTGAAGCAAAAGTGCCACAAGTACTAGAGCAGTGTCACTTTGTTACGACCTACATTCTGTTTTGCAGGACTTAGAAGTTTTATAGTATGGTAACACTTAAATAAACAAATTTTATCTTGGCTGTGTTTACACTGGTGCTTGCTATAATGGGGTTGGCAGTCCCAGTAGCCTGAGGTTTTAATGTGGTGCTTCAGTTTTCTTTCCTGCAGTGACAAATATGATCTCAGGTTTGATGTTTTTTGGGGGGAACAAGAGAGGGACACAAAAAAGCAAAGTGTTTATTATTTTAGTAGCTTGGAGGGAAGTAATAAGCTTGAGTTTTCTCTCCCATGTCTTGTCTTTTCCTTCCGCCTCAAATCCCCTTTCTAGTTAGTGACAAAATTTTCTCACCAGAAGTCGGCAAAATGGCCATTATCACAAAGTGCTCCTTTTTGTACCTGTGCTGTGCTTTATGCTGGTACATCTTTGCTGCTGCTGCTGCTAACATTCTAGGCATGCTAAAACTAACAGTTCTTAAAAGTGATTTTCTTCTCTAAAAGATTATTTTCTTTGAAAATTACTTAAAGCCTTTGTTTAGAGCTCAGTTGAGGGGTGTTTCTTTTCCTTTGAAGTGCTAAGATGTAAAGGAATAATACAGGCTTTTCAAGAACTGTTTTTCATATTTTTAAACTAGCAGTCAGATTGCAAGAGGAGAGAAGGAAAGGTCTGTAAATACGCTGAGTATGGTGATAGAAGCTAATACTTCACTGTGAACTGTGATAAAGGTAACATAGGACATGGGGGATCTACTGTTGAATTTAAGTGAATAGGAAACAAAACGTGTCTTTTGTGGGTTTTGTTGTGGTTTTTTTTTTCTTGTTAAGCAATGAGAATATTAACCTTATTTTCAAACACATTGGAACTTGTTTGTCTCATCTATATCAATATTTAAACGTGGCTTACAGGTTTCTGAAGTTACCTACTTCTTGAACACTGAATTTGCACTTCTGTGAAATAAAAATATCCAAAAATCATGTTGGAAGTAAACTTTTATCTTTAAGGTAAACGGTTAATATTGTTTTACCTGATACTGTTAAATATCATCCAGGCTGAAGATAAATGTGTGATTATAGAGTTTGTTTAGTTTAAGATACTGATTCTATACAATTATCTTCTGCTTGCTTTTTAGTGTGAGCAACAGGAAAGAGAGCCCTTTGTAAAAATACAAATATATAGAAAGCACACAGGAGTAGGTGTACTGTGCCTTAAAATAGGTACAAAGGAAGGTCATTCTAAATATGTCTTGAAATTGGCTAGAATTGCAACTTTAATTCTTTAATTTTCTTTACAGTAGCTTAGATTCACTTCTGTATAGTGTTAAAAAGAACAGCAGCAATATTGTGTTAATATCCAGCTAAGGGATCTGAAAGGTAATACCAAGATTTTGTCTTTATACCTTTTATTTGTTGTAAGTACTCTTTACTGAGAATAATTCACAGTACTATTTGATGACCTATTTTCAAAGCTGTTAACATGTTTTTATTTCAACTATATAGATGTTTATAGAAGTCATTGGGGAAAATAATGCTTATGTTCTTATCACTAAAACTATGTGCTCATAGCAGCCTAGAACCAAAAAGAGCTGTAAATAGACATTAAGATCTAGTTGCTTGGTGCTTTGTACAGATTTTAGCCACTTGGATCAGTTACTTGAAAGCTCTGAATTGATAGTATTGGAATAATTTGTTTCAGTATCTCTGAAGCAACCTGTCTGGGCTTTTATACAACTCTGTTTGTTGGTCTGTGGTGGCTAAAGAACTTGAACTTCAAATGTATCAACTCAACTTTGGTAACTTAATAACAAATATGACTGTATGCATCTACTTAGGCGCACAAAACCGATTTCCTATCCCAAACAGTGAAGGCTTTTTATACTCCATTTCCCTTTTAGTTGCATAGATTTTTGGAGTTGTCTTACTTGTGTATTCTTTCTGGTTTATTACTTTGGACATTGTTGCGGCACAATGCTTTTGTAGCCATCCGTGGAATGAAAGTCAAGTTTTACTTAGGAAAAAAGAATTGGCAAATTGAGTAAGCCTAAATAAAGCCAATCCTTTTAAAATCAGGATTACTGGTTTCTTTAGTTTTTTTTTTTCTTAACAGAGCCAATCCTTTTAAAATCAGGATTACTGGTTTCTTTAGTTTTTTTTTTCTTAACAGAGACAAATGGAGGTGCTTTTGATCTGGATCCAAATTGTACTTTTTATCCTTCTGTGCAAAAAAAGAACACTGCCCTTTTTCTGTGTGTATACACAGGAACTATTACTCACTAAAGAACTGGAATACAGAAAGATCATGGCTTTCAGTGGTCTTCCCACTTCTGGATTTTACTGTATACATGTAAATTTGGGTCACTATTTTGCTGCTCTCGTTTGACTGTCTGTAAAGTTGGATTCTAATTCTTATGTGTTTGAGTTACAGGTGTTTGAAATTTTACTTGTTTGTGTTTAACCAAGCTGTATGTGTTTTTCTTTTCTTAGGATTCCTACCGGAAGCAAGTAGTAATTGATGGAGAAACTTGTCTCTTGGATATTCTTGATACAGCAGGTCAAGAAGAATACAGTGCAATGAGGGACCAATATATGAGAACAGGGGAAGGCTTCTTGTGTGTATTTGCTATAAACAATACAAAGTCTTTTGAAGATATTCACCATTATAGGTGTGTATATTGAAAGTTAATCAAATAACTCTTGTATTAAGTGGACAGGTTGCTTGCTCTTCCACTGGATAATAGAATGGTTTCTTATGACATGGTGTCTAAGGGGAAACTTTCAAATTAGCGAATTATTTGTGGATTTGTAAGTCTGGAATTTTGGGTAATCTGAAAATCTGCTGCCTCGTTTTCAAGTTAAGCAGAAAAAACATCTGAAAGTTATTCTAGTATAAACTAATGTGACTTAGTGTTTCTGCCTATTCATAGTGAAGACTTATCTAAAGTCTGCCCATTCCACAGATAAAATTATGTGCTCTGATGGCAAAACTGATCCAATTGAAATTGTACAGACAATAATGTCAGTTGCTAGCTTTTGTTCTGGGATTGGAGTGGAAATACTGGTGGAATGTTAAAGATTAACATGTGTGAGCCCTGATGCCTAAGAAGAGCAGACACACACAAAATCAGGGCTCCAGGATGACTGCTAAAACCAACCTGTTATTAGTTTCTTCATACTCACTCTTATCTTAATAATTAGTTAAAAATTTCAACTCATGCTTTCATTGTCAGCTACATTAATGTAGCAAAAGAAGCAGTTTCTGGTGATTACTGTACCAGCTCATTTATAATTCAGTAGCTTACTATTATACTGAATTCTCCTTGGGTAGTGCAAGGTAATGCAAATCCCACCGATGTTTGTTGAGTTTGGCAGCATCCATTTAAGATCAGTTCCAAACACATAATGCTAAGGTATTCATAGTTAGGCATTTATAATGCTGTCAGATCCATGTCACCTTATGGTGGAGGAGTGTTCTGCTATCATCATTACCCACAAATCTAACATCTACTTATAAGCCAAAGTTACACATTTTTGTTACAAATAGAAGTTACAGTTCCACATTTAAGGTGGGATACCATGGTAATTCAGGGTAATCAAAGTCAGCAGATGCAACTGTCCTGGTGGCGTAGTTTCATTTTCTCCTGTATGCCAGCAAGTCAGCTCATTTGATTGCACAGTGTGATGATGTTAAACAGGTAAATGCCTACTTACAAAAATAGTTTATTGCTGGCTTATCTCCCTGGAGCAGCTGTGAGATCAGGGGAGTACTGTTGCAAATGAGAGGGGCAAAACTGCTGCAGATTAACCCACGGAGAGATGAGTGTTATGAATGTGGGCACCTTCTTTGAGGACTGCTTCTTTTTTATATTTAAATTGAGCTAGTCAGCTTTTGTATAAATTTCATTATATATAAAATTTTCTAACTGAATGTATTGGTACTGGTGATATAAAAAAAACACCCCCCAAAAAAAACAACCCACAACAAACCCAACCAACCAAAAAAAACCAAAACATGTAAGAGCACAGTAGGGGCGACAAATTAGAAAGACGTCTGTTGCTCTCAGTAAAACTATAACCTTGTCTTCATTATCTCACCAGATTATTACCGATGGTTTCCCTCTGGTTGTAGAGGAAGAAGGGAAAAAATAAGGTAGATGCTAATGTAAAAGGAAGGAGCACAGAGGTTTTCATGTGGAATTTTCATTTTTTAAAGTCAGTTGCTGTTTTGCATAAGAAGTCCTTCCCAGTTAATTTCAAGAATGTTGTGAGTCGAATGCTGGAGTTTCTACTGTGCATTCACACACCTGTGGATAGCCTTTCAGACTGAAGCTGAAGGCTTATGAATAAATAACCAAAACCAGCGATTATATTAATTAAGGAACATACTGCTAGATTATTTGGGAAGGCAAAAGTAATAAAATGAACAATTGTTGAGATTTTTGGCAAGTACATCTAACTAGTGTTTCAAGATGTTTTCTAACCAATGGTTGAAAGGGCTTTCTTGCCAAATCTCTCTTTGTACAAAACCAGGCTGGTGGTCTTCAAAGTTTACAAACTCTGCATTTAGGCAGGGATTTTTAATGTTATTTTTAATAATAAAACAACAACAACAAAAAAGACACACCATCCCCCCCCCAACCACAACTGAGACAATGGACATAGCGCTTTGATGAGTGTTTCATGCTGGCAAATGAATTGAGTATTCAGAGTACTGACTATGAGAGGTAAGAGTAAGATTTATGTCAGAGCATCTTAGGCTTGTTCTGGCACTAGCTGTTTATAAAATGTACAGAAGTTTGCAAAATAGTGTTTGTTTTTTTTTAATGTGATAAACTTGAGAGTGACAGGATTGGTCAGTTTACTTTTTGATGGCTTCTAATAATGTATGTGTAGGAAACTAAGATAATGAGTGATGATGGAGTCTTTCATTGTTTTAAAATTGTTAAATACACTTATACCTGTTAAATGCAGTCTTTTTTTTTTTTCTTTTTAGGGAACAAATAAAGAGAGTTAAAGACTCTGAAGATGTCCCAATGGTGCTAGTAGGAAACAAATGTGATTTGCCTTCCAGAACAGTAGATACAAAACAAGCTCAGGATTTAGCAAGAAGTTATGGAATTCCTTTCATTGAAACATCAGCAAAAACAAGACAGGTAAAGCTCAAAACTTACCAGAAACAAATGCAGAACTCTCATCTGAATTATTTATTTATAATCATTCTAGGCATTGACGATTGCTTTGTCATACCAATATATCTGTTTCTCCAGAATAGAAATTCCTGTGTTGTGTCTTCTTTCTGTGAACTCACTGACAACTGGTACTTGTTCATTAATGAGTGATTTGCTTCAGCTGCGCAAACTTGAAGCATGAGACCTGGCCTGCCACTACTTTCCACTGTCAGACAGTTGCAGTTTTCTTAATGTTCTGATAGGTTTTAATAGAATGAAAAACAGTTGTACTGAGAGGTGAAATGCTGTTTTTTCCTCAGCAAGAGGATTAAGCAGACAAACAGCAAATTAGTTTATTTTGGTTTTAGTCTTTTCATTAATAACAAAAGGAATTTTTCTTTGAGGCATTGATTCAGTGTTAATGGGACATGCTTGATATCCCTTTTTATAACTAAGCAATTGACCATAAGTCTTTTTTGAAATGACTGGATTAATTGCTTGTGTAAACCAATACTCTTCTAAGACTTTAGAGCTCCCTATTGGTTTATTGCATGCAGCTGGTACAGGTGAAAGAGGCAGCTGTTAGGGTCCTTTCAGTGCTGCTTTCTAGGTTTAGGTGCAAATCTCTGCATTCAGGAGAAGACAAGTTCTACAGATGAAACTGGTTCTGTACTTCTGAAAGAAAGTGTTCTTTTTGAAAAATGCTTGTGGGTTTTCTTCTAAGAGTAAAGACTTACTATTAGTACAAATTACATCAGGCCTGAATAGCTGAATAACTTGTACTCTCCACAGTCAATGTTATGTGCAAATTATAAATCACAAATTAGTTGTAGCAGGAGGTGGCAAGTAAGAGCAGAACACTGCAATTTGAGTAACAGGTCACTGTAACTGCTAAATAGATTCAGATGCATCACTTGGCAAAATTTCCTCATATCCAAAAATAACTTGTCCTATATATAAGAAATGATATTGTATTAGTGAAAATTTGCTACACCTGCTCAAATTTCTGCCAAGTTGAAACATGGACTAATAGGTAAAATTTTACAGAGGAATCAAAGGAATGCTAACTTTTGGGAATAGAGAAAATCTCTTAGGTAGGATTAAGAAAACTAACTGCACAGCTTTAATGGCTGAGAATAAATTAGGCCACAAGAGTGTTCCAAAGAATGTAGCATATAAGTGGACTGAATAAATACAGTGTTATTGTTTGGAAGGTCCTGTATTTGATATTTCCTGTATTGGAAGGTGGCTATCATTGAGATGTTAGGATAAAAAACGAGGAACTCGGAAATTACATTTGAGGTTTGAATCATAGAATAGTTTGGGTTTGAAGGGACCTTCAAAGCTCACCTAGTCCAACACCCCTGCAGTGAGCAGGGACATCTTCAACTAGATCAGGTTGCCCGGAACCACATCCAGCCTATCCTTGGAACGTCTCCAGGGATGGTGCATCCACCACCTCTCTGGGCAACCACTTCCAGTATTTTACCACCCTCATTGTAAAAAGTTCTGTACTTAAATCTAGATTTCACTCTCTTCAGCCCGTTTCACGGAGCATTAGATTTTGTTGGGGAAACATTCCCTTTGCATAGCCATTTTTTATTAAAAGTTTGATGCGATGATGTATTTTCAAAGATTTTTTTTCTCCCCAGCTCCCTTACAGTTTACTCTGACAAGCAGCCCCACCATGCCTAACCATTACTAAATCAACATGCTCAATCACCACTTCAGTTTTGTAATCTTTATTTACACAAAGTAGTATCTGCTTTTTTATCTTTCAGACTTTTAAGAGATCTGCTTAAGGAGGTTTGTACTTGTTTCAGAGTATAATAGATCAGTCATATATGAGCTGTCTATAATTTGACTACTTTTATCTGAGACTTTTCTGTTGGCACCTCAGGAAATACAGTGTTACAGAAAGAATCTGACTTTTGGCTTTTGTTTTTCAAAGTTGAGCTTTATACACTTTACATTTAAGAGTCCCTAAAGGTGTCTCATGGACTTGAAAATAAAGATGCCTAATACGCTCTTTTGAGAATGCTGGCTTCTAAAAGTTAGAACCACTAGGTATGATTGCTGATTCTTTTCATGCCGCTGTTCATAATGTGTTATGAAACTGCTTCATAAGATGCTGGATTATTAAAATATTTTTGAGAAGACAAAAGTGAATTGGAAGAAGAACCTGATCTTTCATTACAGCAAGATCACCTGTATTTGTATGTGTGCTTGTGTATACATAAGCATTTACATTTTATGATCTTTAAGTCACACTGTCATAAAAAGATTGTGCATGTATATACACCTTCTTCCAAAGTAACCTTTTGAAGTAGGGGATTCAAACCATTTTGTGAGCTCTATGTGGCCAATAGACTATATTTCTACTGGTCAGAATTCAGTCCTTGGCTAAAAATAAATAAATAAAAATATTTGGTCCTCTCTGGTTACATTCAGAACTTTCAGGTATGAGCAGATGTACCTTGTGGTTTGGTAACTTCTGGAGTCTGTAGGTCTGACATGAATATTTATAAGCAGGAACCTACTTATCCTTTCTTGTATGTACCTCCTACCACACTGAAACAGCAGCACCAGTGCCATGTTGAAGGAGCCCCCACCATCCTTGCATTAGCCCTTCCTCAAGCCCCACTTCTGCTGGAGCTCAGATTGAATCAGAAGGGTTTCTGGGGAAGGAAATGGAAGACAAAAATAGAAAGTTGTTGCTCTTGATTGCAAAGACACTTTTATTAAATGCAAGGCATGTGCATAACTTAAACTCGTTCTTTGCATCAATGACACTTATTCTTTCATGGTACTTATGCAGAAGGATGTGATTTCTTGAAGTTTATTTTGGTAGCTGTTTTTGCTTTTTTCTGTATAACATAAGCTTTAAATTAAAATTCTCCCCTATCCACATGAGCATATGGCTCCCAGTATTATCAATAGTATCTATGAAAGATGAGAGGCAAACCTGATTTATCCCTGCCAAGGCTTCATCCTGTATTCCTTACTGCCTTCCATTTGCCTGCAAGTTACACAAGGACAAGCTCTAAGGCTGTACCCCAAATGTGGTTTGACTGTAGAATTTTGACTGTCCTGCTAGAACTGAATTCAAAGGCAAAGCAGATAAATAGGCATTATTGTAAGCATTGTAAAGGATACCTCAAAGCATTAGGTCTCATTGAGAATATATACTTAAACAGACTTTGAAGTGTTTAATGAAGTTGACCTAAATAATGGGGATGCTGTTAAATAAGCATTACAGTTATTTCAGCTGTCTGATGTACAGTAGGTTAGGCCCCAAATTTGCAATGAAAGTAAGTTGAGAACCCATGCCTGGTTTGAAGTAATCAGTGCAGTATTTACAGAACAGCATTCCTACATCTCATTGAGATTCATGAATAACTGATATCTTAAGACGGTTTGCTTGAACCACCTTGCCAAGTTTTTAGAGATTGGTTGTATCTGTTTAATGGTATTATTCTGTGTTTTACTCCAAGCAATTTTTAATGTGGGTCATGTGTGCAAGTTCCACTTTAAAACTTCATTTTCAATTACTTAAAATTTTGTCAGTCTTCACAACATGAGTTGAGTTTTTCCATGTTGCTAGTTTGTTGTAAGGTAAAACGTTTCCAAAAAATCTTAGTCCTTCCCAAGAACAAGGGCCCAAGAAAAAAAAATTACTCCAGGATGCTCAGGAACCAGGTCTGTTACATACCTGATGTAAAGATAAATAGGTGCAGCAAAAAGAGGATACATGCGCACAATGAGTTAAATTGAAGTAGGACAGCTGTAATTCTGGTACGTCTTACCTTTGGAGAGATTGACTTTAATAGTGATTTTGCGCAGTATTTAATATGAATTTACTGCTGTATGTTTGGTATTTAACTGCTGTCAGATGACACGATCAGCTTAACACCCCCTCACTCTCCATATTAATGGAGGTTTTGCATGTGGCTGAGTTCTAGTAACTGTTTTCAAACAGTCCTTTTAAGTATTAGATCTGTTTTAGAAACAGCAAAAAATTACCCTTAACCTATAAGCTAAATGTTGCCTGAGCTAGTAGATTTTTGCAGGTTTATATTCTCCAGTACTGACTAAGCTGACTCTGCCATTACAAAGTTTTATGTTGGGAGTGCTTTTATGGAAGTGAATAGAAATTTTTTGCTAACCCTAAAAGCTAAATGAATAGCTTTTTACTTTATTTGTCTAACAATTGGTTTTAAGAGACCAACTCCTACAAAGTGTATAAAGGTGGACACAGAACACTTTTGAGATGTTAAAACTCACTTTTCATTAGTTTCCTTTAAACATTATTTACAGGAACAGAACATGTGAAAATTCCTGTTTGCGTTTGCAATAGTCTTTCTTTGCACATAGTCATATTTTAAATCAAATGTTTGGCTGTCTCCTAGGAGTTAAAAGCATCTTGAAAACATTGCCTCAAGGTCATGGGTTCTTGGGGCTGTTTAGATTTTGAAATTTTTAATATCTGCCAAAGGGTATTTTTGCTTCCAGTTCTGACAGCTAATAGATCCGGTTAATTGTATTTTAGAGATATGGTCCATACTAATTTAAGGAAAATATACTGAAGAATTTTAAAAGAAATTGGTATTTAAATTACTTCTTAAGTTTATAAGACTGGTACCTGGCTCTTTAAAATGTCACCCTGTGCTAATGACATTAGCAAATGTGTCTCTGTACAGATTTTCTTTCAGAATACCTTATTTCATAAGGGGATCCATAAGGCTATTCTTGGTGGTGGCAGTGGTAGCAATTTCTTTTCTGTGTCTCTCCCTCTCTCTGCATTGCTAAAGCAAACTACATTTCAGTGGTGATGGGAAAGCTGGCAACAAACATTGACGGAAGAATTATTATCTAATTATTTATGTGAAAGCTCTATAATCAAATTATGTATTTCTACTGCAAAACAGTAGATTTACAAAAATGTTGATTCGTGTACAGCCTGTGCTTTGGCACATAGCACCTTATCAGTGTTTACTGTTTCCTCCTTCCAGGAAAACATGAAAATAATGAGCTTTACTTGGGTTTTGCTGGGGTTTTTAAATATTTTTTTTCACATTTTGCAAACTCTCAGACCTGTAATGTAAGACTGATTGTCTTGTCCATACTTCACTACATCCTAACAGGACACATCATTCATAACAAAGAAATACAGTCCAAGAAATAAATCTAATTAATCTTGAAATTCAAGTGGCTGTAGTTCAGAAGAGCAGATAAGCAGCAGCATTCTTAAGAATGAGTCTTCAACATGATAACCTATGGCACAGTTCATGCAAAATGACCCAACAACTGTGGCAGTAAATGTTACCTATTACTGTTAGGTGCATAAGATAAAGACGGGTTGGAAAGATAAAGTATGGAAAATCTGCCAAACAAAAGCCCAGATTGTGCATTGGGTGGTAATAAAGTTTGGGGGCTTAAATGATTGTACTGTTTTCCACAGTCATCAGTCTGTTCTGGTTTTATTTTCAAATGATGAGTTTGTATTAAATTAACAGCCCTGTTGATCTGGCTGAGGAGACAATAAGCTTGACAGTAAGGCAAATTTCCTCTCTCCTTTAAAAACTGCAGCTAAATGTATTGTATCTTGTTAGAAGAACATCCCCCCAGATTTGTCTAAATTTTTAAGTTAATACAAATATAGTCAATTTAAAATAAAATAATTTAAAGCTGGTTCTGTACCTCTTCTCTTTGCTTAAACTTCAGTCTTCGTATTTTTCTGAATGCTTATGGATCATCATATACAGGTGGCCTAAGCGCAGAGCTGCAGAAAGGTAATGTGTGAGACCAGAGAATGAAAACACATAGCTCTCTGTCATACATGGAGCACTTGAGCTCTCCTCATCCAGAGAAAAAATGTGAGCAGGAGAACTTCACAGGCTGTTTGCACTTAGTTCTTATTATGGTACCCCCTTGGTTGCCTGAGGTGAGCCCAGAAAGAACAGATTAGGTGTTCCTTGAATGTTGATGTGACCCAGGCTCTTAAATGTGATAATAACTATTGCTTTTTCTGCATGGAAGAATAACATCCATAGTTATAAGAAGAATTAGTTTTGAAAGTTACCCTGAAATAGAATATACTTCAGGTACTTCTTAAAAGCACTTTGCCATAACGCAAATATCCTTTTTCCTAAGTTTAATAACATAAACAGCTTTAAAAACAATATTGCCTAAAATTTAGTATTCTCAGATTTTATTTCTTTGTAACCTCTTAGGAAATTGCCTGGTTAGACTTCTTTTATACTGTTAGTTTCTTCACAGATTTTTTTTGCAAAGAAAGTACACCCTGCATAAAGAACAGAACATAAATGAGCTTACTTTCTTTGCCTGCCCAAACAGTAATAGGTTCTCACTTTTGCCTACGAAGTGAAAATAGGTGGTTAACTGTGTGTGTTTATAAGTAACCCCCAGTTAACAATCTAACAAGGTTTTGTGCTGCTAAATACATCCATGCCCACAAAAATGTGTGAAAAGATTTCAGTGCAGTGGAATTATGCAATGGAAGAACATAATCCTCACTCTTTTTTGTCCAAGTGTTACCTTGCACAAGAAATAGGAGGGCTTGAAGCATAGATATTCACAGAAATTGGTAATCAGGAAATTCTTTGAGTGTTTCTCTTTTGCTTGCATTAAAAAAAATTATCAAGCAGCAAATGTGCAAGCCCACCATTTTAAATGTTTAAATGGGATCCATATACTTCTTTCAAGTAAAGCTCATAATTTCAGTGTTTTTGTTGTGTTTTTTCTTCCTCTGTGCCATGGGTGTCCCAGTATCTCATGATTGTTAATGAAGCAGTTTTTAAGGAGTTGTGTTTTACAATGCAGAGAGTGGAGGATGCTTTTTATACATTGGTACGAGAGATTCGGCAGTACAGAATGAAAAAAGTCAGCAAAGAAGAAAAGACTCCAGGGTGCGTGAAAATTAAAAAATGCCTTATAATGTAACAGGGTAAGTTTTGTAATGTAACAGGGTAGATTTTACAAATCACTTGCCAAATAAAAATGATCAATGGTGTCTTGCAAATCAGACATTTTATGGTTAATCAATTACATAAATTAAGATCTAAAGCCAATCAGATTTCAGTATTGTAGTCCTGAATAATATTCCTAGCAAACACCCAAGTATGGATTTGCTTTGTTTCATGGGGTTTTGATAAATAGATGAAGAAGTCTTTACTGCATATTAAGTTCTCCATCTGTGAAACAGAGACCAAGTTTTGATTGTGAAGAGGTTTAATGTTTCATTATAGATACATTGCAGAGACTGTTGAAGTGAATATTGATTGAATCTTCAAGTTGATGAACTGAGGGGAGAAGGTCATAATATTTACAGTCCTCAGATGCAGAAACAGGAGGTTCCTAATCCAGCACAGCAGTATTTGGCTAGCAGCTGGCATACAGGATTTCTTAATTCTCGGGCTCTTCCTTATGCCATGCTGTTTCTAAAAAAATTTACCATTTCCAGAAATACAGCAGCAAAGCAAAAGTGGATTAAAATCCAGAGGAAAAGGAGTAATGGAAAAAAAAAAAACCACAACAACAAAAAACCCAACAAAAGAGCACCAAAACCCCCAAATTCTCAAAAAATAATTTTTTATCCATATACTCCACTGTAAGAAAAAAGGGAGGAGAAGGAGAAAGTACAAGTTGTGATATGGAAGAAGTGCTACTCTTAAATCCCTTCCAGTGCCTTGTGAATAAACCATCAGAATAGCTCTTTGCATATATTATTGCCCCATTATTTCTTTGCCTCTTACTGTACCAGTGCAGTGAGTGGGTTGTTGCTTCTTATATACTTGTCCAGTAAGAGGATGACCTGGAATTTCCCATTCCCAGTAAAAGACAAAACATTTTCCAGGACAGGGAGGAGAAATTTTCGTATTGGTTTCTACTAGATCTGATCAGGCTTATATTCTCAGCTTTTAACTGATGAGAGAATTACTCCTCTAAAGTAATTCTTTAGATGTTTCCTTAAAAACATACAATTTGTGATACTTCTGTATCGAAGGTTTCCTTTGCAGGAAACTGGAAGCTTTAGTTACCAGACTCTCCATCCTTGAGTCTAAATATCAGTAAGATTTACACCATCAAAATACCTTGTTTTATTCTTTCCTAGCTGGCAAAAAGACAACTAACAGCAGCTTGGCAAGATTACTTTTGATGAGAGCAATATGAATTAAATTGCTAAAGCCTGCCTGCTGAAAACCAACTCTGCCATTTCTTGCTGTCTTACTAATGTAGCCAAATCTCAAAATAGAATTTCTTTTTGTGTACTGAGACTTTAAAGATCCTGAATCTGTCTGCTTTTCCTCTTTGTGGACTTCCTTGGGAGAACAGGATGGTGGGAATTGTGGTTTTCATTTTTTTTTTTCAGTGAAAGCATCTTTTCAGATTTTAAGGTGTTTATTGTTTTTTTTTGATAGCTCAGTGAATATGTGCTTGCTTTCTATCAGCTTTTTCTTTCTTTCTGCCTATGTCCAAGAGAAGTATGTTTTTGAGGTTTTGGGTGATTGTTGTTTTTTCCCCAGATGGGGGAAAATTTTTTTATCAACAGTGGATATTGTTGGGGTTTGATTTGTTTTTTTTCTCCCTACTTTATTTAGAAAATAGTCTTGGATATGAAACTGTAGAACTCCAAGAGCCTGCTCAGGGGAGGAAGCATTTGTTTTATACTCAAGTGAATTCTAGGTAGTGTTGGTAGTATTTTCAGCAACTTTGTATTTAAGAGGCTGAGATGGAGAAAGCATACTCCAAAATTATTGTGGTATAGCTGTAGTTCTGTAGTGTTTCTAGTGGAATAAGAAATCTGGCATTTAAAACAGACTGGCTTGTATTACTTTCAGTAAGAAGTCGTATTACTTTGGTCTGATGCATAGTAGATAGCTAAGGGGAACAGCACTTAATGATGTGTGTCTTTCAGCTGGGACTTTAGACTTCAAAAATAGTCACTATAGCACTTTGCAATAATAGAAAGCATTTATTTTCCTTTCTTGCTCTGGATAATCAAATTGGATGGCTCACAGTGTTTTGCTGTCTCTTGGAATATTCAGTTTATCCTCTTCCTGCTTACGGGATGCCTTCGTAGTTATATTAATCTTGTACAAGGTAACTGCAAACTTTGACTACCCAGATTACCATTAACTGCTGATGCTTTCCAAGAGATTCATTCCTTTGGCTGTTACACAGTAAAGAAGAAAGCCCAGAACATCTTCTGTTTGTAATTTCTAACTAGCTAGAAGAAACTCCTAAAAGTCAATGTAAAATCTTCAAAAGATCTCTTTCTTGAAAGTGTTAAGGTTTTTACATAGAAATTTTACTATAACTAAAATACCTCTAGGGCATAAGTTAGACATCTAGATAATGTAATTCTGACAGAGCTGGGTTAATAGTAAAAAGTTTGAATTACTGAAGTTTTAGATTTGAACGTAAAAGTTTCTAGATTCTTTATTAAAACTGTAATGTTTTTTTCCATAGTACTAGAGGTATACAAATAATTTGCTCATGACTGATACCTGTCTATGTGTATATGTTTTGTATATTTAAAGAAAAATATAAAACTGACTCTTATCTACAATTTATAACTTGTTTAAGGGTCTATATATGTCTAGTGGAAGGTTTCCCTGGCCATGGCAGGGGTTGGAAGTAGATGATCTTTAAGGTCCCTTCCAAACCAGACCATTCTGTGATTCTGTTTCTGGGGCTGGGGTGTTAAGGAACTCCTAATTCCTAAATGAATTTAAGGTTTCTTATTGATAGCCGGGTTAATTGCCAAGTCTAATGCATGCTTGTAACCATGCAACCAGATACCCAGATTTCTATATGGTCATGGGACCATGTGGTGCTCCAAAGAAAAGTTGTAGCCAGGAGCAGGCTGTTTCTGTGGGAACAGTTCTGATACATCTGTTCCTGTTACCTTTTGTAGTTGCCCTTTGGAAAAACAAATGTCAGGAGCAAGCTCTGTCAATGCACCTTTATGGAGGCAGTGTGGTATAGTTCTAAGCGTGCACGGTGAATTTTGAGTTTCTAATCCTGAGCCTGGATTTAAAGCACCCATTCAGTACATCTTACACTTTCCAAAAGGCTTGCACACAATAACTACTGTTAGAGGGAGGAAGGTTAGCTGCATGCAGTCCCTTATTACTGAAAGAAGTAACTAGGAAGGTTCACCACCTTTGATCTTACAGTACTGATGCCTTTAGGGACCTTTTGTAAACACCATATCCACCACTTACATCTAACATATAATGGACAGACTTAAAAGTGAAAGATCTTACTTTATCTGGAGTTCTCCAGTTCTAATTCACAAGTATTCTAAATGTAGTTTTGAATGTCATGTTATATTCATGACCGGAATTTATGAGGAATTATGGCAGGACCAAACTACTGAATACATAATTAATAATTTTAAAGGCTTGATCTTCAAAGGTGTAAATGCAAGGACAAAAGCTAGATCAATTCCCCCATAATTTGCAACACACTTTGTATTTAATAGATCATCACCTTACTGTGTGGAATAAAGATTTCAGCATTAATTGTGAATTCCTGTATTTAAAGGCCTGTAATAGTCTCTGGATATTACTTCGTACAAGTTATTTTCTCTGTAGTGAGGGTTGCTCATTTGAAGACTGAAATGGCAATTTTTGTTTAGCATGTCTCATTCGAAGACACCCCTGAAAGCCAACAACCGTCCTCATAATGAGAATTTTTCCAACATGTTAAAGACCAGTGTGAAATACTGAAAGGTAGTTTTGTAGGGAAATGTGAACAGTCTTGTAGAAGAATACTGTGCAGAGATTTTTCTTACTCTGTTCTTGTGATCTAATAATGCAACTTCTGTCTGTTGTGATTGATTCTTAATACTGTCCTCATAGCTGAGATTAGAACTGCAGGAGATGCACTTTGAATCATCACTACTTCTAGATCATTTCCCCACATGAGCATTGCTGAATATTCACTTGGTGCATTAATGCTGAAGTTATACACAAAATACACTAGCTGTCTGTAAAACTGTATCAAGCATTTCTAATTCTCTGAAGATTCATGAGGGACATGACCTTTTCCAGAACCGAGGCTACTCTTCCATTAGGCATGCTACGTCAATTTTATAGTGATCAATAATATTTTAAAATGTAGAAGAAACTATTCGCAAGTGGTTTTTGTATCTTGCAAGACCTTGCAAAAGTGCTATTAGTGTTGGGAGATGTTCGATCAAAGCTGTTTGCAGTCCATCAGTTATGTGTAAATGTTTTATGAACTTGAATGTGAAGGTTTTAAATAAATGGAGGTTATACTGGGAGCACTGCTTTAGTAGCGAAACTACTTAATACCTCACTGTTTGGACTTTCCGTATTAAATTTCATCACCATTTGGAGTTTCACTGGAAGTGATGAATTAGGTGATTTTTGGCTTTTTGTTGTGCTTTTTCAGAGTTTTCAGTTTTTTATTGAAGTGGGCACACAGGAGTAAACAGAGTCTTAATTTTTGTTGGCAGCTTGAAGGTAATCTCTGTAGCTGACAAGAGGTGGGAAGCTGCCTGTCAGTTGTAGGGCTAAATTGCTAGACCCAGTTCCACAGTGATGCAGTTGTCTGCTGATTCATTAACATCATGCTACTATTTTTGATCTATCTAAAAGATAATACAAGGAGTAAGGCAGTGAAGAATCAAGATAATTTTTTATTTTAATGACTTCGTAACTGTCCATACTAAGAATATTAAATGTAAAGGTTAACTGACAATGTGGGTACTTGATTGGAATTTGGAACAGCCTGAAAGCTAAGCAATAAACTGGTTCATGTAAATAAGTTGTTACAAAGCATAACATGTAACATTGTACTTTGATAATGGTTCATATCAGGCTTTTAGATACACTGCTCTCTTTTGACCAGAGTTATTTTTGTCAGCTATAATTACTCCACGAAAAAGAAAAACTACTCAACTGGAAACATTAGCTTTTGTAGCTGTTAGTTGTCTGTTGTGCCTGTTGGAGCCTTGGAGATTTTAAGTGACTGTACATGATACGCCACCATAGATAATGTGTTCTGCATGTATTCTAAGTTGAATAGAATGATTTATCAAATAATAATTTTCATTGGAACATTGGACTGATTTGACTGATTTGCATAAGTAATGATTTATAAAACTGTGCCTGAGAAATTACCTGAATGTGGACACTAATCATAACTATGTCTTTGTTACTAAATTCTTGCTACAGATATTTGTATTTACTTTTTAAAGCTGCCTATAGATTGTTAAGGCCTAAACAAAGGTAGATGATGCTTCACAACATTATTCTGTGGTAGTATGATTTAGATTATCTGTATGATTATACATACATATAATCTAAATGTGTGGTACCTGTACTTTTTTAGTTTGAGGTGAGACAACATGTGCCCTCTGAGATGGCGTACATTACATTCAGTTCCTTACCATAATAATAATGGAATTGGACCTATGTGGTGTCTGCGGTCAGCCCCCGAGCAGTACATCACCCATAGGGTGCTGTAAATCCAGGCTGGGGAACAGCTGAGAAAGAGGGCAGGCAGGTGTTGGCTGTTACAGGCATCAACACAGTTCATTCAGGTTCTTGTTTCAGTGCTGCTCACAACTCGGGAGAGGAGCAGCCTGTGGCTAGGATTCATTGCTCAAATGATGGCAGCCCACTCCCCACCACTGCTCTCCTGCAGGTCCCTCTGCCCATGCGTAGCAATGCAGTCAGACTCCCCTTACGTGACAGGAGACAACTACAGTTGTCCTTCCACCCGATTGTGTTTCCCCCAGCATGTCCCTTCCCATGAAGCAGGAATGCTGGAGAGGACTGTTGCCCTGGCAATTTCTGTAACCCACAGTCTCCTCAAGGGAACATTAATGAAAGCCTCAGAAAGAAGACAGTGTAACCTCTCCTGGACGGCAGCATAGTAGATTGAATGGTTCACCTTATCAGGTCAGGTGAAAACAGGCTTTACCTAAGCAGATACAGTGTCAGTCTGTTAATGTGATCTTAATGCGTGCATGTATGTGTCTTTTCAGGGTGTTGATGATGCCTTCTATACATTAGTTCGAGAAATCAGAAAACACAAAGAGAAGATGAGCAAAGATGGTAAAAAGAAGAAAAAGAAGACAAAGACAAAGTGTATAATTATGTAAATACAGTTTATCCTTATTCTTAAGAAGTACTTAAGTAATTTTTGTACATTACACTAAATTATTAGCATTTGGTTTAGCATTACTTTACTTTCTGCTTCATGATCCTTTTAGCTTTACCTGAATGCTTGTTTTAAATGACAGTGGAAACTTCATTCCTCTTAAAGTGCCAGTATTCTTTGACTGTTGGTTCTTGAACTAGCAATGCCTGTGAAACAAAAAAAAAAACAAAAACAAAAAAAAACCACACAAAAACCTGAGAACTGTCTTGGAACTCTTCGGTGCATGCACAGTTGCTAACTTCTTATTTTTCTTACTGATTGTGAACTTCTGTTCTGTGTGCAAACCAAACAATGAAATGATGCTCTACACATTCTGACATCCCCTTTAGTTTTTTTGGCATTTAAATCTGGTTGGGAAAAAGGACTAGCTAGCAAAAGAGACTTTTCATTTCAGCCTTTTATTTTAGACTGACTGCAATATAGAGAGACCAGAAGCCTTTATAGTCTTCCTGTAGATTTTGCTTCTAGGCATCTAGTCTTGTAGCATTTCAGATCAACTTTAATGAATGTAAAGATAAAACTTTCAGAAAAAAAAAAAGTTTTTCACTGCAATTTGTCTCGGTCGCTCCGTAAATACTCTATTTTTTCTATAAAAAAAAAGAAAAAATTAAAAAAAGACAACAATGCACATCTGGCAGTGGAAAAAGTAAAAGTTTGAATTAGGTTGATTTGATATTATTAATGCATTGCTTTAAGACTTTCACTAACTTTTTGTGTCTGAAGACCAAGGTGAAATCCTAGCTCTCCTGCATGACAAATCTGTACGTAGCTTTGTTCAGTAGGTACAGGATTTCACCCTTAGCGTGTCTAGAAAATACTAGAAAGCCTTAACAGATAAGTTGATTCAAATTCTTAGGTTAATTCATACGTGGATTCAGAATTTACCATAAGAATTAAATCAGAATGAATCCTAAATTATATAGGGAAGTAAAACCATACCCCCCCCCCCCCCCCCAAGAGTGGCACTGAATATTTTCAGGTGCCCATTTTGTGCAAAATAGGGGAGGAATTTTAAATTCTGGTGACATCAAATGAGTGAATGAATGAGTTGAATTTAGCTGCTTCATGCAAGTAATTTGGGAATCCACTATGCCATAAAAATGGTGTGGAATTTGCACAAACCGTCTGCATAAAACATGGTTTCCAGTGTCAGTGTTGTTTGTGTACTGTTTGTGAAGTACTTGTTTTGTTGCACAGAATAAATGGTTGGTGAGTGGCATTCCAGTGTCTAGACTATCATGAAGCTAGACCAAGATTTTAACATTGTCTCTCTCCGTGATTTAAGTTCTCTTGTGATCACTCCCCCGCTTTTCTTTCTCTGATTGGAATTAATGCAGAATTTTTGCAGAAGCTTTCAGTTTAGTCTAGGTATTCTGCACTGAAGTAACAGCCAGTAGTAATTCCAGTGTTGCCAGCTCCTGTTGTCATACTGTGTGTAAACGTTGCATTGTTTGGTTGGTTGTTAGGGCCTGGGTTCCTGAAGGTATGCTTCTTCATAGTATCTAACTCAGCTGCAGGGTGAAACTTGAAAATGTGACTCTGGTGTACCCAGAAAAGTAAAACACAAGACATTGAAGTAGGATAGTTCAGGACACTGGAAAGTTTGGAGCAGGGAAGAGCAGCATTGCCCTAACCTCAAAGTATACCTAAAGAATTATGTGGAAATCTTACACAGTACAGTTTTCTTGTACCTGCGTAACTTGGACCATTTATAGGATGTCAAAGGTGCAATTGCATGAGGAAAGTAGTATTCTGCTTCTAAAATACCATCCCCCCACACCTCGAAAATCTTGTAGGTGGAGGGCTGCAAAACAGGCAGGACTGCTGCCTGTCTGGATTGCTGCAGCATGTCTGGATTGCTCCATGTTAATTTCAATGTGGCTGAGAAAAATAATCCCCTGCACCTCCCCATTCCCCAGGCTCCCTCTCCTCCTTTCAGCTTTGATGAGAAATATAGATTATTAAATATTCTGAAAAACAGTAATAGGAGAACCTAACATTATAACATAAGGACCAATAAGGAATGAGAAAAGATTCTTAATGTTGCAAAACATTTCATAGCTTCCAAGGTTAAAACATTACGGAGACAGTTAGTTACTTGCACATTTTAGACACTCTTGATTATGTATGAAGAAAATAGCAAAAGTGGGTAGTATACCTTGAGTAAGGGGAAGTAATCTTAAGTTTACTTCAAGATTTTTGGTAACTGAGTCACACTGCATGTAAAATTAGGGCTGGTCTAAGATTCTTAGTTAACTAAAAACTGGAGAAATTTTAGCTGAAAAGTCTTAATCATCAAATGTGGATTTATATAGCTCTGATATAAAGCTATATATATAATAGTTTTGTGCTGGGTTTTTTTAGTAAATATGATCTGTAGCTACCAATCTAATTAAATCAGTACAAACCCTGTTTAGATTAGCCCTTATTTACTTCAAAAAATACACATCCTTGCCACTGTTGTGCAGTTTTGTCTTAATATTTTTGAGATTTGGTGAAGCATGTTGGATTGCAGCTTGCACAAGTCAATCTCATAATTATCCTGTCTTTCCCTATTTGAAATGCTTTCACAGAACATACCTGGGTGCTGTCTGTTCTGATAGCAGCTACTAAACGAACATGTGAATTGCTTACCACGTTAATAGATTAAAATTGCCATGTGTCAGGGAGTAACACCTTCTTACAGTAGCTTTATGTAACTCTGGTAAACAACTTTCTCATCAGTTTTTCTCAAAACTGAAATGTCATTATTTTGATTAGTTTCATTGCCCTAAAATGTTTTCTAACTTAAAAAAGTTTCACCATATAGATTTTGTTACAGTAGCATGATCTCTGTAATGGGTAAATACTGACACACAATCTTCTGCTCCTATCTACGCTCTGAAGCAATACAATTACCTTCAAAGACCATCAGACTGTAAACAAATCATTTTGTCTCAAGTTTACATAAAGCTACATAGATGGTAAATATTTCCTAACATTTCTTTCTTCCACTGTCTTGTGTTTTCATGTTGAAAATACTTCTGCTTTTTCCTCTTGAGTGCCAACTTCTTACTAGAATGACTTCTTAATGTAATATGTTTACCTGGAATGTATTTTAACTATTTTTGTATAGTGTAAACTGAAACATGCACATTTTGTACATTGTGCTTTATTTGATGTGGAACATATGCAGTGTGATCCAGTTTTTCCATCATTTGGTTGTGTGACCTAGGAATGTTGGTCATACCAGATGTTAAGTTAAAAAAAAAGGAAAAAAGAAAAAAAAAAGACCACTGTTTGTTTTAAAACTTTTAATGTTTTTAGGAGTATGTGCTGTGAGGTGATCTGGAATTTGTCATTTTTTTGTCAAACTGTACTGCTCCTATTTATTGTAATGTAATAAAAAATAGTTATTGTGAATTTCTGTCCCAATTTCCTTTTTCTCTCCAAGAACTTTAGTGCCTCACCTTGGTAATGGAGTACCCTCTGTACTGCATGTGTTTGGCAGTTCAGTTCTGTTTACTTCTCATCCTTCCCACTGCCTGTCACGAAGTGCTTTATTGTGGCAGTCCATCTCCTCTGATGCATACTGCTGCTGCATTCTGTGCTCTGCAAGGAGCAGAGCCTTGCTTTGGGTGAGGATGCACCTCTCACTGCTGTGTGCTGCTCGGGCTGTACAATCTACAGCCATGCCCCAGAGCCCTTATTTAATTAGTCTAACAGCAGACTTGAATTAGTCTACAAGTTTAAAATACTCTCAATAGCTATTCTGTGTTTATTCGCAGGTGCACATTTGTTTTCTTCTATCAGATGCCTTCCATAACCTCACAGAAAACACAAACAACGTATTTTAGTACTGGTTGTGTCCTAGGTGGGGAAAAAAGCCTGAAACCGCTACTGCTTCATAAAGTTATGATTTGGCCCTTTGTTATGTGGATCATCTTCTATCAGTTACCGAGAGGGGGGTTAAATTTTTTACATAGAGGTATTCATTCAGTTTCATGCAGGTTTAACTGAAACATACTGCAGAATTCAACTGATGTGGAAGGGCTCCTCTTCACATCAATGTGGTGCTAGAAACGGCACACACACTTCCTCAGAAGGTAGTGTACTAACTGGCCAGTGTTTTTCTTCATTCTATTCTAGAGTTCATACATGTGAAGACTTGCTATTGCCAACAGTTCAACTGCAGCGATGACTTACCTATATTCCAAAGATTATTTCTGTTCTCTTTCCAGTGTCACTTAGTTCTTGTTGGGGGTAGAAACACCATCCAATCCTAGTACACACATAGTTCTGGCACGGGTTTGTGCTAGTTGAGCTAGTCAATGGCATTAGCTGTGGAACAAACATCCACGGTCAAACTTCTGTCCCAGGAGGGGAAAGGATAAAGTTCTGTATTGCTGCTACAGCAATTACGCAGTGCCAGGAATCAGCAGTAGCAGGAACTGTCTTCAGGATCAAAGTGCTTAAACCACTCCTGTCCAAATTCACCCCCTTGCTGACTCCACAGTCTTCTGCCCAGCACAGTGGGCGAGCGCCTCTGCCAGCGTGACCCTCACACAGGAGGCAGATGTAGTTGAAAATCTTTAAAGACGCTACTTAAAGGGAAGCAAAGGCCTAATTTGTATTTCACATCGGTCAGAAGGATTAATGTTTCATTTGGTTTTAGGTTACAGCTTTTATTGTTCATTTTTTAAGGCTCTGTATCATTACATGGAAGTCATTAGCACCAGTTACTGATCGTCATCACTGTAGTAGCGCTGTTTCAGAGCTCTGTATTTTCTGAGGAAGTACAAAGCTTCCAGCTCTTTTATAACAAATTCTCCTCGTGCAATCAGCTGCTTGATCTTCTCTGGATCTTTCTCATCTTTATTTTTTAGAAAAGCTGCTTTCAAACGCTTTCTGAAGTAGTCTGCTCCTTTGGGATACTCCCTTCCGAGGTACAGCAGCTTGAGGGAACAAAAAAGAAAGATTTTATTGGGCAGTGAAAGGGGTTTGTCTGGTTAAGGAAGGTGCTCGTGGTGTTTAAGACACTTACGTTTTTGTATAGATTTCTCACTTCACTTCTTAAATTGGCCATTCTCACATTTCACTGACCTCTTAGTTGCGTCTGACTGGGGCTTTTAACCTGAAGAATAATCAGTTTGACATTAGCCTTGCAGGTAGCAAGCACGTCCCAGCCTCCTGCTCCACGGGCACAGCACGGGCTCTAACCATGCTCCGTCATCCAGCTGAGCCCCCTTTGCTCAAACGCTGATACTTTCTGGTTCTCTCTCTTTCTTCTGCTTTTGGTTAATTTTTGTTTCTTTCAGCTTCTCCCCCCCTTTCTGCCTGCCCTCCTCTCAAACAGAAAACAACAAAATTCCAACAGCTTTCAGCTGCAGTCACACTTATCTGTGCTGCTTGTCTCCTGCTCGCTTACGGGCTTTCTACCTAGCTGGCAGCTTCTTTATCTGCGATCTGCTAAAGCAATACTCACAGCTGTACATATACATACAGGGAGATATATATATGTATAAATTAGGAATTCCGACGCGTCAGAAACGCAATAAACCCCTTTTTATTTCTGTAAACAGCAGCACGCGGAACGCAGCGTGGGTTCCGCGGGGGCCCATGCCCATGCCCGTGACCCTGCCCTGTGCTCCCCCCGGACACACACAGACACGGAGAAAGCGCCCTGGCCCGCAGGCACGACGAGAAGGTCAGCGCCTCACCCGCTTCACGCCGCGGCCTCAGCCCCGCCAGCGCCGCTTTACGGCAAAGCCGTAACGGAGGGAGGCACAGCCCTTCTCCCGGTGGTGGGAGGAAGGACGCACGCCATTGGGAATCACGTGGGAGGCGGGGCTGGTCGCCTAGGCAACGCGGCGGTAACGGCGGCGCTATGGTGAGAGAGGTCTGAGGTGTGGGTCTCAGCGCTTGTCCCTTGTCCGTGTCCCAGGGCCCCTGTCTCAGAGGGTCGGGGGTGCTGCCGCCAGGCCCCGGGGACAGAGCTGCCGGCGCTGGCCGTGACAAAGCGGTGTGCTGGGGAAGGCCGCGGAGCTGCACCTGCTCCTTCAGCTGCTGCTGTGGGCAGTAGCAGGCTCTGCCCGTGCGGTGGGCCCGGGGCGTGCCGGTGCCGGTGCAGCCACAGGGCTCTGGGCTCCTGTGGGTGAAGAGGGAAGGACGGTAACTGGTACCTTGAGGCACTGGTTAGGTCGGGGAGTGGGTAAGGGTGGACGGAGGTGTGCCATGTTGGCTGCTGAAGTACCGCTATATGGAAAAAGAAAGATTTTAACACTGAAAACGAATCACGTGAAGGGCATGTTAACTTTCCTGCAACCTTCTTTGTGCTGTGGTTTGATGCTGTGGCTGCTTAGTGTGAAGCGCGGCCCGGAGGCAACCTACACCTTAGTGATCAGAATCGCTCTACACTAACAAACTTCAAGTTTCTTTTCTCCACCCCACAGGGAGTGGATTCATGTGAGTAATGAATCACACCGAGGTTGTGTAATATTACATGGCAATGCACAGAAAGTGTAATTAGTAAATCAAGTAAGAGATTGACTTGGGTGTTTGGGTTTCTAGGGTCTGTCATTTCCTGTTGTCATTTGGAGAAGTCCCCTAATTACATTTTTTCAAATGCAGTTTTCCTATGAATGACAAAAACCTCAGTGGGTTTCTGTGGCCTTCTAGGTCATTGCATGATGTAATATAGCGTTACTAGGAATAGCACATGGTATAAATTGATGAGTTCAGAAAACACTGAAAACTCTTTTTTTGACTGAATTATGTCTTGGGCTATATTATATGTTTGATATACATTTATTATTTTTTTTTAATCAGTGGGAACAAGTAGATACACTTCTATAACTATAAATGTGACCTATGCTGGTAAATTATGAGTCATGTGTTAGTGATTAATTTTCTGCAATATTGAAATTATTGTCATTACAGTTTTTCAGTAGTTCATCTAATTTTACAGAACAGTTGTATTTGCTTATTATTCCTTTGTACTCGATACCGTGTTCTCTGATATTCACTTTTTTTTTTTTCTCCCCTGATCTTCTTAGGCTCCAAAAAAGAAAACAAAGGTAAGTAGTCAGAAATGCCCTCTAGCTCACATACAGCATTTTGACCCTAGCAGTGTTCATTTAGAGAGTGTGCCAGCACAATCCTGTTATTTTGGAAATTATATGAGTAAAATGACAAAGCACTTCATGCTAAAATCAAAGTATGCACCAGTTACTTCTGGCCTTAATGTCTACAAAACAGTATTTTTCAGAGGATCTGCCATAATAAAGGTGTTGTGATACCTTGATATTATGCAAATGTACTTTTTAAAAAGAAAAAAATATATTTTTTTGTTTACTTTTATTTTTTAATCTGTATTTCTTCTGAGCCTGTTGCTCAGGCTCAGTCTGGAGCATCTCTCTTATAAGTGGAGACTGTGGAAACTGGACCTGTTTAGCCTAGAGAAGAGCAGACTGAGAGGCGCTTTCATTAATGCAGATCAGTATCTCAAAGGTGGATGCCAGGAGGATGGTGCCATGCTCTTTTCAGTGGTGCCCAGCAATAGAACAAAGGGCAATGGCCATAAACTGAAACACAAGTTTCACATCAACATGGGGAAGAAATTCCTTAAGCTGAGGGTGGCAGAGCACTGAACAGGCTGCCCAGGGAGTTGTGGAATCTCCCTCTCTGGAGACATTCAAAACCTGCCTGGACACTTTCCTGTGCAACCTGCTCTTGATGGCCCTACATTGGCAGGGAGTTGGACTGGAAGATCTCCAGAGGTCACTTCCAACCCTAATGATCCTGTGATTCTGTGAAATTTGGAAGAGGAACAGGCATCTCCAGGACACTAAGGATATGTGCCTCTTGCTAGGAGGCTGAGTACTGTTTCTGCAAACCTACCAGAGAAGAGGTGGTGAGCGCAGCCTCTTGAGTGTTTTGCTTGGCAGCTGCTGCCCAGGCAAAGAGCCAGTGTCCTGGCTTTGTGCCACAGACTGAACACAGAACATGATAGGCAAGGAGGACAACAGACAGAACTCCACAGGAAACTGTACTGCATAAATTCATGATGTCAATTATTGTTAATTTGGTAATAACAAAATTATCCACCCCCTCCCCCAAAATAGATCCTGTTCAAATGTAGCCCTTTAGAACTGTGCATCTCACTTTTGTTAGCCCTATGTAAAATTATAAGAATGTGAAAAGAAGCTGACTAAAAAGTGATTATGAGCAATTGAAACAAACAGGTTTTCCATTTACACTGAAAAAAAAGTAATACAAAATTATTATTTTGAACTGGAACTGATTGTTCCCTGAAATATTAATGAGTAGAATTGTAGGGTTTACTGACTTTCTTCTAGGAGAATTTTGCAAATAAATGCTTTGGTAACAAAAGTGCTGAGATGTGCGCTAACTCTGGTGAGTGTGCATTTGTGGTTGGCACTAACTTTTCACCATTGTTTTTGTTCAAGCTTTGAATTCAAAATTACATTTGAATACATTTCATTCGAATACCCTTGTATTCGAAATTACATTTACATATATATTTATTGCCATGCAAAGTTAAGTGAATAACTTTTGTTAGATCTGAAAATACACTAATCAAATCAAAATGTGAAATAACAGTATTTGTAATGTGCTTTTTTGAGTGATGAATGCCAAAGGGCTTTCTTAATTATTTTTAAGTTCACTCTCAACTGAGTTACTTGTAACAATATTTACCAAATTGTTAGAAATACTTGGGCAGAGTGGATGGGAAGACCTCATAATACCATCGTGTTCATTTGCAGCTGTCTGGATTTAAGTCCTCTTTTTTTTGTCTCTCCCAACTTTGTTGGAACTCTTTCTTTATTCCAAGATGGGCACTATGCTACTGTGCTGGTTTGGCACCATTCTGTACCTGTTTATCTGCAGAAGAGAAGCATAAGATTCCTAATAGATCCCTTTGATCCTTTGTGCTTATTTGAATTGTGATACCATCCAGTTATATTCTCTTGCTGACATTGTGGATGAAACTCATACTATTCTGGTTATTTTGCCTTTCTTGACTGAATCCTTGTAAGCCTTTGCCTTTCACCAGTGATGGCACAGGGACTTGGAATTTAGCTTTCTGATGTGCAACATCCAGATTAGGCACTTAGGCAGAAGATCATAGAATCATAGAATAGTTAGGGTTGGAAAGGACCTTAAGATCATCAAGTTCCAACCTCCCTGCCATGGGCAGGGACACCTCACACTAAACCATGTCACCCAAGGCCACAGTATCAACTGAACCACACAGCTTGTTGTCATCGGCAAACTTGCTGAGGGTCCACTCAATCCCGCTGCATCTCCTCTTTTCACATTGCCTCTCACTCTTAACCCATGTGAATTCCATATTTTCTGCTTTAAACCAGTAAGCATTTGATTTGATTTGTTTTGATTGTCTTTTGTGTGTGTCAGTGGCAGAGTAGCGTTGTTCAGCCAGTGCACAGATACACCACCAAATGCAAGTAGTTTGTTTTTCTCAGTGTCTTTTGTCATCCATATCTTTGCTTTCAACCCTAGTTTAGGCTGCTGTCGCTCTGTTTTCTCCGTATGCCAGAGCCTATGCAGAATATCATGGTTTATTTTCTCATATTCTCAAAACCCGGCCTTATCTGTCCCATTCATAAACATTAATGTTGTCTGTGAATTGATTTTGCAGTTCTGTAAAGAATCAGCCTCCTTGTTTTTGCAAGCTCCACAAACATGTTTTGATTTACTTCCTGTCTCATCTTTCTCTCAACCTTCTTTTTTTAAAAATCAGCTGTATTCAGGCCTTGTCTTTGCAGCATCTGCCTTCAGGAACAGCACTTCTCCCTGATTCCGTTCCATCCAGCTCAGATGGACTCAAGGCACATTGACTGCAAGGGTATGACAAGGAGGTGATCCTGCCCCTTTACTCTGCTCTCGTGAGACCTCACCTGGAGTATTGTGTGCAGTTCTGGTGTCCTCAACATAAAAAGGACATGGAACTGTTGGAACAAGTCCAGAGAAGGGCCATGAGGATGATCAGGGGACTGGAGCACCTCCTGTATGAAGACAGGCTGAGAAAGTTGGGGCTGTTCAGCCTGGAGAAGAGAAGGCTGCGTGGAGACCTCATAGCAGCCTTCCAGTATCTGAAGGGGGCCTATAGGGATGCTGGAGAGGGACTCTTTATTAGAAACTGTAGTGATAGGACAAGGGGTAATGGGTTAAAACTTAAACAGGGGAAGTTTAGATTGGATATAAGAAGGAAATTCTTTCCTGTTAGGGTGGTGAGGCACTGGAATGGGTTGCCCAGGGAGGTTGTGAATGCTCCATCCCTGGCAGTGTTCAAGACCAGGTTGGACGAGGCCTTGGGTGATATGATTTAGCATAAGGTGTCCCTGTCCATGGCAGGGGGGTTGGAACTCGATGATCTTAGGGTCCTTTCCAACCCTAACAATTCTATGATTCTATGATTCTATGACATGTGCAACGGCAGTGTTACCTGTGTAAACAGAGTAAAACTGAATAAAGATAATGTAGTCTTTGGTAAATGTTCTTGGCGAGGATGGCAACCTTAGGATGCTTGTGCAACTGCATTAACAGGAAATCATCTTAGTTGGTAAAAACAGATCTTTTGATTTAGATTCTTTTGTGTGTTAATGTGCCAGTTGTTTTTCCTTCTGTCTTTGATTTTCCGTGTGTCTTTAAGTGCTGTTTTACAGTGACAGTGCTGACTCTACGTGTTTGATTAAGCGTCCCAAGACTTAATCCCAAGACAACACGCAAAAACTAGATTAAAGGAAAATATAAAATGAAAACCCATCCATGAATCCTTTTTTTTTTTTTTTTCCACATGAAGGACTATTAGTAACATTTTCAAATCCAAAAAGAATTATGCTTGCCACTGTTCAGATTTCTTGAAGACAACGGAGTCTTGTATGTACACATCCAGTTATCAAATTTCTATGTGCATCATCAGTGAGAATTCTATGAATACTGTGAATTATAGGACAAAAATAAGTGTTTTATTTTGGTTAGTCTGTTACATGACAGTATATTTTGTATGTTACTTACATAGTCTTCTTTTTTTTTTTTAAATGTATACCCAGGCCACAAGAGAATTAAGAAGGAAGATAATTTCTGAGAACCCCAAATTTAAAATATAGCTATTTTAGGATTAGCCTAGAGGTTAATCAGTTAACTGTCTTAAGTTGCCATGAGGATTTTATGACAGAAAAGAGAACTCTTTGCTAGTCATCTTGTGAATTGGATGCTTCCAAATGCCTATGTCCCAAAATATATTTCCCAGTATTTCCTAAAATGTTTGAAGTTGTAACTTCTGCTTTCTTAGCAGATCTACCATGTTATTCAATCTCTACATTAAACCAAGAGATTGTAATATTCTCCTATTGTGGCTGTGTTCAGAAATATCTAGCATGAAATAATATATTAATTGAAAGAACATATATTGCATCATGAAAATTAGAAGAAAATTGAATTCAGTATGTGTATTGCTGTTCTGGAGTCCTCACTGAGTATGCAGGGAGTCCAAAATCTTAATTCAGTAATCACATTAGAAGGGCAAAGTTATAGAGAGCAAATGCCTCCCAAAATGTTTTACAATAATACTGAGATTTTTTTTTTTTTTAATTCGAAGTTAATTTGAAGTTTTTAATTTGAAGTTTTCTTTTAGTTTGTTGCAAACACTAAGTCTGATGCCAAAAAGAAAGCTGAACTACGGATATTACAGAGAGAAGAAGAAGAAAGGACGAGGAGAGAGCAAGGTACTGTGCACTTCATTTGAAGGGAATATGATGGCACAAGTCACCTATTTTAAATAAATGAGCAGATCTTAATTTCCTAAATGATATGTACATCAATGTCTGTCTCTATTTCACAAACACAGGTGATGCATTCTTCTTGTGTGCAACAACTTCTGTCCTATGTGTTACTGCATCTCACTTTCCTTTTTTCCTCTAGCTATTTCTACTGCAATTAAGAACTTTGGAAGGAGGAACTGGATTTTTGTTTTGTTTTGTTTTTTTTTCCTCCTCTCTTTTAATATTACCTTTTGAAATACTCTCAACAAGCTAGAAAACCACAAAACATTATAGGTTTTTATTTTTTTTCCTCCCCCTTCCTCTCAAGCCTAGTTGTCAGCAGTCAAGAGAAATTCCTTGAAAAGGATTTTTTTTCCAGAGAAGGCCAACACAATAAGTCTGTTGGCAGGGGCTAGCTGGTGTTCTGAAGGGGTAGCAGTTAAAGTGACTTCAAAGCAGGATAGATTAAAGTGTAGTTTGCTTGGGCTTCTTTTGTCTACTGAATGACTGATTCTTCACCCACTTCTTCAAGACCTTTCTATTATGTATCACTCTATCCCTTAAAATGAAATCCCAGTTGCATGGCTGACCTGTCCTCACCATCGGAATGTGTCTGCTTCTGCAGTTTAGCATCACAAGCCAATACCCCTGTCTGAACATCGGGTCCATCTCTTCTCCCCTTTCTGCCATTAATCCATCCTGGTGTGGGCTTGGGCATGCTGTGACTGCTAGTAAGCCATTACTAATCACTAATAATCTTTGTGGATGGGAGTGGCAGCTCAGCTGAGTGGAGGAAGATTTGGGAACTGCTGTTGCTCTTGCCTCTGAGCAATACATATACTTGAAGTGATTTGCGTGCTGGCGGTGACATCCAAGCTGCTGTTTGAGAACATCTAGACTGATGCATAGGCTCTGCTAACCAGGCTGAAGGCTTAGAGGTTGAAAGCAATTTTACGTAGTACTCACATCCTATCTCATTTTCTAGACCCTATGGCAGCAAAGAAAAGCTAAAACTGTGATCAGGAGTAACTGATCCTGAAGTGTTTCAATGAATAAATAGCTATAAGATTGGAGTTGTAGGAAATCAAAGGTTTTAAGAGAGGAGGAGAATAATTTAGGACTAAACTACTTAGTTTCACCATCTACTTTGGATTAAGAACCTGGGTGTGCATAGCATATCTAGCTGTAGATAAAGGGAGAAGGCACTCCTGTTGCTGTTTCTGAGGGGAAAAAGAGGGCTTCTCCCCTTGTGTTGACACGGGCTGATAGGAGTAGCACCACAGGTAGTGTGTTTTAGTACAGTGATTCAAATTAATTAGGAAGATTTCTGCACAATATAAGATACATGCTTATGTTGCTCATTATTATGGTTGCATTGTTATTACTGCTAATAAATTAACTTGTCTGGTTTTATTAAGCAAAATATAATTATGCTCTTGATATATTTCCTGATTTTCAGAGGAAGCCAAAATTCAAGCTGAACTAGAAGAAGCAGCAAAACTTGAAAAGGAGAGACTTGAACAAGAGATGATGACAAAGCTTGCGGCAAAAGTTAGTTTGTACTCACTGAAAAAATCTAATACTATTTTTGAATTTGTGACAAGGTCTGTAAAACATTAGTAAATTAGTGTCAGAATAGAAATCAATTTCCTTATGTCCATACTGTTGGGAACAATATAGAGGAAATTTTCTAGCATCACTAGGTTAAAACTAATTGTGAAAAATCTAGCCAAGCCACTGCAAAGGTACTCTTGTATAAAGTCCCACAGATGGAGAAGGTGGTGAGCTGGATTAGTAAAACATAATGCACACAAAGTCAAAGGAAATGGGGCTGATTTTTTTTTATATAGTATTCTTTCACTAAGCTAATGTTTGGCTTAGTGTTGATTTGATTGAGAAAAATTCCCTGATGTGAGATAGTCTTGCCTGGTTTTGATACATAAAGATGCTGTGGTTAAATACATTAACTTTTGCCATACGTGATACTCCAGTTTAAATAAATCTCTCTTCTATTTCCACTATACTTCCAATTGGATGAATTTTGTGTGTTCCCCATAATTATATTTGATACAGCTGTGGTGAGAATATTTTGGTATAAATTCTCTAAGTGGTTATATATTAAGGCAGATATGTTAATTTGTGTGTGTGCATGTGTATATGTGCATGTGTATTAGACTATGTATATTTACTTTTCTGAGAAGACTCAAATTCAGAACAAAATGTAATTGGTAATATCTAAATGTTTTTGTGTTTTTTTCTTTTTTAAAATAAGGATCTGCTACATTTTGGTTTTCTCTTTTTCTGTTTTCCTTTTTTTCTTTTTTTTTGGTATCCCCTCCTCCCCTTACCCCTGAAAAAGTCACTGCTGCTTGTGTGTCTAGTCCTTCACAAAATATTTTTTACCTTAGGAAGATGAGGAATTTAAAATAATACAAATTAAAAAAAAAAAAAAAAAAAATCTTGCACACATTTTTCCAGCATATGCTTACATTTTTTAGTAGCTCTTCTTAAAGCTATTTTCATGATGATGATATGGAAGCTGTTCAAGTGAGAGGTTAACAAACATATGACACATTATGTTTATCATATGGCTCAGCAACTAGTGCAATGACAATAACATATTATGAACTTTTGCAGTCTTCTCAATTAAATGTTTTATAAAAAAGCAAGTTGTCAGTGTTTGTATTTGTTTAAATGATATCTCATTCAAATATCCCAGTTTTTTTTCTTTGATATAAAACAACTGTAATAAGTAAAGCAAATATTTAACTCCTCTGTTTGGTATATATATATTTTAATAGGATCGAGAACGAAGGGAACTGGCAGAACTTCATTCACTGGAACAGAAGTTTTTCTCTGCAGAGCAATGGAAAATTGATTATAGAGCACATGCAAAGGTAAGCTTGCTTTCCAAAATCTGCCCAGTGTTACAGAGGTTCAACAATGAAGAAACTTTAGCTATGTCTCCATTGCAGAATCCAGGAGTTTCCATTTCTTGGGTTTAGGTGTGGGCTATGACTGCATTTCAAGTTCCATCCTGAGGTAGTAACTGGGCATGCTCACTCTTTTCTATCTTTTATATATTGTTGTACACAGAAAAATTTAGAATCACAGGATAAATCATGTTAGAAGGGACTTCTGAAATTCATGTAGTTCAACATCCTGAACAAAGTAGAGCAAACTCTGAAGCTAGGGCAAGGTGCTCAGCTGAGTTTTGAAAATTTCTAAGGATGGGGATGCCACAGTATCTCTGAGCAACCTTTTGGACTGCTTTACCACTCTCATTGTAACAATTTTTTTTTAAATGCAATTGGAATTTTGCATGTTACAACTTGTGATCATTGCCTAATTGTCATGATGCATCATCCCTGTGCATCTCTAAAGAAAGCTTGCCCCGGTCTTCTCTATACCTCTCTGTAGCTACTGGGGGATTGTATTTGTTGGTCCAGACTAGCAAAGCTCAGCCTTTCCTCATGTGTCATTTTCTCCAGTACCCTGACCATCTTAAGGTCCCTCCTCTTGCCCCTCCAATTTACCACTCTTTCTCTGGTACTGAGGGACACAAAACTGGATGCAGCACTGCAGATGTGGCCTCAGGAGCCCTGCAGAGGGAACGTTCCTAGGCTTGCTGCTTACACTCTTCGTGGTATAGCCCACTGTGCCCTTAGCCTTGATTGCCATAAGGGTGCACAGTTGCATCTTAACACTTTCGGATGATTTTTATTACCTTTTTCAGTAGATGACATGCTCTGACTTTATTATCCTTGTGAACAAGAGACACTGTTGGTCATTTTGAAAGGGAAGGGTGTTTCTGATGAGCATTTCTTGGAAGGAGGAACATAAGATTTTTATTTTTATTTTTTTTAAAGTAATGGCAAAATAGAAGTATTATTTTTAAAACAGATCTTTAAATACAGTACTGGTAGATTATAGGAAATAGCAGCCTTTGTATTAGACTGTTGTTAAGAATATTTAGGGCAAAATACATACATAATACCAAATGCTGATTTTCCACATCCATTTCAGTTCAGATTAACAGATATATTTACAAATTATCAGGAAATTTGTCCTTTTTCCTCAAGGAGCAGGTGCTGCCATTTTTAAGGATGTGTTTTCCTGATGATGAAACTGAAGCTCTCCTTTAAGTGCAAAGATGTAAAAAAAAAAAGAAATTGGGTGTTTTAATTACTGCAGACTCATCAATCTTTCATACAGGAGTTTCCAGTGCCCTTAGCACTCAACTGTTACTGCCTTTTTTTGAAGTCAGTCACTTTACATTGTAATGCAGTCTTCAGTAACATTGTGTTATTAATCTTCCCAGCAAGCAGGGAGGCAATGTTCCCTAATAAGATCCTATATGTATGAAAAAAATTACATTATAGGTGATAAATTAAGCCCATGAGCCAGTGTTAGGCTCAGGTAGAGTTAAGTGGGTTTAGCCTGTTGCTGGCTTCTTTTTAATTCCCCCACCTATAAGAATGACCAATAATTGATTTTGCAAATAAAATTATATAAAAAAAAAAATCTAGGATTTCACATTCCCACCAGAGGTTTTTGTAATAGCTGAATTATGCTGCTAAGGAGGACAAAATCTCTCCTTCAGAGGCAGAGAAAGGAGTAAAATGTTCCTAAGCAGCTTTACTGCAAGAGTAGGAATTTCAGTTTTGTTGGCAGTTTGAGAGAGAGGACCATCTGCCTCTTCCACCTGCCCCCGTTCCTCATTTATGTTCTCAGTCATTTATTCATTCAGCCCCTCATTTGTGGCAGGTACTGAATTCATTGCTTTTGTAGACATGCAACCTATACCTACTAGAGAACAGAAACCACTGATAAATGAATGAGTATAAGCAGCAAATGTTAGGTGGGCAGAAGTATCTTAACACAATATATCGAAGTAAACCTGTTTTGGTTTTGTTGCATAGTGATAAGCTAGGTGGTGTTACAGTCTTGTTTAGGTGCAGGTATGATTGTATCACTGTAATATATTTGTCTTTCAGAATCCTTTTTCATGTAATAGTCATTTGCACCATATGCCTGTATCTACTTTTCCTTGAACATTTTCTGTAGTGGGAGCATTACCTCAGTTGTGATGAAAATCCTGACCCAACTGTACTGCGGGAAATAAATACTTTCATGAGCTTATGGCGTGAAGATCAAAATAAGGACATTAAACTTGTGATGGAGAAAGGGGAGCAGGTGCTAAATGTAAGTGATAAAATGGTATTTTTCAGTTTAAGCTTACCAGAACATATCCTTAACAGCCCCCTCCCCCTCCCTTTTTTTTTCTTCATGACCCAGAAATTTTGCTTCAGTTTTTACATTATTTTTAATTACAGATTTATTACTCTGAAGAAGATGCCTATTGACTTTAAATATGCAGTGCGTTTAAGGGATTTGTGTGTAATGTTTCTACACTGAGTTCTAGTATTCCAACATCCATCTTCCCTGCTACATACATTTTAAACAGTCTTGAGCCAGAACATATAAGCTCATGTCATACATAGATACTTCAGTGGACAGCATCTTTATTGTGTAACACAGCCAGTAAAGTGTCATATAAAAGCAGAAGTTCCCAAAACACAAACCACCAACCACTGGTGGCTTGTCAAGCAATTTTAAGCGATTTGTAGCTGCTTTGTAAGTTAGGATTTTATTTTAATTTATGCTAACTTAACAGTGGTTTTCAGTAAGTTAAATGGGCTCTTCCAGAATTTGGGGGTGAAAGCTGCATGTGTAATACAAATTTCATTGAGCTGGTTTGGTTCTGAGTGTTAGATTTACTGTCTTGCAGTGCTTGCTGGGTGCTGCAATTTTCACCTTCTGCATACTGCCTTTTTCTTTGCCAGCGGGAAATGTGCTAGTCCTTTCCATGAATTTCAACAGATAACTAACTCCTCCCTTTCCTCTCTGCTACACTGCAACCCAAGCAAAAAGCCTGGCAATTACCCACTTCCGGTCTTCGACACTCTTCTCCTTGCTGTCACATCTTTCCCACAAACACACTTCTTCCCCCTGCTCTGTGTTTCCCATCCAACACTGAAGCAGTTACAGCTACTTCACATCCTCTAAACGTGCACTGCCTTGCACTGTATGCTCAGTAGCATATTCATGTGATGCTAGAATATAGGCAATTTCATTTCATCCTTACTGGAAATGTAAGGTGATGTCAAAGATGATCTGTCTTCTCTTGGTCTAAACCACCTGAGCATCCCTGGCAGTGTTCAAGGCCAGGCTGGATGGGGCTTTGAGCAACCTGGTGTAGTGGAAGATGTCCCTGCCTGTGGCCAGGCAGATTGTTACTAGATGAGCTTTAAGGTCCCTTCCAACCCAAACCATTCTGTGATTCGATATGATTCTTTGATTTCCTATTTTACAGGTTCTTAGAAGTTTTAGAGGAACTGTTAAAAGCTCTGAACTGTAGATCAGCAGTTCAGAGTTGACATGGACCACCTCGCTGTTGAGGCAGGCCACGTTGAAGGTTACAATTCTGCTGCTGCTTTGCTACACTAAATGAGCAATAGCGCTGCGATTCCACAGATGAAGGGGAAGAGGAATCAGGCCAGTCTGGAACAAAGGCATAAATATAATCTGATCCTCCCTTCATCTCAGTACTGCAGGTTACTTTGGCCAGCTGGGAATTTTTTAGTTCTCTATAAGCATTTAGATGTTTAGATATTAGTATGTAGTGCTAATAAGGCAACAATGTTATGGCAGAGTTCACACTAAGGATTTTTCTGAGAATTAAAATGTAACTGCTGTATGTTTTTCTGTTGTTTGTTTTTGGTTTTTTTTTCAAGATTTCATAGTTGAGATTATTACTTTAGAAAATAGGGTTCCAAAGTAGAGTTGTAAACTTTTTATTAAACCTAATTTTTGACCAGAAGGTTTCCTGACATGAGCAATCCCATTCAATAAATGATCTATTTCATAAGCTAAGATTTCACAGCCCACAGGTTGAGGAATAAAGGAATTGGACTAGAGAGATGAAAACAGACAGACTTGACCCTGGAATTTCCACACTTTGAATGGTTGACTGATAATGCTGGCTTAGCATGATTTCTAGAGATACAGTAGAAAAAGATTATTTCTATGACCAAGATACATTTAGGTACAAAGGAAGCATAACTGTTTATAACAGAACACACAGTGTATTAAGGGTGATGTCAAATCAGAGATATTTGTCCCACATATAATGTCTTCTAGTTAATTGAGAAGTTGCAGCTTCTTTTATTGGATGCATCATCAAATCAGTTAACAGAAAAAGAAATAGTCCAGTACCAGGAATCTATTTTGGAGCTGCAGAATCTGCTTCATGAGAAGTACAATGGAGCTACAGAGCACCTGCTTAAAGTAAGATTTACTACTTTGGAGCTGTAATATTCACAGTGCGCGCAAAGTTAGCTACAAGTGTCTTCTTGTGATGGTTGTTTTTGTTTCTTCTTAAACTGGCATAGAGGTTAGTCTGTGAGCTTCCAGATTTAGCATTTGAGTTTCCAAATCGTGTGGATAGCAGGTACCAGACTTGTAATTCTTCAAACCTCCTGAAAATCTTAGCTTTACAGTGAAAATTCCAATCATTTAGACATTTAAGATTAAATTATTGTGAAACGTTGTGAGATTTGGAGATGCTGAAAACAAGGGGCACTGTATTAAATTTGTTTCCTGTTTTGTCTCAGTGGTTTATGTAAAGCTAGTTGATTGTACAAAAATTGCAAATATGAAAAGTTGGTCATGAGGTTGGTTTGTACACATTTTTAATCATATGACTGAAATATTTTTAAAACTAAGATCTTGGGAAGAGTAAAGGATATTTAAACAAGAAAATGAAAATGTACTTGGGAATCAGTTTTCTGGGTTGCATGCACAGGTAGCAATCTTCTTTGCTACTTTAAGTATATTAATAGTATATGTAATAGTATATGTAAGTAAGTTTAACAAAATACTGTTTCTGGAGGAAACAAAAAGGAAACGGACTAGACAAAATAGTGAACCAGTCGTATGTTCAGAGTCAAAACCCTCTGCAAATTGAGACATTTTAATTCCTTGATTGTCTTTACTGAGTTTAGGATTAAAATCCTAATGTAATTTCATGAGTTTTGTGTTGACAAAATTATATTCTGTGCAGTGACTGTGGGATAGGAAGTCCATTATTGCTCAGTAAGTCCTTTTTTTTTGACCTTGCTAAAGGGCAGTACCCTTGAAAGGGATAATGTGAGATCCCATACTTTGCATTATTTGACTGTCAGACTTGATGAAGTCAGAGGAAGAAAATTAACATAGTTCAATTTTTAGCAAAGAGGTTTGAGTTTATAGCTGTCATATTTTAGTACATAAATGCAATGTACATACGCTTGGTATGGTGTACTTTTATTCCTGTATGTTTGGGGTTTTTTCTTTATTCAGGTGTAAATGTAAGTAAATCAAAGTGATATAAATTAAAAAAAAAAAACAACCATGACTTACTCAGCCTTTTTTCCTTTGTAGACAGCCTGTATGTATGAAGATTCTGAAACTGGAAATATGCATGCAGTCATAAAGGATAAAAATGTCACTTTCTGTATCTGGGTCAACTTGAAGAAGAAAGTAAGGTATAGCATACTGGAATTCTTAATTTGAAATGAGGCCTGGCCTTGTCTACCTAAGTTAAGTAAACACCAAGAAGCAGTTTTTCATGCTCTTTTTCATGTTGAATAGCATTCATTCTACAGACCTCCAGCTGATGGATTTCATACCAGCCTGTTGCTAAGGAAAATGCTGGTTACATCAGAGTTTCATTAAAGAACAAGAGTGGTTCATATCTGTCTCACTATGAGAGAGTTGCTGAGTTCCTGTATCGGGTCTAGAGAAGGGTAACAAAGCTGGTGAAGGGTCTTGAGCACAAGTCTGATGAGGAATGGCTGAGGGAATTGGGGTTGTTTAGACTTGAGAAGAAAAAGTGCTGAATGATGCTCTGTGCTCAGTTCTCTGTTAACTAAAAGATTCTGGGATGTGAATATCCTCCATAGTAGGTTCTGAATCTAATATAGTTTTTATTAAATTGCTGTTTAATTGATACGCTTTTCAAAACAAGATTTTTGAGTGGACTTCCTATTCCCACTCTGCAAATATGAGAAATAAATTGGTAAAAGGACTTTGCTTTGGCTAAGGACCTGTTGCTGTAAGCTTTGCTAAGGTAATTAGGAGGGTGGATGCTGAGCAATGTCAGACTAACCTGCAGGAAGATTCCATCTGGGTTGGTGTTAAAGGTTTCTGGTCATCTTAGAAATGTGCTTAAAATTTTCAAGCAAGAATAAAAAAATAAATGTTGCTTTGCTAGAAGATTTTTTTAGAACTCGTGACCTGATCTTATCCAAAAGTAAGCTCTGGCTTTGGTTGGGCAGGAATTGCAATGAACAACAAACTTCCATATCTGATGAAAGAACCCAAGTTCATAACTTAGACACTCTACCTAATGCAAGTTGGCCTCCTATGCCTGCTCTTAGCCTTTTTCCTGCACTGTTACAAGGATCAGTGGCTGTGTAAGACTATTGGTTAAGTTTACCTTTACATCTTTGTATCTTTTTGGGTTTTATATGAAAGTTGCTGAGACTGATGTAACACAGACAGCTGGTGGCTTCACCTATGTAGGATTTGCCTGTTAAATTAGTCAGTTCTACCAGGAATGTGCTGTGTAAAAGAGCTGCTGCCTGATTCTGCCTCATTGTCATCCTATCAGGTCAGTTATTTGTGCAGCTCTTGATCCCCTTAATGCAGTTGCAGCTTTTCTGGAGGGGCTTACAGACAGCTGTCAGTAAAAGACAGGAAGTGTATCATGACTCTGTTTTCATAGATTGTGCCATGTGACAAAAGAGAATCTAGGTGACTTAATGTAGAACAGTGATTTGAATACTTATGAAAAAAGAAAAAAGTTCTGCCAATCTTACTAGGGAATGTTATTTTTTAAACTCCTGTTTACAGGTTCAAAAGTCATATGTTTTGTGATGCACAGCATGGATTTGATCTTCCAAAGTCACTGGCTGTGAGCAGTGTTGCTGTTCGCATATTGCATACTCATTATGATCATGTGTCTCCACTTTGGCTGCAGTGTCAGAGTGTGCCAAAATTGGAAGTCTTAGATAGCAAAGAGTTAATTCAGGATTCAAAAGATGATGTAGAACCAGGAGAAGAGGGAAACAAAGCCAATGAAGACCCCAGCATGCCTGTTAAAGAAGAGCCCAGCATGCCTGCTGAAGAAAAAACATGTGGTAGGAGAAAGGTAAGTAAAAAACCTCACCAAAGGATGTTCCACATTGCTGTTGTTACTCAAGGCTCAGTTGCAGTGTAACAGCTTCTTAATGTATCCTGTGCTTGAGTGAGCCAAGTTCTTAAATATTTTGTACTGTGTCATAATTCTTCTCAAGGGAATGGAGAGATGGATGACCAAAGATTGTTGTACAGAAGGTAGAGGGGGAGGGTTTGGACAGGGTGGGATAGTTGCAGTGCAGTTGGCATGCATGTGTTGGCATTTGGTTGGTAGTTTAAGAGTAGGATCAAGCCATGAGAAACATCAAGTGCCATTGTAAAATGTTTCCATATATTCTGCTTCTGAGAAACTGACAACCCCATAAAATCACTGCAGGAATCCAATATTGGTGAAAGTCACAGCATGCAGAATAGGATTCAGGGTTCAGCAGGTCTTGGTTGTGCAGTTACATGGCTGCTCTGTGTCGGTATGCTGAAGCTTTGCCCTCAAGGGCTTCCCAAACACTGTTGGCTTCAGGTGTTGTGAAAGTTGCTTGGTTTTGTATTTTTCTCACTGGGTTGTTTTTTTAAATTTTGGTGTCATCTGTGACCTGCAAATAAGTGACTCAGATTCTCTATCTAAAATTTCTGCACAAATAACTGTAAGACATCACGTTTTATGTCTCTTTCTAATCTCATTTTAACTTTTCCCATTTTGTAGCCAATAAGTGCCTGAAATTCCATTTTTCTTGGTTTCTTTGTTTATGTGACAAATTTTGTCTTTCAGCAGTTTTTGCCTATGTTTTCCAGATTTTTCTTCAAGCTCCTCATTTTGTTCTCTCTCTTTCTTTCCCAGGTCTTACTCTCTTTCTCTCAATCCCATTTTGTGAACTGTCATGTTCCTTCTGAAAACACCACTTCTCTCAGCTGCTGCAGCCTGTCCTTCTGTCTGGCTCTGCCTTGACTTCTCCCATATTTATGTGCGTAAATGCTTCTTTCCCCTCACCTTCTGTCCTCTTTCTTTCCCCTCACCTTCTGTCCTCTTTCAGGAGATGTGTGTTCTTCACACATACTGGCAAGCACAGCACAGGGCACAGGAGGTGCCTGTGCCTCCAAATCTATGGCTGGTACTCTGAACTGCTGTGCTTCCAGAAGAGTCTGCTGTGATAGGGTTGAATTTGTATCTGGCTGGAAATTTAGCTGGACATCTACGGTAATGTTTTGAAAATAGCAGTGTAAGAAAGTGAGTAAGTATTACAGGCAAGGCACAGGCTAGAACTGCAAGTGGGGGTTTTGACAGAATTTCAGCATGGCTTTGGATTCAACATTAGCTTAAGTTTTGTTTGTGTCACTTCTAGCTGTAAAGTCAGCATAAACAGAATTTTTGAGTGCACATGCTGCTGAAAGGGTTAAGTGCTTGCATGGTACTTTGGGAGCTCAAGGTGGAATTTGCTGTGGGAATGAAGTAATTATGTTTATCTCTATTTATATATCCAGTTCCAGTCTTGGAGAGTACCTTTAATCGAAACTGTTGTTGCTTACTGGGTAGGAAATGATTTCTCCTAGAAACCTTGACCCAGTAGCAAGATTGTTGCTGGAGAAGAGGAACTGTACTCTTTCTCCTTGGACCTCCTTGAAGGAGGTGGTACCTCTTTTTTACTGAGTATAGTCATATGTATGTCTCTGACTAATGAAAAAATGTCTTTTGCTTTTTATATAGAGTGTTGGCTCATTCCAAGAAAACATCAGTAGCATAGCTGATGTAAATGAGACAGGGGAGGAAGCTGAGAAGAAATCAGAAATCTTGGACATATCATCACTATCACTAGGTATTTGGTTAGTTTTATGTACAGATTGCAAAAGTACTTATTCTAAGTATTTTATTTTATATATGGAAACATTGTGATAAAGATTTTCATGTGAAAAATAATAATGTTTATAAATATATTGGTGTCGATCAATATACAATGTTATTAACCATATCACCCAAGGCCTCGTCCAACCTGGTCTGAACACTGCCAGGGATGGAGCATTCACAACCTCCCTGGGCAACCCATTCCAGTGCCTCACCACCCTAACAGGAAAGAATTTCCTTCTTATATCCAATCTAAACTTCCCCTGTTTAAGTTTTAACCCGTTACCCCTTGTCCTATCACTACAGTCCCTAATGAAAAGTCCCTCCCCAGCACCCCTAAGGTCCTTTCCAACCCTAACTATTCTATGATTCTATGATGTATATCAATACAGTGTAATGATACACAAAACAATATGATTTATATAATATATAGAATGAAATATATAATATACAAAAATATGTATATCAATGTACAATATATCAATTATATATTGAGGGTAGATTTAGGTTAGATATTAGGAAAAAAATCTTCATTATGAGGATGTTGAGGCACTGGCACAGGTTGCCCAGAGAAGCTGTGTCTACCCCATCCCTGGCAGTGCTCAAGGCTGGGCTGGGCAGGGCCTTGGGAGGCATGGTCTAGTGGAAGGTGTCCCTGCCCATGGCAGGGGGGTTGGAACTAGATGATCTTAAGGTCTTTTCCAACTCAAACCGTTCTATGATTCTATGTTTCCGTGTTTTGATAACAGTTGAGTTTTGTTGACATTTCTATGAATGATTGCTAAATGCAGGAAGAAAATCAGCCAGGTAGGAAAATGGAATTTGTCCCCACAATTATTTATTAATATTCACGTACATTTTTGTTATGTTTATGTACAGTTGTGTATTGTTATGAATATATTTATGTATGCTTGTGGGTGAGACACACGGTTTTTATGAATCTGACAGGCTGCCTGGTGAGACTGACTTCCACAGAAAAAAAAAAGAAGATTCAGTTGCATATAATAGTAGGCACTCAGGTCATGTAAGTTATTACTGAGCATTACTGACATGTGGGTTTAAAGTGAGATACTTGCTGATACACTTTGCTTAAAAGAGGGCCTAATTCTAGGAACTAAAACTGTTTATCTATCTGTCCACATAAGTTAAGTTACAAATTTCTTCAGTGTTGCAGTGTCCTTCAGTTTAGTAAGAGTTTTCTTCTAATACTGTCTTGAATAAAATAACTGCAAACTCTTCAGCATAGTTTAGCTGAACTGCATCTTTTTCTTGTAAAAAACCCAAACCCCACTACATACTTTCTGCAGAGCACAGTCCAAGCAATTGCATGCCAGCCTAGACCCTAAAGACCACCCAAACAAGGTGGTTTTCAAGGGCATATAAAGAACTTGGGCTTTACTTGGAGGAAATTGTTATTTTATTTCAGTAAGACTTAGGAAATCCCTACCATAGTAAGTAGGTGAAATGTATGTGCACAGAAGTATACTAATTATACCTGAATGCCTTCTAGCTTGTTGATCCCCTTTAATAAGGGGAGAAGGTTTATGAAAGTATGCTTTTGCTGGCATGCTAATGATATTCAAATCCAGTTAAAATTCAACCAGTTTTCAGAAGAGAGTTTGAAAGGATACACAGTTGCCACAAATTCAGTGAGAACAGGCAGCTAGGTAGATAAGATAAAAAGTAGGAATGCGACAACAGGGAAAAGAGAAAGAACTACTGCATTTCTCTGGATTTAACTTTGTTGTACCAGTGTTAAGTTAATTTAGTTTGGGAGAATGAATAGTTTTGTTAAGCAGACAATTATTTTTGTATTATTATTTTAAAGAGAGAGTTAAAATGCAAGCTACCACTGTGGCTGGCAGTAAAATGTGTTTCACTTCCTGTGTATTTTTTTTATTGGAACAGGACATTATGTTGTTGTGTGACTACAGTAGGATAAAACATCTGCATAATACGACTACTTCTGACTTTATAAAATCAACATAATTTTCACTTGCTTTTTAGAAATCTTGTAGACAGCTTATATAGATATCTATAATTTTTTTAATTATCTCACTCTCTAAAAGCAAATTTCATAACACAAAGTAGCTGGTTTTTACAGTATTGAACACTTTTCTTGATCCCTGTTAACGGTAATTTCTGTTCTCCCTCTGTAACATCTGGTGCACTATTTAACATGGGCTTTTTTTTAGTTTTTAAAGAAAATATTTCTAGGCATATTTTTCCATGACATTGATGCCTTCTAATAACATTTTCCAATTAATTGAAACTTAAATTCAAATACATGTATAATATATAATTATATGTATAAAAAAAGATGAATTGTCTTTTTATCTGAAGATTTTGTTTCACGTTTGATCCCTCTTGCTCTTCATAAATAGGAACTTTCAGCTTCTCCACATTACCTTATATCTTATATATAAGGTGCCTTATATCTTTTTATTTGCCTTACTTCTTTTCATATCCATACAATATTACTAAACCTGTGTAGAATCTGCTGTATTCTGTACCTGTGAAATTCTTCTGTTGCTGATGTGACTCACTTTGGCAGTAAAACCTTATTCCTGTATGACTACAAGGGTAGAGCAGGTATTAATCATCTGTTAAAAAGCTCAGTACCAAAACAAGAGCTACTTTTCATTGTCCAGTTGGCTGTCCTTCCCACATTCCAGTTAACTGTTAGAGGGTTTGGGAAACACCAGTAGATGGTGCTAAAATGCTGCAGAGTGTAAAGCACATTGAGCCCATGTGCAAAAGTGAAAAATTGTAGAAGTGGGAAATTCCAGTGTCTTAGTTTAAACTGCAAGTTAATCCATGTTGTTTGGTTATTTTGTAGCTCAGGAGCCACTGATACAGGAAGAGATGAGTGAAAAAGAAGAGCCAAAACCAGATGAAAACATTGTTGACTTGCAGCAGTTTGTACCCGTGGGTGGTGTGTACCATATTGATGCTCTGCAGGTTCCACGTCAGGTCAAACGAATCAAGGACTGGAGTATGGTGGAGGTAAGTGAGGAAAGAGGTTCCATGCTATATAGTCCTCTTCCCTATCATCCTTAAAGACCTGTTCCTGAGCTGTGGCACAACTGTGCAGGAGCAGCGTACATGATTTCTTGAGCAGCAAACTGAACGGCCAAGTGTTCAAGTAATTTTTCAATTACACTTGGCCAGTTTTTGGAGGAGAACAGATTAGCCTGCACTTACAGAGGTGTGTGCATAGTCAGTGGTCATCAGTGCAGCTAGCACAGATTGTTGTGCTCTTGGCCAAAATAAAAGCAAAGAGAAGGGGTCTTAGTTTTTTCCTTATGTGAAAGGTACACTGCCAGTTCAGTCCCAGGCTCTGCAAGCTATTTGAGAACTATAGCTATTATATTCTAGTTTTCCCACTTGTGGAGCCTGATGCAATGTCACAGATTTTACTCTGAAGCTGAAAACCTTTAATAAGTGAAATTCCCATACAGATTAAGAAAGTGGGAGTATGGGTAGATCAATTCCCAGCTGCACACACAGATCTGCATTACCAGTCACATATGACCTCTTTCATTCCCTTTGACACTGTGTGGACAAACTAAGATTACATCTGCTTTTGCCTTGCAAGTGCTCTTGGGTTTTTGGTTTGTTTTCTTTTGTTTGTTTGATTTTTGGGTGGGTTTCTTTGTTGTTTTTTTTTTTTTTTTTTTAAGACTATGGGTCTATTAAGAAAATGACTATGTCTACTGTATGGTACTGTCTTAAGGGTGCCATCAACAGCACATGAAGTGTTCAAAGGCCTGTTGGCAGTCACCCTTTCACTGTCTGTCTATCATCTTCAACACTGTAGTTTGAAATGTGCAACACAAGCAAACCCTTCATAGTAATGAGTTTCTAATGGTGTGTTAGGAAACTGCAGGTGATCGGATGGGCTTACATAGGCTACTGCATTTTCTAATAAAAATGATACGTGTTCCTGTCCCACCTTTCCAAAGTTACATAATGTTGGATTGGAGGCATATCCATATCCCCCAGAAGAAGCTGAAGATGCCACACATCCACCAATAGAGATAACCCTTAGGCTTTCTGACAATGTGATGTATTTTGCAGCTCCTGTGATAGCCCGCTGGGAACCTGCAGGTATGAATTTAGGACATAAATTTATTGTAAGTTTGAATAATGGAATTTATACCTGAGTTTTACTATTTCCAGAAGCAGGCTGTAAAGATGAGAGTCAATTCAGAGCCCAGAAATAATTTAGGAACTTCAATAGTAATTAATTTGGTTCAGTTATTTCTGGTTCTGTTTTGCTTCTGCATTATATCTAGTAATGGACCACTTGTTGAGGCTTTTTACTGTAGCTTTTTAATATTAATAGAAAAAATAAATGCACACCATTTAATGGGCAGCAGTACACCTGTATGCCACAAATCAAGTTTTCCTAGGGTAAAGTCATGTAAAGTCCACTTTAAGCCAACTTAACATGTATTAGTATTAACTTAATACTATGAAAATTAAATGTTAAAATCCAAACGTGATATTCTAGTTCTTAGATAAATACAAGATACCTCTGACTTTACATTCATTAATGTGAGTAGAACCCATTTAAACAGTTTGATGCTTGAAGTTACTTTGAAAATTATTTTGTGGACAGCTTTATAGCACATAAGAAATGACAGTTACATCAGTATTTGTATTTCTTTTGAAATTAAGGAGAAGCTTTCCTGTCAAAATTAGCCTAATCTTATAGGTAAAGACAATTATAACGTGTAGAGTTTTTTGCCTTAAATGAATTGTCTTTATGCCTAACATTTTATCTTAATGATGGGTCAGTGTTAGTTATCCTGGGATGTCTTCACTAATTCTTCCCAAGTACATATGCCAAGCAGAAACTTTAGGTATACATCTTTGTATTTTTGCATCTCTTCTGTAAAGGCCAGCAGTGGAGAACTGATGACATTAGCAACACAACATATGAAACAGCAGAAAAGAGTATCACCTTTAAGATGGGGGCCTTTTATACAATAGCACTTCTCCAGGATGCTCATATCAACATGCCATATCAGGGATGGGAACTGCAACCTACTGGCACAGATGAAGCACTACTTATAGTTACTACAGTCTTTGCAATGATTCATATACAAATCAAGGTACTATAAATAATTTTGCTTATAAAACATTTGCAATTTAAGGGAAATTATTAGTGGCCTTTATTAAGAACTTGATGTGCTTCCATGAGAGCAACTTGAATCCCACTGTGCCAGTGAAAATGAAGGGAGATTTCTTCCTTTCCAAGCACACTAAGGAACAGTACTGGTAATTTAATTTCAGTTACTTTTTGTGAACTGGTCAGAAGAAAGCACTTGTATGATTGTTTCTGCAACATTCCAGTGAATGCTTTGATATTGACAGTACCTTGCTGAATTCAAGACAGTGGTATCAGCTACAGACTTAAAATATCTCTCCTCCCACCTATACCAAGAGAAATAAAAGCATTTCAGGCAATCTACTACTACTGCAACTTGTTCCTTCTAAAGGTGGTGTTACACATGATTATCCATATGCTTATTACTGTGTAAGTCATCTCAGTAACAGACATGATTTTAAAAGAGTCATTATGAGCATAAGCATGGGTCAGTAGGCCAGTGTCATTTCTGAAATCCTACAGAAAACTATGTTTCTTCAAAATAGCAGAGATACTAATAGTTGATGCCTGAAACAGAAAATAGCTTTTATGACTGGTAAGTTAAGCTTTCATGACCAGTAAGTTGCTTTTACTGGTTTGTACAACAGGGTAATCAGTGTATGTTGTCTTCAGTAGTGGTGGAAGAGAAGCAGGTGCTTTCCCACATCACAGGAAAATGGATAAGTCCACTTAACCTAAGAGAAGTTTTGAAAAAAGCTGGTGTGAATATTTTTCCAGGAGAGCGTTCTTACACATACCTCTCTCTGAACAAGAAGGTGAGTCCAAGAGCGGATGGTTTTCCTGTTGTTTTTTTCCCCCACTTATTTTTCACTTAGGAGGCATGTTGTGCAGAGTCAGGTGAGAAGTGCACAACTGTTCTGACAACTTAGCCAGTGAATTGTGGTTAAGCCATGTTTTTCTTACATCTGTATAACAGGGAGTTATACTGAACAACATATACTGTACTTTTGTATTACAGGCACCCATAGCAGAAGCTAAGGCCTATCAGCAGATGGCACTGCTTGCATCTGCTTTTGCTTTTGGCAGGAGCAAGTGGAATCTAGAAGCAGGCCAAGAGCAAGTAGTGTTCAAGGTTTGTGGATTTAGTCCAAACTTCTAGAGAAAACCAGCATAAGCATTATGTCACAGTTGAAGAGGTGGAAACAATTAACTTACAGAAATTGCACTCATCTCACAGTGTTTTCAACCCCTGCCTAGGCTGTTACTGTTTGTGGTTAGTTACTAGCATTCAGAGTGTGTGTGTGTGTGAGTAAAGCTTCAGAGCCAGCTTCTTAGCTCATTGACATCAGATTTCTACCTGGACACATGTCTCAGTAACAGAGAACTTGCTGATGTGCTAAGATGTAGAACTGGTAGGTTAGCTGTTTAGGCTTTGGCCAAAGCTGGGATGATAGAGCTAGATGCCAGTTTTCATGAAGTATCCTACTGGTTGTAGGACAGAACACACCATAGTGTTGAAGTCTTGAGCAGCTCTCCCACTCTCCTGAGTTAAATGCATGTGACATACAACTATTTTAGCTTAATACTTAATCCGAAGAGCAAGAACTAAAACAAATGAGGCCTGTTGCACCTAGCTCCTTTCTCCATAGGACTCAAGAGCAGCCGTGGGAGTGACCAAACCTTGTATTTTACAGAGGCAAACAGGATAGAAGGTAATGGTGTTGATGCAGTACCTGGTACACAGTCTTTTGGTTTAGGGGTTCATGGCAGCACCTTGGTTTTGTTTTTGTATTACATTCATGGGTATACAGGAATTTTTAGTTTCATCTAGAATTTATACTCTGTCAGTGTCATGGGCTTCATCTTACAGCTCATTTTTTTCTGCAATAGGTAAGTGAGCATCTTAAAGCAGAATCTGTCAAAGACTGGTCTCTTTATCTGTTTAATGGTCAGAAAGCACAAAAGCTCAAGATCACCGAAAGCAGTGAAGCTTTTTCAGAAGAGAGAGAGGAAGATTCTGAATTTCACTCCACAATCTACCATATGCTTAAGGACTTTTCCAGCAAAGAAGCAATAGATAAAGTGGAAACAGCTAGCTTCCTGTTCACTGATGTTGTATATCAGCTACTCCTCGCTACAAGAGTTTTAACATACTCTTAAGTACTGCCTGCTTCTCTTTAAAACTTTATTAGCAAAAGCTTTCAATAAAGTTACATTTCAAGTCTCAAATTCTTTCCTATTCAAATCATTGGAACAGCTTCAGTGACTAAAATACAAACATTTTAATTTTGTTAAAGCAAAATAAGTTCTTTATTCTCTTGTGGCTAGAACATTGTCATATTTCTCATTAGCTACGTTCAAAATTACTTTTATTGTAAACCTGAAACTTGTAAAGTTTAGGTACTTGTACAGATGACACTTGTCAGAATAGGAAAAAAAAAGTTTCTAAATTTCAAGTCATGCTTTTAAAAAAGAAAAAAGAAAAAAAATAGATCTCACCCCTAAAACATCCACAACCCAACAAAATAAACCCAACCATGTATCCTTAAATATACTATCACAGCTTCTCACATTCATCCAGAACTTGGAATAGGAACTACAAAAATCAGAACCTTTGTTATACTGGGGGTGGTCCATTGTGTTGGAGTCCTGTGTATGGCCACAACAGTTGCTGTAGTGAAGTCCAGGAGTCCCTGGTGCCTACAGGTGCTGCATCTGCTGGTCTCTGAAGAGACAGCCCAGTGAGGAAGCTTGTGAGAGCAGCGAGCAGTACCAGGATAGAAACAGAAACCCAGAGAGTTTTGTTAGCGTTGGAAAAGGAAGCCTTGAAATGGGATGCCCACAATGACATTAAATTGCACCTGCACAGAAGAATGAGACATAGAGGGGTTCAGTTTTTCTTCAAAACTTGGAAGTCCTTTCCCCACCCCACTCCCAAAAAACCCTAAAGCAAACCAGACCCCACAAACAAACATACAGATCCTTAACTATCGAAAGTGACAAGGTGGTTACTGTATCAGGAACTATGTACAGTGGTAGCTTGTATTCTGGGTTTAAAATGCAGACTTCAAGTAAGCAAGTTCTTGATCAGCTATTTAGGCTGACCCAACTTCTAAGTCTACCCACGCTCCACACTGTTTCAGAAAAGGATTCAGAAAAGCTGCCTTGCAGCCCATCAAGAAATCTTGCTTGCAGCAAGCACTGAAAGCACTGCCCTTATGGTTTTCCTGTTTTCTAGGGGTTTGGTGCCTTCCTTGAGGCTAGGGAGAAGTCTTACCCTGACTGTCCAAGTCCTAGACCTCTCATGACATTGGGCAGCTCCATCCTTTATCAAACAGTAGAAAGAAAATTCTATTTGTGCTTGCTGTCTTCTCAGTTTTAAACACTAGCATAACTCTCTTTTCTCCCCCTTGATCAGAAATGCTCACAGTGGAGGCTTAGTATTGTACAGTTGTATGGAATAAACAGTTTCTCTGCAGAGACAGCAGACCTGCTTTCCTGTGAGACAGGGGCTTCCAAGGGACAATTCTTTAGGAGAATACTCTCTTCTTGGGCTCAAGATGCTCAGTGAAATTAACTAGAATAGTCTGGAGTCAGTCCCGGTAACTACTTGTGTCTCAGTCTGCACTAAAACTACTAGTAAGTTTTGCACAGGCCTCAACTCCTCAGTCATTTTTATGAGTACATGTCAGCATGACCTGGTAGCCTAGCTGTAACATCTGGCATAGTCACAAAAAAAGATGGGATCATGGCATGAGGCTTCTCTTTACCTCACCATTTAGGATTAGTAATTAATCCCTGGTGGGGAGAATCTCTGGCATGTGCAATTACTCATTCCCAGTTGGTTTGTTTAAGAGGTGGGCATTAACAGCCAAACCAGAGCTACTCTTCCCACGTCCACCACCCAAACACTGCTTTGCCTCACGATGATGTGAGAAAACTTACGCTGACTCTAGGTTCCATTTTGATGCATGTTTTCCGTTTTCAGAGACACTTTCCTTCCTGGATGGTTCTTGTGCTTCAACAGGTGATTCCGACTGCTCATTCCTGTAAGCAAGCATCAACAGTACCAAAGCTTTTCCATCAAGCATTCAATTCGACACAGCTCACAAGAGTTTGACTTTATACCCCTGATCAGGTGGTGGACAGTCAAGAGTTCATTAAAAACAAACCAACCAACCCTGCACAACACACCTCAGAGGAGGCTGCTCTTGGACTTACTTTGTTTCAGAATGTAAGTCTTCATACTCAGCCCAGGAATATGTGCTAATGAACCGCTGTAGTGAAGGACGCTTCTCATTTTGCTTTGCTCCTAATCGCCCCCTGTCATGTTTTAAACAAATTTGCTTTAATTTCCCCATGATTAGAAATTCACAGAATCACAGAATGGTTTGGGGTGGAAAAGACTTTAAAGCTCATCTAGTTCCAGCCTCCTGCCGTGGGCAGGGTCACTTTCCGCTAAAACAGGTTGCTCGAAGCCCTGTCCAGCCTGCCACTGAACACCTGAAGTTCAGTAGTATTCTACTTGTTTGGGTAGGCCTTAGACAAAAGTTCCAAAATTAGTTACCTGAACTTCGGATTCTTAAAACAAAAAAGCCCAAACCCACCCACAAACAGAAAAACGCAAACCTAAAACAACCAAAAAGCCCAAACCCAAACCTAAGATCCGTCAATGCCAACTGCCTGGATTTCATATTGACAGTTGAGATGACTTTTTTTTTTAAAGCTCTCAACTTTTAATAAAAAAAAAAAAACAACCAAACAAAAAAGCCCCACATAAAAAGGGGCTGTAACATTTAATGCCAAAAGCTCATTTACCTACTGAAGCATGTGAAACTAATGAAAAGTTGTAGCCTAAACATTATTATGCCTCAAGATGCTCCATAAGCTGCTTAATACAGGCATAGTTATAAGATTTTAACCAAGTAACTTTACCAACTGCTTGATCTCCTGTTGAATCTATCACTCCGTTCATCTCCATCAGATTCATGGAGTTGGGCCTGGAGAAGAAGTTGGACACTTACTGCATTGGCAACTTCATGCTTTAGCCCAGCCAGTTTTGAGAAGATCAAGCACCTCACCACCTGAGAACCTTTACTTACCAGTGTCAACCCAATACCTGCACTTCCAGCACTCCTAGGCAATGCTGCAATGCTAACTCTTCGTAGGGATGATGGCTATACAAATAAGAGGCATTACTGACTCTATCAAGGAATGACTGGATTACTCACTGATCACATAACATACCATCTGTTTTTATACAAACTGTATTGAAAAAATAGATGTTGATACTTAGCTTGGAGTGACACATGAAGAATCAAATCACAAGCACAGCCCAAACCATATTCTTTAAAGGTGCATCTTTCCACACTAAATGCTCCCCCCCCACACCCCGGAATGTCTGAAGTGAGGCTGGATACACAGCTTCTGGCAAAATACAGCTGAATGCATTTAAATTCCCCTGAAGGTAGGAATTCCCAGTCAATTTGAATAGCTTCCATCTATTTTTTCCATCTTTCTGTGCTAACCCCACTGACAGAAAGACACATGAACAGTATTTCTTAACCACTGCATGAGAGCACAGATATACTGAAAAACATCTCCTCATGTTTGATGACATCAGCCCATACTTGAGGCAGAAACCCACCAAGCCAAGCATATAGCAGATCACCAGTGCACAACAAAGCAAAGAAAAACAAAGACATGCACTTAATGACACTTGACACTTCATGTTAGGCTGTAAGGGCCATTACCTTGAAGTTAAAAGGATTTGGTAGCTTTTTATTTGTAGATTCATCTGTGAAGAGATCAAACACCAGAAAGGTTTACAGGAATGCAGCAAGCTTTGTTTGCAACTAAGGGTCTGACTTTTTGCCATATCTATGTAAGCAGAGCGTATTTTTATTTCAGGAAAAAGTTTTCCATTTCATTAGATAATTTCATAATATTCATTTATTTTACATCCTCTACAAGCATCAGTTTCTGTTGCCATCTTTAAATGTGTTACCAAGGACAATGTTTTCCAGTCAGGAAGGAACAGCCTGTGATTCAGAAGGCTCCTACAAGTCTTTCACTGGTGTGCAAGACTGCCCTTTCTGTTTTTAAAACACATGCCCTGTTTTTCAGCAGAATTTAATACTTCTCTGTCAAAGCTGCAAGTGCGCATCTTAAAACCTGACCACTCTACCATCTGCTTAGAGGGGGAGATTCAGAACACCTGCACTTCAGAAGTCTGTAATTCATGTTTAGAAGAGAGCAGGAAGCATCTGTAGAGAGCAGTTAAAGCTCAGCAACCTACAAACAGCTACTAGAAATGCTTCAGTGAGCAAGCACCCAATTTTACTGCTCTCAAGGAGTAAGATTATCACTACCACATGCAATGCGGTAAAGAGCCAGAATATCACTGCATACTTGCAATGTTTCCCCCCACCCTGAGATTCATGACATAAAAGTTTCATCCGGAAGAGGTGTTTCTAGTACTGTTAGTAAATTGCTAATTTTCCCCTCTAGTTTTAGGTATGGAGATACAACAATCTTGTAACACCTCCACCTCAGAGGTTATGCTTCAACTTTAAGGGTCTATCTGGCAGGTGCCAGAAAGAGGAAAGATTAATCAGCTTTTCTTAGTTACCTCGCTCTCCAAGAGAACTAAAGGATCTCTCATTCTGGAGAAGGACCTGTTTCAGCTCCTCAAGTTCTGCATGTTCTTTTGCATACATGCGCTTCAGGTTTTCCACATGTTGAATCATTACTTCCACAGCCTTGCTGACGCGGCTCTCCTAACCAAGCAAATGCAGTAGAAAAAAAGAAACAGCTCTTTGAGGAACTTCATTGTGTTCAGATGTTATTAGTTCCCCCCCCCTCTCCCCTTAACCGTTTACTCTCATCTTGTATCACTGTGATGAAACATTCTCTCATGTTTGTCCACCCTTTCAAAGTGTCACTACAACCCATCTCTCAATGCGTGCCAAAGTTACACAGGTCTCATTTCTCCAGTGATTACTCTTATCCTAAAATAAATTAGTCTTCATTTTCTGAGCCTTTACAACTCCTCCTCATCTCTCTCTCTCATCTACAGTCTCAGCTGTCACCACGCATTTGCTGGTATTGCCAAGTCATATTTTCATGCTGTTCTTTGGCATTATGCAAGCACACACAAAACATCTGAGCAGGTCTTTGTAAATTTCCATAGGCTTAGCTTATTAGCTGCCCTTTACATAGGGCATAGAAATACCATTTGAGCAACAAGTCTATTGTTATCACACTGTATTCTCGCTCTCTCTATTGTACATGTCCCTCTGCTACAAATTCTCTTTTTCGATTTTTGTTTATTTGGTGTTCTTTTTGTTTTAAATCAGAACCATATTTCTGTTGTGTGCTTTTGCACAATGCTAATGCAATGTAGCTGCTTTCAGTGCCTAGGGTTCTTTATAACAACACAAACAGTGATCTGTGAAGAGAAAGCCAGGACTAAGCTGTACTGGTCAGTCAGCATTACAAACACAAGACTCCCAAATCTAATTCTGAAACCAGAAACCTAGCAAACACACTGCTATGTCTTTATATCTAGAAGCTTTTACCTTTGTGCAAAATACATTTACATGAAAGCGGTTACCTGATTAATAGCTCCCAACATCTCTGCCCTGCTGGCAACTCGGGCTGCATACTGGCTGAGGAAGTGCAAGCTTTTCTGCAACTTCTTAATGATCTCCTGCGCTTGATTATCTTCTTCACACAAAGGAACTAAAGCCTAAAAGGAATATGGGTAAGAAAACAAATGCGAGCTGCTAGTAGAGAAAGAAGGGTGACCCCAGCTGATGGTCCTAAGAAGTCATGTTCAGACCCACACAGTCACAAGATCAGCATCCAACATTCTGAATAAGTGTAACTTGACTACATACCTATGGGCAGAGACTTCAGCTTACCTGGCATAGAATCAGCTGAAGACAGCGGTTCTTGCCAGATGCTTGTACAATAGAAAGATTGCCCACTGCCTGAGCACACAGTACACTCAGACAAAGGCCAGCTCTCAAGTGCTAAGTCTTTTCTGTTTCAACAGCATCACTTCAGAACTTAATGCATTACACACACACTCATCCTAGAAAACACAGTATTGATAGGCACTTTCACAACTGCTCATCCACCCACCCTACCAACCTCGGCCAATACTAACCTCTAACATCTTTAGAGCATTTGTGATCTCCTTTTTCAAGTTTTCTTCAGCCAAGTCTCGGGACCTTTCTTCAAGCCTCACTCTCTTGTCCAAGGTAAATAAGTCACATTTAAAGCCTAAAGACAATCTCAGGAATTCAGCCTGTTATGGGAGAGCAAAAGATTTCAGAACAACCCATGATGCAGAAGTTTTAAAGGAGATTTGGGTATGAACACGACATTTGGGACTACACCCCCGAACAAAGTTATAGGGGAGATACAGAAGAGGAAGTGAACACGGCCGCTTTCCCCAAAGCCAGTCTTCCCATCTGTAGTGATGGGGGAAATAATCTGCAGCCAGAATAGGTGATATCCTGGCAGCACACAGTGTGCCATCTGTGTCTTTTGACAAAACTGTCTTCAATCAGCACATTCTGCCTGGGAGGAGGTCACAGCTCTGCTCCCTCAAGCTTGCCAGCAAATGTTTCAGTGGCGACAAATCTTTTGTTCAGTTTTAAAGATTCCCACCTTTTCCCACCCCATCCCTTCCAAAGTTTCATTGAGCTTGGAAAGAGAGATTTCCGAAGCCAAATTATAGAAATACACCCAATTTAAGCTACTTGGCATTGTTCTTTTATATAGGACAAGATATTAATCAGGGCTTATTTACAAAGCCTTCCCGTAGTCTGGGATACTTCAGGATGCAGGCAGTCAAGACTTACCTCCACTTCTTTCTCATTAGGGGAGTCACTGTAGGATAAGAAGAAACAATCATGTAACAGACTACAGCTTGAAATTCGTACCTGCAGGTGATCATTGAAAGTCAAACCACTTACGACTCATTTTGCTTTGTTTTATCTCCTTTAACGCCACCTGCAGTGGGTGAACTCCCTGAGAAGAGAGACAAAAGAGTTCTCAGACAGAAGTGAAAAAACAACCTCTCCAAAGCAGCTTGCGGAAAACGTCTTTTTAAATTCAACAGAAGCCACTGTCAAAGATTGCCAGTGTCAAGCTTTTGCCAAGCAAAACAGCTTGGGTACCTCAGAGCATATCAGGGTTAGAGCACCAGTAAGACAGCACAGCACTGTTGCTTGTGAAACCCCCCAAAAGTTAGCTGTTCAGTCAGCTTCAACTGACATCTGTTAGTACAGGAATGGTTAATTATAGGTTTTGGCTTAAGTCTCCAGCCCATAAATTCATTCCTAGTCTAGAAGAGCAGAGATACCCAAGCACAGTTAAATAGAAACATCATCCTGCTTATCTATAACACATTACTCCAAGCTTTAGCTAGCATATAGGATGCTGCTTTACAAATCTTTGGGGGGAGCAGGCATGCCAGAACTGTTTCACACATCCCAACTCCTTTGCAGCTCCAAAGGACTTTCCCCTCCTGTCTAGAGGGGGATGGACCTGGTTAGGTCAGTACCTGCAGAAGTCAGAGAAGCAGATTTCACATAACATTTTCTTCTCTCCACTCCTCATCTATTTTGATCTCCAACTGCAATTACTATTCCTTAAAGCAATCCCCCTCCCTCATAATAACTGGTGTGGGGTAGGCAGTCCTCTGCACATCTTCACACAGCTCTACCTCAGTGCCCCAGGCATGTGCACCAGTGAGTTATACGAATGTGTTCAGCAAAAGCTTCTTACCTTTCCTACTGGGAACCACAACTGGTGCTTCCTCACTCTGCTCTTTGTTATTTTTCTTCTCCTGGCCCACCTCCTATAGGCATATCAGAGATTAGTTACTGCAGGGGAAGGGCCGCACCACCACTGAAGGGACCTGTCCCCTCCTGCAGTGCTTTCTTTTGTCACTACTCAGCCAAATCTGTTCTATGTTTCTCTGTCACTTAGGACTCTTACCAGGTCTTGCTTCAAAACATTTTGAAAAACAGTTTTGTGTTCTTCCATTGCAGGGCAGAATTCCTTCTTCTTGGTCAGATCTGCTCCTGGGGAGAAACATTCCCAAAAACAAATGTAATGATAAAAGCACAGCAAGCCTCCACACCCTGTCTACTAGCAGTGGACCAATAGGGCTACAAGAAATTGCAGCAAATGCCATGAGAGGGCATGAAGAAGGGGAGGCAGCAGCAAAGAATGCTATAAAAGCATAAAGAAACTAGTGTGATGATAGTTTTATTTGGCTTGGCAAAAATCCCAATAAGAAGTGTTACATGGCTGCAAGTGAAAGTAGTACTGCTGGTTCTAGTTGCTCTAGCTGAAGTTGTATGAGATACAGTAATATTCCCATGGATAAATGAATTTCATTATTTTCCTACCAGCATATGCGTTTTTTACTTTTATATATACATATTTAAAAAGAGTTCTAGAGAGTTTTCATTTGGAATTCTATAAACAGAGGAATACGTAGAAAAAAATCCCATGTACAAAGTAACAGAAATGATGAGTATTTGTAATTCTCTTCTTTCACATTACAGAATATCAGATAAAGTCAAGAAATAGATGCTACTTCAGCTGCTGTTACCAGGAGCTTGAGCACAACCAGGTTATGAAATGCCTACAGCTGTGGTATTTCAGGTGTCCATCAGCAAGTCTGCCACTTGGGCTGTCCCTTTGTACCTCAAAATGGAGCTAGCAGGGTGCTGATAGAGCCAACAAAATAACTTTCCCAGAAGAGGAGTGGTGATGAACTGGTAAGTTCAGGAGCTGATAAAGCTAGTTGAAATGCAACACAAACTTTTAAGTGCCGCAGTATCGAAGAGCTTTAAGATGGTAAAAGATGCTCAGAGGGCTGGAACGCCTCTTCTATGAAAACAGACTGAAAGAGTTGGGATTGTTCAGCCTGGAGAAGACGCTGGGAAAACTTACAGCTGCTTCCAGCACTTAGAGGGGGCTGCAAGAAAGCTGGAGAGGAACTTTTTACAAGGGCATGTAGGGGCAGGACAAGGGGGAATGGCTTTAAACTGAGAGAGGGGAGATTGAGATGAGATCTTAGGCAGAAGTTCTTCCCTGTGAGGGTGGTGAGGTACTGAACAGGCTGCCCAGAGAAGCTGTGGCTGCCCCATCCCTGGCAGTGTTCAAGGCCAGGTTGGACAGGGCTTGGAGCAACCTGCTCTAGCGGAAGGTGTCCCTGCCCATGTCAAGGGGGTGGAACTGGATGAGCTTTAAGGTCTGTTCCAACCCAAACCATTCTGTGATTCCAGCTGGCAAAAAGTAACCTCCAGGAAGACAACTATTAAAGATATTTCAGAAGGAAAATACTTAACATGCTGAAGAAAGTCTAGTCACACTGGTTACTGGTGCAGCGGTAACTCACAGCTATTTATACCTTCTAGAACATGTTTTTCTAGAGGTTTGTTTTCTGTTTGTGTAGTCAGACACCCCCCCCTCCCCCAAAGTAGGCCAAAGGAACGGTACAGGAAAGAAGAAACCCACCTAACCTCTGCTTAGTGCTCCCTTTTGTCCCTGCTGATTTTTGCAGGAGCCCTGCATATCTGACCTGGCTCCCAGACACCTTTAGGAGACATCGTGTGGTCCCAGCAAAAACCACAAGTGGAGATTCAGCGTCTCTGTTCTAATACCAGAATCACTTTATTTTTAGAGATGTACAACAGGCAGCAGGATTCTCAGACTTTAAAGTTATTTGAATGCTCTCTGATCTATTTTGCGTATCTGTTTCCTACTTGCCAAAGACACCCAGACCACATATGAAAATTAACAGTGGAGGCAAATTAGTAGAAAGAAAATATGTTTAAGTGAAGGGGACTGAATTATAGTTCAGGAAGATAGCTCTAAAGAGAGGAACAAAACCAAACAAGAAGTGATGGCAGTCTTATATTTAGGTAAAGGCTAAAAAATGGTTACAAACTAGCATGCAGATATATCCTGTGCTACTTATTCAGATTAGCTTTTTTAAAAATAGCTTGAATACACTGTGTGCACTACCCCAGTTTTGTTTTGCTTTTAGTCTTTAGGGGGAAGAAGCACCATCAGATCCGGCAAAAACACATCTTCTGCATGTTTATGGCTATAGCAAAAGCCAGAACTACACACAAAGGCCTATCCTCATCTCTCCTGTTGACCCATCCCAGCTTCTTGTGCACTGGGCATCAGTTTTGAAAGAGAAGGAAGTGTTATTTAGTCCAGCTATGTCGTTAAACTTTTTAGAACCATGAAAACAATCTCTCTCTTCCCCAAATTACCTGGGGTTTAGTACCCACACAGTATTTTGCCAGCTGAGAAAGCATCAAGTTTTCACTAAGTTGGTTCATGCTAAGTTCACTCTTGCCATACTGTAGACTACCAGCCTCCAGCAAGTACATAAAGCCTTCTTCCTACTTAGGATATCAGAGAGAGCCGAGAGCATTTGCAGGTGAAAATATTTGCAAAGATAGAAAAATAACTTGTGAATTTTTTTACACGTTTTCTTCACTTCAAAGATGTGGAACTGGATGATCTTAAGGTCCTTTCCAACCCTAAGTATTCTATGATTCTATGTGCTGGAAGTAATCCATTTCTGCACTGCACGAGTGCCAGTGCTCTGCAGCAGTTACTGTACCTGGCACAGGACCAGCCGGATCCTTACTGTTGTTTTTCTCCATTGTTACAGAAGTTGGCACATCTTCCACTTTTTCACACAAGCGCTTGAGTGATTTTTCCTCTATAACAAGGTGGCCTATAACATCAGCCAAGAGAAGACAGAGCTTTTACTGTTCAGTAAATGTGCACACTTGAACATAGCTATTTCCCAGTATTTACAGTGCAAAAGGTTCACACATCTGTGTCCCAAATTAAGGGCTTACCTGTTACTGGTGCAGTGCTTTCCAAAGAGGACGTAAGAACTTCTTGGGCTGAAGTTAAGTAATCACTCCTAAAACAAAATTATTTCAGATACTTATCCATATTGTACAATCTTAATAAAGGCTTTTAAAAGCTTACACAAAACCTGACCTGGATGGGATCAAATTGGCTGGTAGTGGTGGCTCTGCACAGTCAATCTTAATGGAAAGAGAGAAGAGTTAGTACCAGGGAAAGGCTTGCTGTGCAAGTAGAAAATTTGTCTGTCAAATTTTTGATTTCCCCATCTGTGCCTGAATTATTTCAGCACTGAAGAACTACATGGCGCACGCAGATTCTTCTGCTAGTCTAAAGCCACCCATACATAAGTGCGTAGCTTGGCATATTATCACCATTAGGAGTGATAACTATGCTTCTGCAGAAGTCTTATCTCAGGAGAATCAGCTGGTTTCTGACTTCATGTTTTGCTTCTAACATACGTTTTGAAGTGACCAATGTATGTGTTACCACACCACTGTTCTGTCTTAATGTTGTGCAGCAAGTTATATCCATTTTCTAGGCCTTGACCTCATACCCTACAAGCAAGACTCGCAGACCTTCACAGGCTCGTTTAAACAATAAAATAAACCTAATAAAGGTGTTACTATTAATGGCTCAACCAAGCAGATGATTCAGAACACAGAAAACTTGTATGCAGTGGAAAGCATTCCTGACCATGGCACGGGGATTGAACCAGATGGTATTTAAGGTCTCTTCCAACCCAAACCATTCTATGATATATGTTGTGTTGTATGTTTTAGTGTCTGTCTTTGAATGATACTAGTTTTTCAAAGTTATGTATAACTCCTAGCCACTTCAAAAGGCTTTGGGCTTCCTTGTTTGTATACAAACAGTAGAGAGGAAATAAGCGGTTAAATGCTGGCCCGTAGTTTTTTTTTCCATGTTCCTTTAGCTGCTACAGTGCAGTTCTGCACCCAAGCCTTATCATATCACAGACAAAACCAATATCCTCTTAAGGCTTTCAGTGTGGCAAGGGAGATACTCAATGGGAAATATCCCTCTTCTTCATTTTACCCTAACTTGTATTTAATGGATAGACTGGTCTCTCTTTATGGGTGAAAATGCAGGATTAAAAGAGTTTTAAAGGATTAAGTTGATAATTACTTGTGGTGATCTCCACTGCTGAAGAGGAGTGCCTAATAGGGAAAAAACCCAAATACAAACCTATCCCCAAGCAGAGAAAGTACGAGGCTATATCCAGCTTTGGGTCCAACATCACTATTGAAGTTGAGGGGACAACGGAAAACCATGTCAGCAAGCAATCATCTATGTTCTGGTATCTTCTCTCCCTCCTCAAACGTCTTCAGAAAATCCAGCAAAGAGGAAAAGGAGATGACCAAGAACCTCTGGTCTCTTCCAAGACTGCTCCCAGCATTAGAAAATGCATTCTCTTTCCTTTCCATACCAGACTTGACTGTACCCACAGAACCTTGCCCCAGGCAGCCACATGTTTCCTCTAATGCAAATCCAGGCTATTTTTATTCCTATTTGAATTCCCTATTAAGCTTAAGGAAGTACAGCATTGCATTTGCCTTGTTCAGGCCATTAGTTCTACAGGAATATTGGCAAAGAAGGTGAAAATGAATAGCATGTTAGAATGAAAACAAAAGAAATCTAAATGGTTTTTAAAAGGAACACCCCACCCCCCCACCCCCCCAAAGCAACCAACCAACCCAGAACTGACTAAAGCAATACATTATTCTACATGCCTTCTCCCACCCCAAGTAATCCCATAGTTGCTGCTTTCTATTGGCAGTGAAGGAATCCTCTAAGTTTTTAAAACCCCATACTATCAGGATTGTGAACTGCCATGGACTGCACAGGGTACACTTGCACAGGAAATACACCACCAAGAAGAAACCCCAGTATTCTAGATCTAATAAAATCTGTTTGCAGAGGGCATTACAGAGTGGTGTTTCTTCCTGAGAAATGGACTGTGTCAAAGAAGGTCCTGCAGTACATCCCTAATCACTTTTCTCCCCTCCATCCCTTTAATAATCATAATAATCCAAGGAACCTCTGTCACAGCAGACAAATACTGGCCACAGTCTTGTATAACTCCTCCCAAACAAGAATTAACATTTGGAAGGCCTATCATCTGGTTTTTAGAATGTGATGTGGCTTTCACATTTACAAATCAAAACAAGTATAAGAAACCCAAGCTTCATCTGGTCCTCATAGGAACTCCTTTAATAAATAGCCTCTGAACTCCTACAGTGACAACATTTTCACAAAGCAATTTGAGTTACTTGCATGCTGAAGGATTTGATCTGCACAAACACATCTGCAACCACGGTGTAATAAAACAAACCAAAAAACTAGGGAGATTTTTCCTATTAAACAAGGATATTCAAATTTTGCTGCATGTCACGGGTTTGAGAACTGATACAGGACACAGCCCATTTGCCTTTTCTCTGGAGCAAGCTTTGACATTTTTTTTTATTCCCCCTCTTGAATATTAACAAGAAAAGTATATATTGAAAAAAATAATAAGAAAAAAAAAGACAGAAATGGAAAATGACATTTCTGGGCCATTACTGGAATTACAGAAAGCACCAGAGAAATGAAGCACAGTCATTTCAAACAACTTTGCAAGGCTGTGACTTTCCAGAAGGACTGTGTAAAGATGGAGCCTTTAAGATTATCCCCTCTAAGGTGGCTTAAACAGTAGCAGCACAGGCTTACTGTTCCTCACCTGCTCTACTGCAGCTGAGCAGTGTGCTGAAAACACCGGCAACCCCACTCCTACTTTTCACCCTCACTGCACTGTGTGCTTTGATTTGCCACTGCAACCAGACCACTGCTACACTTCCAGGTACCACACACTAGTGAGGGTAGGTCTGAGGTTGCCTGCTCATTAGTCTGGCAGAGGTTATTTCCAGGTTCACAGAAACCACTGACCAGTATTCTTCCATCATCACCTCCAGTACTGGAGCTTGTAAAGCTAATTAGAAGCCCTGCTGCATGGCAGAGGCTGAAGTCCAGATTTCAGTAGCGAGTATTGTGGCACTGAGCACAGCTAGGTGTGCTGAGCTGCATGCAGCTCATCTTGCTGTTGCCATGAGAAAGCTCAAGCTGTAGATGCAGGATTCAATACAGCCGTGGAGACATATCTGAGCACATCAGCTGAAGGACAATTTTCATACAGCAAAGATGTCGGGTTTCAGCTGTTACATGGTAGCCGTGGGAGAAAGTGCAGAGAAAGGCAGCATTCACAGCTAACGCATCCTGTGGCTTCTTGCGGGTGGATAAGAAGAGTGAAATCACTCAGGCTTCCCTGGCAGAACCAAGTATTACTGCAGAAACAGCACTGTCTCAAGCCTGGAAACCACATTTAAAACACTCCCCCAGCTAAAAGCATGACCCAGATGCATGCGAACATTATGACATTTGGGTCTATAGTTATCTACAGTATTCTATAAGTGTGCCCAAATAGAAGGGACTACCCCATAGAGGACAAGATGTCACAGCACCCTGTTTACCCTTGCCAGCTCCATTCACCTTGAGCAGTGCCAATTTATAGCTTCTCAATCTGGATCTGGGTCTGAGTAAGGCACTAAATGCTTGAAACCATTCAAAACCACATCTCAGGCATTAGAGACAGCACTCACCTCAGTAACTGAAGAGTCCATCATGGTAATGGAAACAGGAAGGTCTGCATCAGTACAGTTACCAGCAGAGCATATTTTCCACCTAGCAATATATGTTATTTGCATATTGCCCAAACAACAGTGAGATATATTGCCCGTTTTCCTTAAGCACATAACAACTGAAGTCACCACTATCTGTATAGTCAGACAGCTGGTCTCCCAGAGAAAGGCAAATTCATCACTAACATCAATCTCTCCTCCCCCAAACAGCAAGAACCACCACCAGTCCTCCCAACCTCCTCCACACTGCTCAACTCTACAGAAAACCCATGGCAAAAGCTTCAAGAGCTGCTGAGTTTTGCTGCAGAGTGCCTGTCTGCATCTTCAGGATCATCCTCATCTTTTAAAATACTCACCGACAATAGCTAGATTTCATAATCCTAAGCAGTTCAATCTCTATTTAAAAGATCTAAGGAGGCAGCCTGATAAACAGAGCCATCAGAATTCCTGCTTTACACTCTGGAAAAAACTAATTGAGAGTCCTAAAAGCCAACACGATTTTGACTCCTGAATAGGAGTCGAGTAGGAGTCAAATAGGAGTGAAAGGGAGTGTCAGTAGTGAGTTAAATACCGAAAATAAACACAAGAATGCTTACATCAAGCCTCATTTCTCCAGGATGAAATGGTAAGAACATCGCTGTATTGGCTGGTTTCCGTAAGAGCTTTCATATTTTGTTAATAGAAGCAAAGAGTTATCCCCACAACACCATTAGCTGATCACCAAGCATCCAGTATTTCCTATGAGATGCCTGCTGCTGGGGTCAGCATCTGCTGGGGATACACTTTTCCTTGGAACATACTAGGTCCCATGGACTCTCCCACCCTTCACCCCAAAGCGGTTATTCTGCCATCTTTACCTGTGCCCTACTGATGTCACATCTGAAGTGGACCTGTGTCCCGGATGGCAGCTTTCAAACACACAGCTGTCAGAGTTCTGTCTACAAGGCCGATCCCAGCCGTGCTCAGGAGGGTTATTTGCGCATGAGGTTTCCAAGTTCAGAGCATCTGTGAAGAGAGACCTGTGTGAGGAGTGGTGGTCACTGTCAAATTTGGGTTCAGTCACATATCAGGTTTTGACTAAGCCGAAAAACACCAAGAAGCAAACCAACCGAGTACAGATTTATAATAAAGCTGCTTCCATCTCAGTACAAATGGGTTATCTGGCCGAGACAAATTTTGTACACGGAGAGTCTGCAGCACCTGGGGACAGGGGTTTTCCATCAGTCAGGTTATAGATACTTCCGCGTAGGACAGGTTTGTTGTGGTGAATTGTTTTGTGTGGCAGAGAGGGCTGGGAAATAGATTATTCTTTTTTTGTATCAATACTTGACCGGCGCAAGCTGAGAATACCTGCCTCATTTGTGGCTGTATCGCGATAGTACAGCAAGTTGCAAGAACACTCCAAGCTGGCCCACTGAAACAGCCCTTGCAGTGTTTTTGTAAGGAACACATGCAGCTGATCAAGAGCTTCTTCCCTTTCTCCCAGGATGCTGTAGAACTATGTTTGAGTATTTTGCAGCATGTGTGAGGAGACGCTCTGTTGTACGGGCTTACTTCTGGAAGGAATGCTTTGTCTATAAAATCCCAAAGGCACTCTGCAGTTCTGTGGCCCTGCACTGCACATCTGTCAGCGGCTTTTAATACTTGTAAGGCTTGAGAGTCACAGGGAAGTACGAATATTTCATGAACACAGGAGAAATTGACAAATACAATTATTTGAATCTCAGTAGCTATGGCACCTGTTCAAGTATTTAAACCAGGACTGACCTCAGCTCAGTAGCAAAGTAGCAAGTCATCACTTGCTATCTCAGTTTGTGCCAGTCAGAATGAACAGGACAAACATAACTCAAGCCCTTTTGATCCAGACTGGCAAGCTTGTCAGGAAAACACTTGGATGTAGGATTTATACCAACGGTCCCTCAAGCTTTTGGGGTCTCCTGTTAGGCTGACAGCCAGCCACCTTTTCAGGCCCTTCATTGCAAGCATTATAAACACAGTTCAGCCCCCTGGATTACATGCAGAAACAGATGGATGACAGATATTGCACTCTCTATGGTGCATGTTTAGCACTATTGATGCTGTTCTATCGACCCTTTATATTTCAGGATTGAGGTGAAAATGGCCAACACCATCAGGTCTTACCTAGCAGAAGCGTACTATGCCAGTATGAAACATCCAAGGGCAGTATCCTTGGAAGTTCAGTGCCCAAGGTCGGTCCTTCACTCCATTGCCACTTAGAGCGATGGAACTGCTAATGGAAAAATAGAAAGCAGCGCTGTTGTTCAGTCACACTGAATACATTAATGCCACCAACTTCCCTTCCCACCCCCCACACAGCTGCATCTGCATAATGTGATACTGACAGTTACACAAATACATCATCTGTTGTTTTTTTGTCTAGAAAAGCTAACATCCTTAATGGGCAGAACAGGTACAGGAAGAGGTAGAATAATTCAACTTTACATTTGCAGGAGACATGTTGGCTGAAGCCAGGTCTAGAACGAAATACTACAAGACCAGGCACGATGAGCAGGACAAGAGAACCAAGAAAACCACCAACCAAACCCTGTAAAAAACCTAACCAAAACAGCTGAAAAACCCACAAACCCTTTCAGCCAAGCCAACCACATGGACTGAGAAAGGGACCATTCCTCCAGCATCCAGCACCTGCTCCACAGGTGAGATCCTTCAGCAGGAGTGGAAAGGCAGCTTTTTTGTCTTTTTGAAGACAAAGCACTGTCTCCACTATCCCCTGCCCCTGAATGCAGACCACTTCCTTCCAGTTTAGTACTGAAGAAGGGTCACCTGAAGATGGCTAGAGGAAACTTCCGAGCAACACTTAGGAAGCTGCATTTGACCTAGTGTTGCTTAAGTGATGAAAACTAGTAAATAAATTGGAAGATATAGCCTCATCTTAAGCCTCTGATCCATCTCAGAATGCAATTTATCAAACACTTGTATTTTGTCACAACTATTCAGAAGCAACAGGAGACTGGTTTTGCAGTAAGGTTTGAGTATACTTTTGTATGTGTGTATACATGTGCATGCATATATACATAAGTATGTCTCTCAAATTATACTTAATGAATATTTAACTTGGCAAAGTTTCTCACAAGGAAAGTTAGTCATTTCCTTCAGGTCATAAAAAAAACCCCAAACCCAAACCAAACAAACCCAAACCCAACAAAACTAGTATCACATTTTAACATCTCAGCAGTGGTCATAGCCAGCACACTTACCTTCTTTTTTACCAGCTCAGTTGACGAGGACAGCACACTGTAGTCAGAATCTAACTCTGCACAGCACTGTTGTGATAGAGAAAGAGCTTATGGCAGGCAGCCATAGAGGAAAAAAGGTAAAAAAATCGGAAGAACACTACTACTGATTAGGAACATAATAAGTTTTATCTTATTGAACTATTTCAGTTGTTGGGAAAATCAGGCAGTTTCCCCTTGCTACTTTCAGCCTTTATTTCTGCAGACTTTTATGTACAAATACAAGTTCTATTTGCATGCACCTGGTCCACAGTTTTCTTTCTGCTCTTATGGCCCTGTTACAGCCTAGGATACATTTCAAGATCCTCTGTTTGCCTTTATAAATACCTTGTTGTTCTATGTTAAATCCAGACCGTTCAAACCTGAGCTGTAGCAATCCTTACCAGAGCTGGTTGGGAAAAAGAGTCTTCCCACAACATCTCCCCCTCCACCCCCTTCCAAACTTGAATAAAGTATTTTTATTCAAAGCAAAGCACTCCAGAGTTATGTAATTTCCAATGTATTTTCAGAGGGGCACAGAAGTAAGAACTGTCTCACTGCCTATTCTAATGTCTGGATACTGAAATATATCTTATTATGAGATTTTAAATACTTGGTTGTTAAGATTGCCTGCGGAAGAGAGGGCTTATTGAGGGGATCAAATCACATCAATGCATCAGGGAAAACTTCCATCAGCCCTGTTTGATATGATCACCAATAACTGTTTACAGTGAAGACCACCACCACACCTGTAAGTTCTAGCCCGTTTTTTCTTCCCAAAGGTTGAAGGAGGAAAATAATGATGTGCCTTCAGTTATGTACATGTTAGAAGGGAAGAAATCTGATGCTGCCAAATTATTTGCAGCTCTTCTCAGCTGTAGAGGTCCTTCCACCAGAGCACCTCCTGTGCAAGCCTACCTTTTCCTCTCCCACCAAACAAGTATCATACCTGACACAGCAACTCACAGAGTCTCCTTTGAAGCAGTTCCCATCTCAGCGCATTAGCAGTTGCTATGAAGAGACATTTACAAGTCTTACAGGGTTCCTTATAATCTGATAACAAGTGGTTGGATGTTTTGGCATCTTTAAACCTGACTACTCCCTATCATAAACTCATTGTTCTTTGCTTTACTTTAGTTTTATGTACAGCAATTTTTCACAGGAACGATAATTTTAAAAGTACATTTTGTTTTGAGTGTTCAACCCTACAGAAAACACTGGGCACTTTCTCTTCTTTGTGGTTGCTTTTCCTCTGGCTGCAAGTGGGAGAGCAATGCTTTCTCACATCATCAGCATAAAGGTGCCACAGCTCCCTGTGAAATGGACAATTCCATTACAGCTTATTGGAAGAAAAGCATTTGTCCTTCCAATATGACATCCTGTACAGAAGTTTTAAAGTCAACAACTTAGAAATATTCTTTGTTCAAGTTTAGCAACGCCAGGGTGACTTCTACCATGACGTAAGTCTATCATATGTGGCTTTCAAGACTGTCAAGCTGTGGCTTTTATACCACAGCTAAATAATGTGTGGAGTGGTGGCGAAAGGAGATTTCATGAGCACTGTCACTTCAGTGCCCTGGCTGAGGCAGCTCTCAGTCTTGTTCGGATTTTTCACTGGATGAGGGCTGTAGCAATTAGTGGCAAGGCATGATTAGACATCTGAAATAGAAGGAGCTGGGCTAGGCTGACTTAGGTTAAGTTGTAGCTTCCTTGGCTAACAGGTTCCCTAATTTTTTGTCTCTTACCATGCAGGTGGGAAGAAGTAGGGGAACAGAGTGGGTGAGCTGGTGAGAAAGAGACCACAGCTCAGGCCTTTGGTCAGAAGTGACACTAGACCCATCTGGCTTTCTGCAGGAACCAATATAAAGTACTGTCCTCCCCCACTCCTCCCATCTCTGTTTGTCATCCCTGTTCTTTATAACATTTCACAACTTCTCTACATATTTACCACTTTATTTCTATTTATTTACAGAACAAGATTTCTGCAAACTACTTGGAAGAATTTAAAGCCAGGGTCTTAGCCATTTTCAGGATGGTGGTGTTATGGGGGAGTCTAAGGGTTTCTAAATTATCTATATCCCCCCCAGCTTTTTTTGAGTTAAAGTGGTACCAGTCCCTTCCACATGCCTGAAAGGAGTGGTTATCCCTCTTAACAGTTGACTCTAACTCACTTTGCATAAGATCTTTATCTATTCAGAGCTGGAGAAATTGCACACTATTTCCATTGTTATGACTCTTGCTAAAACAAAAAAAAAGGCAACTCCACACTTTGGAGGAAGCAGTACGCATGAAAGCGGCATGAACACACACACAAACAATGCCAAAACACTGGTCAGAAGTCAGCAAACACAGTCTGGAGCTGTCTCTGCCCATCAGTGCAAAACATTTGTGCCTTAGAACCAAGACATAGGGTCCCATGTAATTTTTCCTACAAGGCAAACTGTAGTTTCACATAAAGTTGTTCACAATGCACATATGTTGAGCATCATTCACGTTACCCTGGACAATGCATGCAAACCTTAGATGGGCTTAATTCAGTCAATTCTTTTTCCTGTAAGCAAGTGATACGCACTCCTGAATTTGCAGGGAAAAAGCCATGTGCTGGAATCAAACTACTGCATTCTCTAACTGCCCAAGCTTTTGGGGTGTCAGCAAGTGAGCAAGAGGTAATACGAAGTTTCCATGGTTCTGTAGCAGAAGTTGTGTGTATATGATGCAATGACATGATTGCTTTCCACTAAAGAGAGCAATGTAGTACCATGCAGTTATTCAAAAATAGAAAGAAAAACCAAGCAGGATGCAGAACAAAAACATATCTTTTTGGTACAGGGAGCTAAGGAAAGAAGTATGATTTTGTTTGGAATAAGGTGGGATATTCAGGTGTGGGGACAGCACCTTTGATAAAGGAGTGCCAGTGCCTCCCATGGAGTTACTAACCCTTTCCTCCTGGAATTGCAGATTTTGTTAGGAGGTTCTGCAGCTTTGGTCCAGCCCAACACCCACTCACTGGGATCCCACCTGACTCTCAGCCCAGATGCCATGGCTGCAGATGTCAAAGGAGAAAGGAAAAAAGAAAGAGAAAAACAAACAAAGACAGACTCCACAGAGCATTTTACCGGATGACCTGCAGATCAGCCCTATTACCCCTTGCCATAACTAAACCGTAAAAGATTCGCCCATGCAAGAGTGAAAGCTGGCACACCACCAGTAGTTACTCACTTTTCTGGTCTTCCACCTTTTCTTGAAGCAACTGGCAAGTGCTTGTTAAAGCTTCATTCACATCCTTGAGTTTCTGCTGCTCAGAAATGGCTTCCTCTAACTTGCATTTCAAGGATGCGGCTTCCTCACAAGCAGAGTGAAATGCTTCAACTTGATCCTTCGCCTAAGCAGAAACCAATATTTAAGAAAAAAGAAGGAAATAAAAAGGAGATAAAGCAGCCTGGCTAACACAAGGAGCCTCTACAGTTCATGTAAATGAAACCGAACTGCATCTGTTCTTTCTCAGGAAGTGATAAAGCTCCCTCTGAACTTCTGCATTTTTACACTGGGGTGGACTGTGTATGGAAGCTATTTTTGGGCTTTTTTTCTTTTCTTTTTTTTTTAAGCCACCACAAATATGCAATGCTGCCTCTTTCATCAGCAAACTGTTGTCACCACCCCCTCAAATTTTACTTCCTCTGCTGGTTCCACTTTTGCAGTGAGGCACTGCATTCTGAACATGCGATTTCCTTTCCGAAGGGCAGCGATGCATTGTACATAGCCTTTTGCATCTGTTTGTTTCCTGTGTAGAAGGAACTAGAGCATCGCTTACCTGTTTGCTGACATCCTCAAGCTGCTTTGTAGCTTTTTGCAGCTCTAAACCAAGGGCTTCTGCCTGGCCAGCAGTTTCTTCTTGTAACTGTTTGACAGTTTCTATCTCGCGTTGCCTGCAGGGTGGAAGCACGCAAACCACAATCAGTTACTGACATTTTAGAGCAGGCATGCCCAGGAGATGACACATGCTCGTTGTCAAGACGAGCATTAAGAACCACATTCAGCTGTTACATGCCGCAATTCCCCAGGATCCAGCACCAGGGACCTGCTTCTTTCTAAGCACAATTCAACCCAGTAGGCAGATAAGGCTTTTGTACAGCGCTTCCAGAATTAGGAAAGGGATAGAGCTTTTCCCTGTGCCAGGCCCAGCCAGCTGCATATCAGCTCCTGGAATATCCAGAGAATTCTCAAAGAGCAAGATCTGGCAAGCAGATGCCACCAGGACCAGTATAAAGATGATGGGTTTCAAGGAAGCCTTTCTTTTCCATTGCCGAAACCTTTTGCCCATTTCTTCTCCAACTTACCTTCACACTTTTTTTTTTTCTTCTTGCTACCACCACAAACAATTTTGAAGCAGAAAGGCAGCTTTAAGGAATAAAGCTATCAGTATTTTTATAAGCGCTTTCCTGAGTGAAGGCAGAGCATGTGGGAGGTCTACATTAACAACGTTAAGCAGAAGGTAAGTTAGGCAGAAGCGTAGTGTGAATGCTTCGTGTTAGCTCTCAGGGTTGCAAAGCCCTAGGAAGCTGCTTACACCCCAAACCCAGGTAAAGGCGTATGTGTAAGAAGTTACATTTACTGTAGGATAGCAGAAGGCTGACACTATGCATAAGCTTGTCCACAAGGACAGAAAATTCAGATTACTTGTTCTGGAAAAATACACAAAACACATCAAAGAAAAAAAGAAAAAAAAAGAAAAAAAAAAAGCCAAAAAACCCAAACCCAAAACAACAAAACACCCTTGACTACCTACTTCCTTGAATGTCTGAGGAGAGGGCTGGCAGGCAGTTTTACCCCTGCTGTCTTTTGCTGCCATATTTATCACATCAAAACTCATAGCTGGAGCCACGTGCCAATAAGCTAAAATTTAAGGTTATGCTTTCACATTTAATAACTTTTGAAGCTATACCCTTAAATAAACTGAAATGTTACATTGTCTGGCCTAGCAATTGTCTCCCAACACAATAACACCTGCAGAAGTGTATTTTACAGGTCTTGTGCTTCATGCAAAACCCAGCAGTTTAATGGTGGCACCTGCTAGATAGGCAGTGCCCTCTTGCTTTAGCTGCTCAGTCTATAGTCTCCCTGGTGTTTTCAAAGACATCTCCAAGATCGTGTGTTAGCTCATACATAAACCTTAACTCCCACATAGTGTAAATGTTATGCTAGAATGAGATTAACTCTCCAGAACATCAGATAGTTTCCTCTGTGAAATGTCTTCAGAATTCAGTAAACTTTGTCCCACGAGACAAAAAAAAAACAGCCAACCCCAAACCAGCCCCCTCCCCAAAAGGCTAGGCAAACAACAACAACAAACTGAAACCAGAAAGACACACTGCTTTGAAGGGGTACCTGGCAGAGAGCTCTTTCCTTAGGTGAAGTTGCTCTGTCTTGGTTCTCCTCAGGTTGGCTGCCATTCGAATAAAGTCCTTATCTAGGGATTCTTTATATTTTTCCAAGAGATGAAGTTTCTGGATCCAAAGGTGTCTTTTCTCTCCTAGTTCTTGCTTGAGAACCTATGGAATTTTGAAACTGAACTGCCATGTGATTAAATGAGGAGTAGAGCCAGGGAGTAAACCAGAACCATAGCGAGATAAGAACTGATTGCTCCACCATTTAGTATCATCACCTACATTCAACACTATCAGCAGTAAAGACAGTGGATAACTGACAAGATTTTGTCATCTGCTCACACAACATCTGGTTGTGGTGGGGGGTGGGGGAACAGGGAGAGATATGGAAAAATACATGTTAATAAGGAAAAAATTATAAAGGAGAAACGGGTGTTTGTGTTGTACAGAGCTGTTTTCTGCAGTCTAACAGGTTAGGAAAGCTACCTAAACTTCAAACCTGTGCCTTCCAACACCTGAATCCGATAGGATGTGGGGATACACAGGCCAGACTCCTGCCAAGTTTTAGTACTTTAAGACTTTAAGATGGAGCAATGCATAAGTCTGCACAAGAAAATGCACCTTCAGTATGATCAATTTGACAAATGGCTCCCACTTTTTTCACAAGGCTACTTTAAATCAAAAGCTATTCTCAGCCTGTCTTTCTAGGCAGATCTAGGGTGCACAGATACTTCTCTTCCTCTTTGTCCCTTGTAAAACAAATATACAGTTAGTAAGTATTTATGGTAAGCGTGGCAGAAGATTACATGGTACAGGAGGCAGTCTTAACTTAGCCCAGAAAAACACTGTCACAAGATCTGCAGATACAGCAATGGAAAACGGATTTCATAAGGAAGTTTTAATAATAATGACTATCTTGCAGGAAGCACTAAAATGGATAATTTAGACTTCTGTGACCATTTCCTCAAAGCACAACTAAGCCCACTGGCACCAATTTGAGTTTGTATTACAGCAAAATAAAACCCAACCAAACAATGGTAAATGCATATTTCAGTTTGAGTACATATCTAGCAGATGAAAAATGCCCAAGAGATGACCCCGTGACAAGGGCTTTCAGTTTTGCCTCTGATTTATAGGAAGAAAAAGGGGAAGAGAGTAATAATGAGGTGTTAAGTAACATAGAATCCTCTATTTCTCTAAACAGTAACTTGCAGTATAAAGTACTAAGAATGAAAAATCCAGTCCTCTTTGTCTGACTTTGTTCAACAGAACATGCAAAACAGTGAATTATGAAGAATGCTTAATGAAAAGTCAAAGGTCAGGTAAAAATGAGGTTCCTAATTCTGTGATTTTACATTAGTTCAAAGGGGAAAACATTAATTCTAGAACATGGGCTACATTATCTACTTGCTAGATAATGTTAGAGCCTAAAGCTGTTTGTGAGCCTCAAACAACGACAACAAAAAAAGCACATCCAGTGTCATGCTACAAGAAAATCCAGCTGCCAGAGCTAGATAGGTTTACTAGGATGACATGGAATGTGACCATATGAAAATGCCCATATCCTGAAGACGAGTTTCTCAGCCAAGGCAGGCAGCACTCACTCTTATAAATAACATGGTTTTGACACATAAGTGCCATCGGCTTAGCAGGGCACATATGACACAGTCTCATCTTCCAGCAGGAGAAAAGTGAAATAGTTTTTATGAGCACCATCTATGTATGCTTAAATATATGTATATATGCACAAAAACACAGACTTAAAATTTAGTCTATGAATAATATACTTTAAACATGCTTAAAAATATTAAACCCCAGCAGAACCTGTCCATAATATATTTCACAGGAAATGGTGGGGAAGTGTTTAGTCTTTAAGTGGGAATATGTAGTCCAAGATTCGATTCATTTGTCTACAAAAACTCTAAGGTTAGAAGAAGCTACTTTGAATTTTTCTTTTTTCGGATCTACTGTTGTTCAGCTCCATCTATCATATTTCCCATATATCTGGGTTGATCTAGCTAGGTGAAGACAATACATTTGACATGAAGTCACTACCCATCCCTACAAGTCTCAGAAAGATGGGCCCTTTTATTTCTAAAGAATCTTGTTCTTTGATCCTCTGTTAATGTAGTTTTCAAATGCATTGCTATCTAGGAGCCAGAATAGTATTCATTTGCAGTGATCAACTCGAACACCCACACCAGAAGTTGTTAGCTTCATATGTTTAACAGGAATACAATCCCAACATGCATGGTAAGTTAACAAGCATTTTTCAGCTGTGACAGCTTTGAAGGACAAAGTTTTTAGTCGAGATCAAAGAGCTACAGCAATGCAGGAGCCGGAAGTTTCCTAGAGTCTACCCAAAGTTATACCAGGGTGAAGAGACAGAGACACTTGCACCTTCTCCAAAGGAAAACTTTCAGGACTCCCATAAAAAAGGAAAAAAAGCCCCAAACTTAAAGCTGGCTGCAGGACTGGATGGCTCCAATGATTGCTCATGCCTGCCCAGGAAAGACGAAGAGGGTCAGCTACAGCATTTTGCAACACTAGAGGAAAAGAATAGGTTTCTGCTTAAAAGCTAACAGCTTAAAGCAGCACATACTGTGATGCCACCTGCTATTACCCAAGTGGGATGAACCGAGTTTTTGCATCTATTAAGGAGCTGAAAGACAGCATCAATATACAGCTTGGTGGAGTTTTCCATAGCAGTGTTCCTAATAACAGATTAGCAAGAAGGGGCTGGTTAGAGAAAAAGCCTCATCCTGCGAGATACAAATTTCAGAACCCGTGCTGTTACACAGGAGGGAAGGAGGAAACAATACAAAGAGTTGAGCTGTGCCTGCGGACTGCTGCTATCACATAGGGAAGTTATTTTTGCTGGTTGCCTTGAGCAAAAGCCTTTACTCTGAAGCCTCACAAGTGGTATGAGTAAAAGTAAAATTACATTAGATTAAGTTGTAAAAGATGTTTTTGTAGGAACCTTTCCTGTGGAGCGTGTCCAGAAAAAACAGAATTCTCTGCCTTTCAAAAGAAAGCAAACACTATGAAGGTTTTGATTTGGAAGTCTGGTTATAAAGCTACCTCCATCCTCCCCAGTGGTGAAACCAGCTACTATTGTAGCCAGATGCAGAGCACAGTAGAAAATAGGTGCTCAAGGCACAGAGAAGCATGTAGTGGGAAGACAAGCTTCATAGCTCACACAGTGAGCATCGCCATCTGACCTCATTTTCATCCTCAAATTGACTTGCTTCATCTACCCTTTCCTTCAAGCATAGTTTTAACAGAGTGAGCTCTTGCACAAGACGAGTCGGGAAAAACACAGTATTTAAGTGAAAAGCAATCTTCTCCTTCCTCCACCTCCTCACAAAAGAAGTTACAAAAGACTTCTCTTCATACAGCCATCTCCAGCCCCCAAACGTACTGCTATGATCTCAAGTAATTAATATACATAGCAAGCAGCAGTTAGATACCGACCTCAAGCTTTTGCACAGCCCCACTATTTCATAAAATAGCTTTAGAGAAAGAGTTGCTTACCACAAGTTTTCTTTCCCAAACATGTTGCATGCTCACATCAGAATCTTTTACCCACTGTAAAGAAGCCATTATCAGCTCCTCTGCTTCAGAGGCTTCCTCTTGCTGAAAACCAAGAAAAAAAATCAAATCAAATGAAACCCCCAAACAACCACCCCTTCCCCCATAAAACCAACCAACCAAATAAGAATAAAAAAACCCAACCAACCAAACCCCAAACCATGGCATCTCCAGTACTAGTCTGACACAGTGTTGCCCAGAATTACCGAGGTTATAAGTGACAGTGTTAGCGTAGGTGCCAAGTGACACTGTTAGAGTGAGTATACCCCCCACTCCACTCCCAAAGCTGCTATTCTTAATTTTTCAAAAGGAGTAAACATGATCCAAGTATCAGTGCTAGCAGACATCTCAGTTAAAAGGCTGATAGAAGACCATATCCTTATTCACATGAGCTCTGTCACTGACCAGATTTCGCATGACAGTCTTAAATTTTTCTCCCCCATATTCAGGTCCCTGAAGTAAAACCAGCACTTCACGGTCCAGTGTTTCATCCAGGGATGTCCGTTCAGTCTTGGTAATCTTTGAAGAGATGGAAGAGCCAGCTAGTTTATTTTGACATCTCCTTATTGCAAACCAGCATCAGTGACATTTAGACTTCTCTGAAGTACCCCTGTGTTGTATTTACCAGAAGGTCAGAGCTACTGAAACTTGAAACTTGTAAAAGCTTTTCATGTCATGGGGATTTAAAAAGAAAAAAGCAAGCCAGCCAAGCTGCCGAGTGATCCAATATAAATTTTCACATCAGGAGTAAGCAAGAGAAAGTCAATAATTAGTTATCTTTATTCAGAAGAGGCTTTACCATGTGATGAACAAGCAGAGCCATTACTTGCTTTACAGGTGATTTGGTGGAATTGTGTCTCATTGCAACATTTGAGAAGCAAGCACAATGACTCACTGTGGTTATGGGGAGCTGCAGTAGGGGATTATACATTACTTTTGAAATGGAGCTGCCTAGCCAAGTATACACCTCTTTTCCAGGCCTGTAGTTTTAGTCCATTAGTAGATTTTTCTTTTCCTGTGGCAAATCTTAACTCTTTGCAAATGCACCACATGTAAAAAACACAGGAGTCTTACAAGAAAAATCCCTGTGATAGCATATCTTGCATATCAGCTTGGCTACACAGCTTGCATTTGAGGGGAAGACAGCACTGTCAGGAAGGATGGTACTCCATGGAATACCTTTAGGGAAACGGGCACAGAATAGCTCAGATAAAAATCTGAACCAAAACCACAGTGTACGTATAAATCGGTTTTGGGATTCTTTTCAGTTCTTCCCCATTGGAGTGCTGGAAAGCTCCAAGAACGATAAATTAGAGACCAAACTTCCAGTGTTATGTGAAGCTTGTCTGACCAAAAGCATAGTTCCCGGAAGTTACCAAACCACATGCCAGGTGTTCTGCAGAGGACATGGGGGACACTACAGCTCCAAACCGACAGGCTCAACTGCAGCACTAAGGTTTTGTCAGCCTGTGCCAGACTCAGAAGGATGACTCCCCTGTCCTCCTCAGAGTTACTATTCAAAGACCTCATTGGGGCAGTAATGTCCCCCCGAAGATCAGTCTCCACTGTATCTGCTGAAGAGCAAGGGAATGGTACCTACAGGCAGATGCTCGTCAGAGTTCCTAAAGAATAGATTAGGTGAAGACTCTACAACCCTGTCAAGGTGATTACTCTAATGCTCAATTTTCCTTTTCACTACATTAGATCTCAAGGAAAATGAAGTTTCCCCTCCTGCAATTGAAAATCATTGCTCATATCTCATCTAGGCAGTATAAGAAGGAAACAAGACTGTTACTCCCTGCAACGTAATAGCTTTTATATATTTGAAAACTCATGTGTTCTCCTACAAGTGTGCCAGCTACATGCATGACTCTAGCTCTTCCAGATTTAAAGTCTCATTTTTTTTTTAGATCTCCAGGTGCTTTGTTTTTCTTTGTACTTTCTCCAACATACTTGGGACAATAATGTAACCTTCTCATTCTATGCTTGCCTAGTAGGAATAATAACTTTGAATTCCAAGGCTATCTAATGATCTACAGGGAATGAGCTTTGTTCTTCCCAACTGATGCAAGACACTGGAATGATATTCAATAAAGATTTGAGTCATACCTCGGAAGACTGAGCAAGTTCCAGTTCACAATGCAGTGAATTCGTCCCTTCAGGAATATTGCAGTTCAATTTGCACAACAATGGGAAATTCAACCCATTTCTAAAAGCAAGAAAAATAAATAAATAAATAATAAGAAAAAAATGCATCTGCTCTTTTTGACCTGTGACAAACTGCACTTCCTGGGCCTTGTTTGCAATACTCACGAGATCAGCTCTTGCTGCATGTGTTGCATGTTCTCCAGTAGTTTATTCTTTTCTGTCCGCAAAGTCTAAAACATACATCAGACCTGGTTAGAGCATTAGTTTGTCATGCAGAATAAGCAAAGGATGTGCATGCTTTCTCCTCTCATAATCAAAAAACTAAACTTGGTCCCCTACCTCTATTATTGAGGAACACTCCACAATGGTTAACTTCAGTTCTTTGATGTCCTGCTCTTTCTGTGGAGAAAAAAAGCCTTCAAATGACACAACCCAACAACTAGCACATTGAAGTGCATTTGTAACACTTACGGCTATGATGTATTGTAACCAGAATAACACTATACTCAATCCTGCATCACAGCAGTAAGCCATGCTATTTAGGTTTGAGCAGCAGCCTGATTACGTAACATAAAAATAGTTGCAAATTTTAAAGAATACAGTGAATTACTTTGCATACTGACTAACAAAGCACTTGGATGACCTTTTCTATGTAGCTCCTAAAATTAAAGAGACAGAAATTCTCTTTCCAGTTTCTACACTTTATTACTTACGTGGTTTTTGTACCAGCATTAGCTTCTTAAGCTAAATGGAAGGACTCTGTGTTTAGCTGAAAAATTGGACTATGAACAAGAGTTTGAGTCCAACTGATCCTTAAAACTGGTTGCAATGTTCAGAGTTTATCCCCATTAGTTTTCATGATTAAAGACATAGGGCAAAACACTCAGATTAAACACCGCCTAATGAAAGAGCTGATAGAGAATATATCAACCTCATGGTAAGACTGAGGAGTTAGTAAAAGTAGTAGCTTTCTTAGCATTCCAAACCAGCAATGGGCTTCATTCATATAATGCCATTACAATAGAAGACTGCACAGAGAAGTAGAGAATTTCTTAGAAAAAAAAAAGTAATTTCAAGTAAGAGCTCTGGTCCTCTCTCCCCTTTTATCTACAGTTCTTCCTACTCTTTATTTTTAAAAATAGTTGATGGTTTTGAAAGAGATGAAACACACAGAAAGCTAAACAGGAAAAGCAAGGTTATAAAACAAAGTTTCCAGCCTTAGTAGAGAAAACTGATGTATGGTGCTGAAGGTTTAAAATAAAATAAAATAATGCAAAACAAAAACACCAGAACCCAATTAAAAAAATAATAAAAACAAAACAAAAGCCCCAAAACAGCAACAAACAAACAAACAAAAACAAAAAAAAACACAACCCCCCACACAAACCCCCCCAAAACCCCAAAGTGTTTTCTATCTTCATGTACCTTCTGCAGGCCTGGAAAAGAAAGGTTGGCATAATAATTTTCGATAACCAACAATCCTATCTATATACCTTTGGATAAAAAACTATGAGAGGGCTTTTTCTAGCTTACAGGTAAGCCCTAATACCACAGATCCTAAAGCAACAATTCAGTTTGCCATACCAGTTTCTTCAAGATTATACAAAATGGTCACCTTTATATACAAGAACATGCAATCTGCATTCAGAATTCCCATTTAGTCAATAAACTAGAGAAGCCTTTTTAAAATTAAAGGATACTAAGGAGGCCACAAATGTTTTGAATTATTCAAGGAGGGAGGAGTGAAAGCTATGTGAAAAACATACCAAAAAGAAAGAGTTAATTCATTTGTGCTCTTAAGCTGCTTCGTTTAAAAAAAAAAACAACGAAAAACAAAAACCAACAAAAAATAAAACCCTATTAAAAAACACTCTGGTACAAAATTGTTGGCTGGATCACCCTAAAGTCAGGTTGTCACTTTTTGAATTCAGCTGCAAAATTGACTATTGGGCTGTTTGTAAAAATCAAACATTTCATCAGCTGATTTACAACCTGTCCTGCTAAATAAAAATTCCATTAGCCTAGAAAGCTATGTCCATAATTCATGAATCCAGAGAATTCCAACACCCTTATGTGGTCTTATGTCTTTGCTTTCTAATAAAAAATACAAGTTTAAAACCAACACCAGAAATGTTTGGTCTTCAGCAAAGCCTAGGTAATTCTACCTCACTAATGAGAAAGGACAAATTTGCTTTTCCATTGGGCTCTAAATCAGTTTGGCACAAAATTTAAGCAATTGAAGTAAAACACAAAGGAAGGGATCTTCTGCAGGTACATTCTTTCATCAGGTGTTATAAGAGGTAGCCTGTAGCCTTTAGAAACTTCTGTGTTTTTCTGAAGTTTGCAGTTTGTTTTGTTTTAATAAGTTGTGATTCTTTTCCTTTTTTTAAACAAAATCAAAATCCTGCAACCTTTAATTATGCCAACTCATAACCAGGTCCTAAAGCAGTTCTCGCCTACTTTGAAGCAATTTATAGGATCAGGTTCTGTAGTGTGAGAACAGTAGAAATAAAAGTGCCACAGTGAAGACTATTGCCTTGCCTTTTTACAAAGCATCCCATAATCAGTATTTTCAGTCAAGACAATAATGAAGTAAGAGAAACTAACCTGGATCAAGCTTGCCTCTTTATTCACCACAGTGGTCTCATAGATATGCACTTGTATCTAAAGAATGAAAAGATCAAAAATACTTCCCGTCATTGGTATGCACTATAACACAAGTCTGTTCCTGTGTCCTACTTGAAAGGGACAAAGGTTATTAACATTCCTATTTTAGAAAAATCAGGTTCTGTGAGTACCTTGGGTGGTGTTCTTCAAAGTTCAAATCTTGTACCCAGTTAAAAGTGAAAGCTTTCGCAGCTTTCACAGCCATATTTTTTTCCTCTTGTCTGTTCAGGGTAATAGTTTCAGCAAGATCAGCCAAAGCACAGCTTTCTGACAAACTTTCTCAAATAGTGGGGAAAAGGTTTTCTAAAAGGAAACATTCTTTCCTTAAAGGAAATAATGGAACTGTGGACTGTTTATATCAACCCAGTTTTAAACATCCAGATGGCAACTTTCGTAGTCAAAGCTGTCACGTTGTCTAATTGCACTACAGTTCTTTAACAAAGGCAGGTTCAGGGCTGTCTACCTTCCAGAAGCAGAAATTCTTCTCCCTAGACACAAGTAATCTATAGGCTGTCCTTCTGTTCCTCCTAGAGTTGAAATGCTTACTTGAAGTTCTGCCGCATTTTTAGACAGCTCCAATATCTTCTTTTGAAGTCCATCAGTATCCATGCTGTTTCTAATGTTCTAAACAAGATAGAGTGTACAGGCACAGCTGAATTGATTGACAGTTTCTCCTTGAAGAAACTAGGCAAAATGATACCTCCACCCCCAAGGTGCTGCCTACTCTAAAGCACTACCAGTATTTATGCACATGCATTCTATGTGCCTGCACCACTGAAACTGTTTCTGCTCCTTTTCCCCTCATTTCTCTAGAGCACTGTTAAAAGAGAAAAACTTCAAGATGTGATTTATAAGCAGACCTAAAAAGCTAAGGAAAAATCTTTCAGGCCTGCAGCATGAGGATTGTTTTAGGAAAGATGCAATTTAATAGCTATTTGGAATTACAAGCTTTTCAGAAAGACTAATCTTGAGCATGATAAGCATGCAAAGAACAATGACTACGATGTTGGTATCATAAGATCCCCAAATCCATTAAGTGCCTCTTTTCACTATTATGCATAATTTACCTTGTTTCTCTCTTTCATCCTAAACAGTCTAAGACATAGGCTGTAAGCAAGTATTAAAACATTTGATCACCTGATAAACTGGCTTATAAAACATTTACTTTCATGAAATAAAGTGGTGAATGGCTCTTCTCCAAACAAGAAAACACCAAACAGAGAAACAAAAGAAAAGAAAAAAGGAAAAAAAAAAAAACAACAAAACCAAAATTAACCAATAGCAATATAATTCCTACAAGCCTCATGTAGGTCTTTAGCCAGTGCCAATGGATCTATCTGCAAGTGGAGCCTTTGGTCACTATATAATTTTTTTGGAGTTACATTTCTATACAAGATTCCTCCTTTGTATCTTACAGGAAGGAAACAGAAGTGAACATCAAAAAGTCTTCAGTGGAAATTGTTTCAATATAGTTATAATATTTACAGCTATGTTAACCAGAAATATTTTTAATTTGCCTATAAAGCTTTGAAAAAGAGGGAGAAAAGCAGCTGTTTGTCCCTGTCCCCCATGCTTCTCCCAACCCTCATCCTTACTTACTCAGCAGATGGAGAGTCTGAAGGACAGTGCAGCTTCAAGATACAGAGTTTTATGATAAGCCATCCTTGTAAAATGAAAGATATCTTGATAACCTAATTAACATGTCAGGCTTCAAAGTATAACAAACATTTAATTCCTTAACAGTGAGCTTTTAGTTGGACAAGAACACATACTTGCATAGTCATGATTTATTTTACCTCTTCCTGGAGAGAAGTAACTTTGATGATGAGAGACTGATTTTCTTTTTCCTGGTCAGGTTTATTAGAAGAAAAAGAAACACTTTGTTTTTAGCATGTCAAGTTCAATATTCAAAGACAAACTAAGCCAGAGAACAATAGGCCACAAACGCCTCCAGAGCCCAACATGAAGTTGTGGTGTGGCATTCCTTTTCTTCAGAGAGCACAGCCAAAAGGGAAGTGCTAAGGCTGACCCAATTCATGAACCTTTACTGAAGGGTTTGACACAGGCATTTCAAATCAGGGTAAAACTCAGACCACTAGATGATATGAAGGAGGTGTTAAGACCAAAGAGAGGAAGTCTAGTTGCACTCATGCTTGAGTAAAGACAGAACTAGAAAGCTTATGTGCCACAGTACACTTTTTTCATGTTGGACATGAAGCAATGTAGCAGTATCCCAGGCAGTGCTTCCACTGCACAGGGAACAGTATTAAGGGAATTATAAGCACAACTACAAAGCTTCTAATAATATTTCTCTCTCCCACCCCTCCTCCTTCTCACAAGGTGAGTTATACATGTGATCTCAAAGCAGATCAATAATATACACACACTGCAGCAGGAAAGCACAAAAAAAAAGTAAATCTTGTGTTCTTGCTTGGCATGGAAGCCTTTCTTATTTCTAATTGCCCACCATCAGCAGCACAGAGCACTGTGGAGCATCAATTTACAGCTGCACCCACACAGCAAAACATGGTGATGCCACCGCAGTGTGAACAACATGCATGGCAGCAATGCAAACATATGCTCTCTGGAGAGCCTATACTTCGGTGGCTGGAAACACCTGCCAAACCTGCAGTCACATCACCCCTGTTACCAGACTCCTTCACACCTCTTACAGTCAAGGCGGGCTTTGATATTCAGACACATTTTGTTCAATCCAGATGTTGTCATGTAGGCAGCTTGTGTTCTTTTAGACACACTAAGGTGTGCTGCCTGGCTTCCATCTGCCAGTCCAGAGTAGAAAGATTTCTCATAGCTTCTTCTTATACCTACCAACCCATATGGACATTGGCAATAACGTAGGGTGTTTTGGAAAAGTTGTGTGGACACCTGAACAAAATCTCTGTCTGCTGATTTTAGAAGTCACGTGAATTTCATGATGGCAGCACACGAGCTGTTGTCTTCAAGCATAATTATATGCAAGACTGGCCCTTAATTGTTTTATTAATTCCAATTGACACCAGTTTAAAGAAACTTCACATTGGTTTTGTAAAACTAATAAATCACATTTCAAAACACCCTCAAAAATTTCCAGTACCTACTGGCACAGAGGAGTTCATACTGCTGATTTTTACAGTTTGAGCAACCATGCTGTTGCTGCACTAAAGTATGAGATGCTGTACAATGTAAGCTAAGAAATAAGAGCACCTACTAGCTGTTTATTCTGCCAGAGAATCTGTTGTCTTTTCTCTTCCAACAGGTTCAGGTTGTTTTTTGTTTCTTCTAGTTCTTCTTCCAGTGATTTGGCTTTCAGCACGGAATGCTGGATGCTGCATGGGGAGACGGAAATCCAGAGAAACTTTAGTGAGTTACTATTGGTCATTAGATAGGCTTGAAACACCAAGAACAGTATTTTTAGAAGCCACCAGGGACTTCCTTTGGTGCAGATATTTCACATAAGATCAACAGTCAAGTGCAAGCCTGTTGTTTTTGTCCAGCAAATAAACTCTCATGGACTTACCTTTTGTTTTCACCCCCTTCCACTCTCACAATAAGGGATAAAACCCCAGGCAAACATAGCATCCAAGATAGTGTGCTTTTGTTTGCATTCACCTACAACCTAGCTTGTTATAGTCAAATATCAGTTTACCTGAGCACATAACCTCATCTTTAGAGCACTTCATTGTTAGCAGTTAAGGAAACCATTTCAGTTCAGTTTTCAAGGATAAGCACTGCATCATTTTCTTGTCCTGATCTGATACCCCAGTTTATATTTAACCAGTGCGCTGGTGGATATCTTTCCTGGCTAGCTCTAGACTGCAGAACATTCCTGAGAACATGGTCCAACATGAGGGCATACATTCCATGCCAGCTACCCTGCAGACTCCTGGCCTAAACTCCACAGAAGATACTGGGAATGATTTTGCAGGTCATGTAACTATATCACACTTGAATTAGTTAGGTCAGATTAGCATTATGAACTTATTCTAAATAAAGGCTTGTACTTGTGGCATTGATGGGTCCCCAGGCTGCAGCAACACTAAGCTAGTAAGAAAACTCACTTAGTTCCTCAAGGGACTAGCAAACCAGCTCTTAAATGCCCATTTCCCCTCTGCTTGTCAGCAAGCGCATAGTCTGGGACTGGAATTCTTCCAGTGCTTAGCTGTTCTCTTAGTAATATTAAGCATTTAAAAAAAAATATTATTCCTGCTTTGTTTCTTTGATTTTGCTTTACCCTAAGACTTTGCCTGTGTGCACTTGCAGCAACTTGTGCTGCAAGAGCCAGGCTATAAGAGAAATGATATAAATGAATGACTTACAACACCTCCTGGTTCTTATAAAACCAGGAGTTATAGAGCAGAATAATCAAGTTGTTGGAAGTTGCTGCCATGAAGCACTGGTGAGGTTAAAAGCATGAAGCAAGGCTGGATCACTTAGAAAACAAGTCTGCTCATGGCCATTACACTGTAGACCTTGTGCCATCAGGGTCTCCCACCTTTTTATTTGTTGACGTAGATCCTCATTATCTGCCAATAGCTTATTGTTGGTCTCATCCACAGCTTCCAGTGTGAGCTTCAGCTTACTGTTCTCCTCCTGAAGCTTCTGGTTGTTGTATTGCAGGTCCGCAACACAGATTATCAAGTCAGAAGTCTCCCTGTTCCAGAAACCAAACAAGGAAAGACTGAAAAAGGAGATTTGATCCAATTTAGACTGTCAAAAAATCCTGATGCTGTGCTGCACTGATAAGAGAGGTGAGAGGAGATCCCACAGAGGACTTGTAATGCTGCAGTGTACTGTGATTTGTTCTGCACTGAGATACAAGATCACCTCCAGATAAATTCTCTAATTCACCAGGAACCATTTTGGTTTTAAGTACTTTTTAATGCTCCTTGAAATCAAGATGTGCCACCAGATTTTCAGGCGATAATGTCTTCTAGTGTCACATAAACCTAGGAACTTAGGAAAGGTACTGTTTTAAAAAAGAAACACATGGCAAAACTCAGACCACAATGAATTAAAGAGGCAAATGGACACAGAAGAACTGACATAACAGTAGGAAGAATTACCAGTGTGTTTTTAAGCCTGAGCAGAAGCTGTGAGGAAGCATGTGGCAGCAACAAGAGCTACTACAGACATGTCAGCATTAGAAACTCTACCAAGAAAGTTTTCTTTAACGGTAGTTCTCAGAAGCAGCTCTCAAGTATTTCAAAGCTAGGAGTAGGAACTTCTGAGAAGGAATTGCTTGAATGGACTTACATGTCTCCTCTAGACACATCACCTCCAAAGGCCTCCAAGCTTCCCGATGTAACATTCATCCGGACAGTTGTCTTTTTTGCTGAAAGAAGCATGTGTGTGGGGGTGTTAGTTATAGATGGTATAGAGTGAGAAAATGGAGTTTTCCTGAATAAAACCAGAATAAAAGGGTATGCACCTTCAGGGGTGGTTTTATACACTTTGGATTCCGGGTCTTCCATGCCTGCTGCTAGTTCCTCAGTGGCACCATCTTCCCTGAAAAAAAACAAAGAAGCATCAAGAATCACAAAATCAGTATAACACTGGATCGCTTACCAACTTTTTAGATCTAAAAGCTTTCAGCCAAAACCCAATCTGTGGTCACAGTGTTCTGATAACATCTTTGTTACAGAGTACAGAAGGCACAAGCCACAAGAGAATTTTCTCCTCTTCTGTTTTTACAGAAGCTTTTATGAGATAGATTGATAAAAAGCTATTACCATTTACTCTTACAGTCCTCAATCCACTCTTTCATGATGGCATGATATGTTTCCAGGTCCATGGAGATGTCTTTCTGATCTGGGTCAAGCATGTTGCACAGCTCTTCAAGGCCACTATCTTCCAACCCCCGACTGGTTGTATGTCTCAAATAATCAACTATCTTGGAAACTGCAACTTTTCCTAAAACAGATACAGATGTCCATGTGCCAGACTCTTACATCTAGTAGGCAATTTTAAACAGTTGTAGAAGGGCAAGCTACCCATTTGCACTGGTGTGTATTCTGTTGCCTTCAAGAGCTGTAGACAAGCAACTGATCCCTGCAGTTCTTCCAGAAAGGAAGAGCTTTGGTTTATTTTATTTTTTTTTTAAATACAGAAGTATGAAAATCCAGTTTATTCAATTTTTGGACTCCAGTTTAAGAACAAATTCAATACATTTACTATGCTACTATTTTTAGGTCTCTCATCAAACTGTGCAAACCCTGTGACTAACACTGTTTTAGTCTACAAGACAACTCCTTTCTCTACCATTTTAAGTCATGTTTGAGGTGGAAGTTAAAGGAATTCTCTCTTGCTCTGAAGTTTCCCAGAGTTCTATTTTCTAACAAGAAAAAACCTAAAAGAAATTACAGTCATTTCCAGTAAGGTTGATTGCTGGAAGCAGATTGTTCCTGTACTTCCTCTGCATTAAAATAAAGCAAAGATGAGCTGAGGAGGAAGGGGACTGAGGAGGGAAGAGACAAGCACCATGCAAAAGAGGCACAGACATCTATTCTGCTTCTGCCACTCATACAGCCACTTGGCTAAGCAAACTAGTTACTCTATCACATATCATGTCTTGGGAACCATAACACAAAGTGAACCATGAAAATTTGTAGATAGAAGAACAAAGCAGAGCAATGAAAAGTCACTGACAAACCTGTTTGGTCTACGTCACACGCATAGAAAATGGTCGTCAGTAGGTCTTCTTCACAAAACAAACTCGCATCATGCGTGGTGTCCGTTTTGTACTCCAGTGACTGCTTCCATCCTATGAAGGATATGTTTGTTATTGTCCATAGTGACTTTGATGCACAACAAAAAACACATCTAAACTCTTCTTTTTATATTAAAGGCAGACTAAATTAAAAGCCAGATCTCTTCTCCACAAAAAAGGAATTAGCAGATTTGAGTATTTGACTTGACTCATTACTTCCTCACTTTTTATATCCACATTAATAATTTATAGAGTAAATTTTAGATTTTAGTCAGCACTTTCTGTTGTCTTATTAAATCTGAATTATTCTAAAACATATTGTTACAAGTTTAAGTAGCAACTAAATGTCACCTATGTAGGTTGAGTGCTCAGCTGTCTAGGACTTTGGACTGGGAGTTTTTTTCCCCAGGATTTTTACCTCTTTCACTCAAAGATGACTTCTTTGGCACAGGAGATCGTTTCACAGCATTTTCTGACTTTTTATCAGGTGTAAAGTAATATACATTTGGACTTGATGTGAGATACTTCTGCTCATGAGGCACATCTTTAGATTCAATATTTGATAAAGCAGACAGCTTGTTTTGAGTATTGGCCTCTCTGGATCTGAAGTAGGATGGAGAAGAGCTCTCAATGGCACATACTGGCATCCATGAGCTGCTGGATCTCTCTTTTCTTTTAATGATTGAATATGTAGCATTTATAGGACTGGAGTCAGACATGTGATCAAGACAAGGTGACAGCAACTGCAGGTCTGCAGAGAAAATGCTGTCACAGCTGGGACTGATTAAGTGCAGATCAGGACTGTCATGACTTCTGAAAGTTCTTTTCTTCAGTAGTTCTTCTAGGTTTTTTTTGACATTGCTCTGTGGACTGTCAAAGTTTTGGGACTGAAACTTTGGTATCTGCAAAGCAGGGTTAGAGACGTGGTCCATCATTTGGATAGATTTGATCTTTCTGCATATACTGTCCACTGGGTTATGATGCCGTTTGTTAGCTCCAGGTTCTGAAGACATTATCAATTCCCCTCTCCTGCAAAATATCTGGAAAGAACAGAGACATGATACAAGAGCCAGGATGATCCACAGACACATATTCCCTGAGCCAGTTTTCTGTTCAGCAGACTTGGAGCTTTGGTAGTAAGTAGTTTGAAAACCTTTGCTCCACATACCAGCTGTGACAGAAGCCTTCAATCTTGATATTTAGTTCTCCAGGGAACTAGAAGTCACATGGATTTGGAAAAGGTGGGGAAGAAACAAAGAAATACTTTCTGAAATCTCAGTGCTTATTCTTAAATACAATAACCATGACAGGGATGGGGGAAGGCAGAGAGGGGAGGAACTAGAAAAACCCTGTGGAACTCCCTGCAACCTAGCAGCCGATTACCTTTTCAGATTAAAGGAAACACTAAGCAATATTACTCAGACCAATTTATCCCAAATTGGGCATTTCATTTTTATATGAAAGAAATGAATCTCCTCACACAACTTTTGTAACCATTACTTCCGATCACATCTGTAGCAGTTTTTATTTCACTGGTTCCATGTCTTTTTTTTTGCTCAGGTCTAACAGCAACAACTGTCCAGCTGTTTATTGCAGGTACCACCTACAGCTACAGACATCATCAGTTTCTGATCTCTTTTTGTGGCTTTGCAGTCAAACCCCACAAGTTGGTTGAAGTATTTTGAGCCTGCTGCTTTCTTGAAATCATCTTGTGACGTGTTTCAGAAGGCAAGATTTAAATGTAGCTTACTTTCAGGAAAATATAAGTCTGTCTTTCTGGGGTTGCTCTTTGCAGGTGCTGGGGTGGGGAGGGAAAAGGAAGAGCAACAAGAGTTTTCACATTTCACTGAGCCTACAAGGACAAAAATCAAAACCCAGTTGTGTCTTTTACCAGTTAGCCACAACTACAGCTCTCATGCCACCACACAGGCCATTGCCCAAGAAGCATAACCTACAGAGGCACGTCACCCTATTTGGGTTTTTATTATCTGTCAGGCAATAATTAAAAAGGTGGGTAGGTGGGAAGGTAGGGGGGAGTGCGTGTGTGTGTGTGTGTGACCAAGGCATAGAAGGGTGCATTTAGCAGAAATAAAGCCACATTTCAAGTGAGACATTAATCTTTACTCTGCAATTTGCAACCACTTCTGAACTGAGTAGTTAAGAGCTTCCATGTGACGCTGTCCCACTGCAGATTTCACTCTCAGTTTCTCACACCCGAAAAGGAGGGAAACAAGTAATATTATTGGAATTCAGCTATGACATCTACACCAGTGTAAGAGACATATTACTAAAATATTACTGTACCAGATAAAGCTAGCCAAAGCTCCTAAGAATCAGATCTTAAGTGATATCTTGCACCTAGTGTTGCAACTACATACCTACCTTCCACCACTCTATCACTTTCAACTCCTCAGCTCTGAAAATACACTGTATTGCTTCTCTCCAGAAGATTACCTACAACATTAAAAAGCAAAATCCAAAGCACACACAAAACCCAATACTTGCTTTAAAGTAATAAACAGGGAAGCAGTGAAGATTCCAGCATATGTTAACTGTATAACCTACATGTCTGACAACAACCATCCTCAGATAAAACCTTAGTAAAACCATCCTCAGTAAAACCCTCTGGGACTGGGGTTTTACTCATAGCCATCCTATCAGGATAGCATTACCAGAGACCAGACTTCTGTTGGGGTGGAGAGGAAAATTAAACAGCACCTTTGCCAATGCAGCTCACAAGGTAACGTGTGCACGTGAGAGGGACTGACATGGCTGCTCACAGGGGCAGAACACCAGACTCCTTGACCCTGAGGGGATTTCCCCCTGTATAGTACAAATATCATCTTGTCCCCAGAAGGATATAGACTTCACTGAACTGTGCCTTTATGCTCAAACTCTGAATCAAGAAACAAAAGGAAGGGACCTCCCACTCCCCAAGAAGTTTGCTCCCTGCTTTTAGGTAAAAAAACCCACACAATTCTTTTCCCAAAATCAACATCATGCTTCACTAGCATTTAACACGAGAGCTGCCACTTGTATAACCTTGTGAGGCAAAGAGAAAAAAGCACATGTAAGTATTTGCTAATCTAGAGTGCAAGAAACTTGAACACTCACTGTTTTACTTCAAGTGTTTTATTACAAGCTTCCTGCATGCCACCAGCTTGCTTTCATATATGCTGACTCAAGATCTCCAAGTTTATTTTTCTAGCATTGTTTCTGTAAGTAGCAACGTTACCTTAATTCCTTAACTGGTTAAGTGCTTGCTAGCCACAGGGACACTTAAAAAGAAAAGATAACACCACCAAGAATTTTAGAATAACTTTTTAAAAGAGACTGGTTTTTATTATTATGGCCGTTTTAAAAGATTTACTCCTTAAAAATAAGTTCTAGGAAGTTGAAGTAGTCTCTTATATTAGAGATACAAAGAAAAGCTTAAAAATATCGAGTAGGATTTTATTACATTCTGTAAGTACACAAGAGCTTTCAAGCAGATATAAGTAACACTCCATTAAAGAATACTAGTCTGATCATTTGCAATATGCTTTTAAATGTTGCTTATAATTCCCCATTAAAAAAAAAGAAACAGTCCAACACCTCATACTTACTCTAGAATATGGTAAAAATACCTTCTTTTCCTCTCTGGTAGAGATAGCACAGGATAACTAAAGCTATTTTAGCTATCCCTCTGAGGAGGGCTACCTAAATGGCCTATGCTACTCAAATTAGCAGAGAACTCATTTGATGGGAAATCAGCTTTACAAGGTACACTTGTGGCTGCCATTCAGCTTTAGGTCTGGGAGGGGCAATGAGCTGCAAGGAGGTGCAAATCAAACATCCCTCTCCAGCTTTCTAGCTCTTCTTCCCCCAACCCCATCTCTCCTGCAGCTAAACGACCTGCCTGCAATTTCATATGCATCCTGAAGTCTCCCTGTTATCCTACCCTTATTTTTAAAGTGGTGAAGAAAATAATGCTATAGCCTACTGATGCGTTTCAACTCAGGTGCCTGGGATGTTTCTTACTTACTATTAGCAGTTCTGTCTTACTTTTCCCACCTACTGCAAAGTTTCAGGCAGGAGCAGATCTCTCATGGCTTTTCTTGCGACACTTGGAGCAGAGTAGCAAGACACTACATAAATTTCATAGTTCTTACTACCTTTTAAAGGAAGTCAAACATTGAAGTCTCTTGGGCTGATGTATTAAAAGAGTCTCTGTGTCACTGTCTGCTCTGCGCTTGGTTCTGTGAGCTGAAAAAAGAGTTTTGAATTAGGACTGTTAACCAAGTCCTCTCTTTAGTATTAAATTCTCAAAAAAGATTTGCATTCTAAGAGCGTGGATCTTTGGGTATATGCTGTACAAATAACTGGAAATAGAAAAATGTTGTTGAAGGAATACTCTTGCCTGCTCAGTGCCTACTAACTGCACAGCCCATCAGACTTCTCCCAACACATGGTGAAATGACACATCCCAGCCTTCCACAGGCTAGGGGGGTGGTGGGGAGGGTCCAGCAGCAGGAAATTCCTACCCTCCCAATTTGCCTGGTGTGTAATTCGAGCCAAGTGGCTCACAGTCCATCTTTGCTGTGCTGCACTGTGTTTTCCTTAGGGCTTCACTGTGGACTGATACAGATCAGTACTCACAGGCCTGGCTGAAGTGGTTTCCCACTCATTTTGGGAACATCTAAAATGCCTGTCAGTTCTGATGACCTGGTGCAGCAAGTTATTTATTTTACCTTATATTGGACTTCTTCCTCTAGAGTCAAGCTTTGTTTCAAATAACGTTTGTTGTTACAACAGCGTGACACGAAAACCCCTCTTATTTTAGTAGCATTCCTGTTCTCTGCACGGTGGGATTGAAATACATGCTATTTAAGGGTAACGTGTACCTTATGTTCAGTATGCATGGGTGAATATTGAGGACAAATGTTTTCAATGTTTAACAAATGTTAATGCAGCAGAGCTCCTATTGTATTTGGTTTCTCTTGAAAATACTGCCCGGGGTTCCCTGTTCAGCCTTTAACAACATTTTCCTTTACATAATTTATGTATTTTACATATAGTTATATGCATTTCTCTATAAAGGTATCAATATACCTCCCCATCCCTCACGGCATGTATGTGAAAAGAAAACCATTTTGACCAAGAAGCTGCACATTTTATGGACCATGCTCACAGAGGTTGGGCACTTTGTCTGTTAAGAACATGGAGCAGGCTCTTTCAGTCTCTTGACACCCGTCTGGTTATCATGCAGTCTCTCAGTGTAACTTGCCTTTTTTTGTCTCTCCCAATTCCATCCACTGTTTACTACAAAATGTCAGCATCCAGCTGCTCAGCAGCAGCCTACATTTCTTTCCCAGCTCCATGGGTGAGACTGTGTGACAAAAGTACTACTCAGTCAAGAGGAGATGACTGCATGCGTAATGCTCATCATCCTTCGTAGCCCGCTAGGTAGCTGCTTGACAAAGACAATAATCCTCTTTGCCAAGTTCATGGGGGTGGAAGAAAAGGTCAGATGACTCCTTGGCCTTTGATGCTTCTGTCGTTAGAGAAACATATGTTCTGTGAGATACGTTCAGTAGTGTCTTCCTGTCTGAAGAGCTGGACAGCTTCTGCTAATGCACTTTGTAAATGGCTATACTCAGATGGTCAGGTTTCTTTTCCAACTTTCAAACTGGATAAAACTGTTCTTCAGCTGGACTTTTTTTCCCTGGCGTTTGGCCCAGACTTCTCCATTACTGAAAAAAAATGTTGTACCATAAGAACACATCTTATGGTGCACCAGACTTCAGAAGCAGTACCTCTTTCTGATGTGTACACCTTTCTAATACTTGTGAATTTCTACACTTTCCTGATAGTTTTAAACATTACTCACCCCACATAACATATTTAACTTTATAACCATCCCTTGAAGTTCTTCTCTTTCATCAATATACTGCTGAAAAGTGTAGTGCCTGGACCTGAATAGCATTGATCAAACTGTAGTCCTGAACAAAGGCTCTGTTACTTTTATTGTGCGGGGCATTTGCACTATCCCTAGCTGACTTTTCTACAGCTTGTTCTGTACCTCAAGCAGTTTTTGGTACAGTTCTTCTCAGACAGTCTAGAGAAAAGAAGAAAACCAATGCTAGCAGCTATGCAGTAGCACTGGAATCAGGCCTGCAGACATTATGGTGCTGAATGTGCGACAAATTAGTTAGTTAGATAAACTTTGAGCCAACAACTAGTGGCCTCTGTAATTGTGTATCTGGTTTACATCGGAGAGAATCTCTTTCCTTCAGAGCTGCACCATGAAAATACAACTTCCCAGAGAAGCAGAACCTGTTCCTGCTCATTGCAGGGGTGTTGGACTCAGACGACCTTTAAGGTGCCTTGCAGACCAAACTGTTCTATGATTCTGTAAGTTATTCTGAAAAATGATACTGATAAACATGTTTGTGTGACATAAAATTCTGACAAAATGTATTGGTGGATTGCAGATAAGGTTTACTTGGTCAACAGGTTTCACAAGGCGAATATGGAACTTGTATACGAATTTCACTCTAGCCTGGGCACTATGCATGGGATTGAAGTCTGGAATCAGCTTTGAAAGATCACAGAAATACAAAAAGCAGGCCCAAAAGAAGATGTTGAGGCTGTACAGTTCAGCATCAAGTTTCTGAGCAGGATCAGTTCACCAGTGAGTCCTAAGAAGGGGCTGAGTAATCTATTCTCTGAGTTACTCTGTGGTAATAGATTCACAGCCCTTCAAGGCAATCTATTTCTATGTGCTGTCTATTTCTATGTCCTGTTTCTATTTCTCTTTGTTACTGTTAGAAAACTTGCCTTAAAATCTAGCTTAAATCTCTTCACTGCAAATTAAGCACAGAATTCTTTGTTTATTGCTACTTTGCAGACTCTGCCATGATAGTTCACAGCTTTCTGAGATGCTATGGTTAGCATGTCCAAGCCAGAAGTGGACTATGCTAGGTGCTGTTCAGATGCCAGATGAAGGAAATGAGAATATGCACAAGAGACAAAGGTCATACATCTCAGGAGCTGTATACCCTAATACTGTCAGAATGCCATATTACTGACATGCCTACTGACCACCTACACACAATAGCTACACCTTTTACTCAAGAACAAGCAATGCATCATTGGTGTCTTTACCAGCAATTTAAAAATAGAGAGGCACAATAACCGTTGCCTATATTTTTAGGGGAAGATTTTGGAAATCAGGTGTGATGCAATTCAGTGATGTATGTTTAACCCCACTAGTTAAAACCCTATCACATGAGAACTTTTTCACTCACCTCAGCATGGATCTTCAATCCCAGAAATCGGCTTTTTATCATGTACAGCCTCTGCCCTTTAGACATCTTTAAGAATAAGAATAGGTTGTGTTCTTTCTAATAAGGGGTCCTGCTGCTACAGCAAGCTTCACTACTTCCTTCACTTAGAGTATTGATTACATGCCAAAGCCACTTCCTCAATTATGTAAATCAGCTGAGAAATGGCAGCATTGACAATGAGTGTTTCATGTACAGCTCATCATCTTGAAGTGCTGTAGTTTCTTAGTGTGTTATGATCCATAACCTAATTATAGGCTACTTCATTTTTCAAGAGTACAAGCTTACATATGCCCATACACATCCACATGTTGTTTTTTTTTTTTTGTGACTGCAAACACTCTTGGTATATGCATTTCCTTCCAAAAGTATTGCCTTCTGTTGCTGTTTGCAAATAAACCATGTCCCATATGCCATTCTACAAGTTGTTAGAAGTCTGGGAAGAATGAAATGACCACCTTCTCACAGGATCATTACAAGAAAAAGCTACGAAGAGAGAAGTCTTTTAAATTTTCGTCACTAAAGTAGAACTGACAAACCTGGAGTTTTTTTATTCTGCATGCAGACTTCTTGCAGCTTTGCAGACTTCTTACAGATTTCAGAAATATATATATTTTTTGAAACAGCAAAGCAACTTAGAATCACTGGTCATAATAAAAATAAATGAATTTAGGCCCCTAAGTCACAAAGGCACAGATAATTTAAGGGGAAAATAAGAACCTTTTGGGAAAAAAAAAATAAAAATACCTAAACCCTTAAAAAGCACTAAAACCATTTAATCTGAGAGAATGTTGTCAAGACCCTGCATTTGCTCTTGAGCTGATGGTCACCTGGGCCCAAATAAGCCAGTTCAGCTTTGATCCGTTCAGTTCAGTTCCCTGCTGCCCTACAGGCAGCCTCAGCCAACCCGCAGTCTCTACAAGGAGACAACTGGGACTCTAGCAATACGTCCAGGTTTAGAAGAGAGAGTGAGACTACAGCAACACCAACTCAGACCAGCTCAGGCTTTGCAAAGAAGTCAAAGGATAAGAACAGCTGAAGTTGTCTTTCTAGAGTGTGGTAACAATATAAATCTTTCTCCATGTCTCTTATTCTCTTCTCCTTCTCCCTAGTTCCACAGGAAGGGACTTAGCTGGTTGTCTTCATGGTTTATTTTGTGTTATCTCGTTCCAGTGGCAGGAGAACCAGGGCTTATTTTCAGTGCCAAACAGATTCTGGGTTTTTTCTACCACAAGAAGAACCATTGTGAAGAGAATATACTTTACATTGACCAACACCAAATGTAGGGGGTTTATTTTCACAGACTCACTTGTGTGTTTTGATTCTGGCCCTGTGACTCGTGCAGAAAGAGAAGCTCTGAGGTCACTCCAGGAGGGAATAAGTGAGTAGCTTATTTATCTTTTCCAAGTCTCTGCTTGTTAAATGTCTTCTGGATGCCATGCATAGTCCCCTGCTAAGGCTAAGGGTTAAACATCATCTAGAAATGTCTTTGTTCTGAGCAGAGAAAATGTAACCTTCACATTGAAGTAGATGCAATTAGAATCCCTTCTGTTGGATAGGGTGCATCATCACATGGCCTTTTTAAAGGGATAGAGAGATAGTGAGATAGCTCCCAGCCATGGCAAGAGCTGCATGAGGCTAAAACCTGAACTTCTCTCTCATTTCTTTCATCCGTTCCAGAGTGAGCAGCAGCAAATGCCGGTTCTGTATATTTCACAAACAATTCTGTCTGGCAAGAGCAGAGAACAAATCAGTATCCACACAAAAGCAGGAGAGTAATTGCACCTTCACAAACAGTGTGCATCAGAGCAATCTCCACAGACACATCAGGCAAAGCCTCATGGCAAACCTTAGCAGTACTTATCTGCACACTCCTCAGGCAGACTCCACATACATGAGCATGTCTGTCACACGTAGGGGCAGACCCGTGTTTTTGTTACACCACAGGGTGGTCCAGTTTGTGAGACTGCTGCAGGAAAGTGCCTACTGGCCAGTCTTCTAATCAGCAGATTTCTAGCTTCCTGTGTGCTTTGCTTCCCCTTCTGCTTCCCTCTCCCATTTTACAAAGGGAAAAATTGAAGGAGGAGAGATAAAAACCCTAGCTACACAAGCTTTGCCTCTCATCCATTATCCATGACTACACTAAGTCCAACAATCACTTAGAAGTATCCCATGGAAATGGATTCTCTGATTCCCACTTCAAGACTTTTTTCTGTTTACTGCTCCCTTGCTTGACCTATTCGAGCCCGTTTTCTGGGTTTTTACTCCAGCCAACCCATGAGACAGAAAAGTGTTTCTGACTGTTAGAGGTTGGAAGGGTTTCGGTGTTTTTTTATTGAGCTCTGTATTTTTGCTTGCATATAAGAAAACTAGATGCGAGAGATCATTAGAGAATCAAACAAGAGACTGCATCTTCTAAATGTATGCTAGGAATAACCTAGTACATTACTACTAGCTATACCTAGTAGGAATAAGCTAGTAACTCTGGAAAAGTCACCATTTTCTTGATGTTGGCATGTTATGCCTGGAAAGTAATTTAGTAACTTTTCCAGCTTCTGCAATGGATAGCAATATGATATATGTTAGATTATCCGAGGTAAACAGTCATCATGCATATTAATACCTGCTTCTGGCTGTCGTTATCGATCATCTAGCAAGAAGGTGACATGTTGCAAATCCACAGGGCTGATGCTGATGTATTCAGAAGGTATTCACCTGGCTAATGGGGTGCATCTGCAAGTGTATCCGTCTTTCAATCATTTCTCTGACTTCCTGCAAGACTACAGGTTTCCCTCAGGAGTCATCAGACCTTCTACTTCTCCATCTAGAGGGCTGACAAGAGATCCCTTTAGACTCCTCCGCCCTGCCACAGAAGGGGAGGGTACCTTCACTCTGAAGATTTAAAAGGGAACTCCCAAACCTGTAGGAGATCTTGTAGCACGTTATCCCAAGAAAAGAAGGCTGAAGATTTGCCACTGAACAAAGTATGAAGGTGAGTGAAACTCTTTTGATGCATGGGAAAGTTTAGTTTTCAGTGAATACTTTTTCATGTGAGTATAGTATTTAGCAGCAGCAGGGGGGGCTTAAGAATTTTAACTTTGAAATAATTTATTTTTGACTTTAAAAATAAATAACGTAAGAAATATACACATAATTCTATTCAGTGTGCTTGAAACAAGTGCATTAAAAGAACATTAATAGCAGAACATGCTCTCAAAACCAGGGTGAAATAAACTACTGTGAATCATAATGTTAGGTGCTCTCTGTTGCACATCACTGTTATCAATACATAAATAACAACATGGTCTGTGTGAACAAGCAGAGATGCAACTTTTTTGCAGAGGATTCATGCTCAATGCTTCATTTGCATGTGCTGCATCAGCAAACAAGCTCCAAGAATCAAAAATCCTGTCTCGTGACATGTGTGTAATCATGGCTGAGGCAAATAGGATGCTAAGTTTAAAAACTTTCTTTTCCTGAGGTAGTAGTGATGCGCTCTCCTGGTTGATTGGCTTTTGTTTGAAATGGCAAGTCCCTGCATTTGCTTGTTGTCTAAACTCCATGATTCAAGGTTTGGTAAAATCAAGATATACTTTATATTGTCTTTCCCCCTTAGACTGTACATTTCTCTTTTTTTTTCTGGAGGATCTAATATCCTTGTAAATAGGAGGACAAAAGGTGCTTGTGATGGTGGCATTTCTCACCGGTATGGTACCTTTGTAATGAATAGGAGTTAAGAGAATATAATGTTTGATTTAACATCCATCCTCCCATGAGATCACTGTGTACAAATCAGTGAAATAGTCACTGAGCAAAAGGAGGTTTGGCAGCAAAACAGGGAAAGAGGAGAGACTGGACATACCCTCACATTTAGATTTGAAGTTGAGAGGATCTAAGGATCTGAAGGTCTTCCTGTACCTTGCAGTTCTTTGTTGTGCACAGGGACTACGTAAACTGACAGCAATTGCAACGGCACTGTTCCTGGCAGCGTTCTTGGTATCTTTCTCCTGGAGTGCACCTCAGGTAAACTGCTCACTTACTTAGGCTGAATGCGCAGCATCCATGAATCTCACGGGTTGGTGCCAGTTAAGTGTTTGTACTAGTTAGTAATGTCATGCAGTGTTGACACGGCTCTTCTCTTTTTTTGGCACAAAGGCTTATTTCCAAAGGAGGAACTGGACTCCTCAGGCTATGCTGTATTTGAAGGGTGCACGTAAGTCCCACTCTTTCCATTTTGAGGAAACAATTTTACCACTGGATAATTCCTAATCTGCTTTGCCCCATACAATCAGTAAATCCCTGAGGATGCTGTGGAGGCAGAAGTTCTGAGGCCTGCAGGGATATACTAATTACTTATTTCTTCTTGTCTCTGAAACAGTGGTATCACCAGTATTATTATTTTTTAAAGAAATCAAATGGAAGAAACAACAAGTGTTGGAAGAAGTGAAGCAAAACAAAGTACTGAAAAAGTTGATGGAAGCTTGATTGTAAAACCTGTCGGAAAAGAAGTTTCCTTATCTGAAATAAACTTAAAGGGGGTTTAAGACAGGCTGGATATAGTTATCATACCTTATTTTCACTCAGGCTTTATTAAAACATCTTCTAAAGTAACAGGGGGTTCTTGCCTTGGAGTATTATGGTTCAAGATGGGTTCCTGCTGATATGGAAAGACCCTCATGCCTCCCATTTTATGTTTGTAGAAGTAATGATGTAATTTTGTATTTTGAAAATACTACTTTAGGAATTGTAGTGTAGGAATACCAATAGACCTGGGAGGTTGTTTTCACCCTTTTCCCACTGCTTTTATAGAGGGACGTCGATTCATCTCAGATGAGAGCCAACGAAACGATCTGTATGAAAGAATGAAGCTTGGTAAGTACATGCACACAAGTATATGTAACACATTGACCTCTCCTCAGATTATGGGAGAAATCTGTGGAAACTGGAGGGGATATAGTCAAGGAAACAAACTTATTTCTGCTAGTTTCTCCATTCAAAAAGGTACACGATAAAGACTGACCTTCCTCCCTTGTGCACCTGTACGATTTCCTTTATGGAAGTTCCAGGTGAACCTGGCTGTTAAGTGGCATTATCATCAGTACTTCTGATTTTTGTTTTCCACTGGAAAAAATCAAGTTATTAATTGTGCTGAACTGATAGATGACAAAAGTAGACAGATAATGTTTCTGGAGGAAACAGAATGTTATAGCAAAGTAAGGAACATATGAAAAAACCTAAATATTCTTTTTACCTTTTAAGGGACTTTGAAATATCCTGCTTTTTATAAAGATCGCTTGTGTCTTCTGTGTTAAATATTCATCTGGGTGATTGTGAGTAGAGAATGTTACAGTGTGAGGGAGACAACAGCACTATTTTTCTCTTTGGGTTTTTCATTGTAGAGATAAAAAAGCAAAGAAACAAACCAAAGAAATACCATCAAACACTAACCAACCGTGCATCTCTCTTCTTATAATTCTAGAAACACGCAGCCAAAACACAAATCCTTTATCCCTTTCTGAAGCTGCTGCACTGTTCCTTAGTTCCTTACAGAAAGCACAAGAAAAAGGTAAATGTGTGTTTTGTCTTACCCTGACTTTTTAAAACAAGGTTTGTCACTATTTCATTTATTAACAATTTAGTAAATTAATCTAAAAGGTCTAGTTTTGTTGTGGTCTAAGCCCATCTGGCAAGTACCATGCAGCTGCTTGCTCAGGTTTGAAATGAGACCTTCCAAGGAATGTATTGTGTTAGAGTGTACATTTACACAGATTACTACATGAATCAGGTAAATGACAGTAGGTAAAATTTTGTATATTCTGCTTTGAATTTGCTTTTCAGAATTTCATTGGTTTAGATTCAAAGGAATGGCTGTTTTGAATTGATTTTTCCAGAACAAAACTCTACTGGGACTCCTTTTCTGCAGAATATTGTTCTCTTGTGAAATTTTCATTCCTCCATTGGGTCTTATATGCTGGTATAAAGACTTAAAAGAATCCTTAAAAGCCCCAGCAGAGGAGCTGTGGGATTCACATCTGGCCTCTGCAAGCTCTGTTGCTGGCAGAGTTGACAAGGGTCCCAGGGACATTTTGAAATAGAGCTCTGAAATATCCTGAAAATCCTGTAATTTATTCGTGTGTTCCCAGCTTCCCATCTGTATGTCCTCATCACATGCTTCCTCCCCATGTGCTTCTGCTTCTCCAGAACCTCAGAACCCATGTTTCCCTTCCACAACACCCCCTAGCAAAACCCAGCTACTGAGTCAGGCTAAAGCGACTTGTGTTCTCCTTCATGCACATTGCACTCCCTTATCCTATGTTCCCCTGCTCCCTTGCCCTGCTTTAGTTCACCTTTCCACCCTAGGCAGCTTTCCTGAACTGCTGATTGTCTGATGCATAGGTAGAGCTCACAAGGCTGAAACCCTAAATCTATGCTACCCTTACCCTCTGTCTTTCTACATTTCACCTCTAGTCTATTTTTGGGAAATGGAGCTGGGGACGGGGAGTTTGTAAAAGGAGGATGCACCCTACAGGCTGTCGAGAGACCATGCTGTGCTCTGGCTCCTGGGTGCTGCGGAGGCTGTTGTAGCATATACAAGCCCAGGAGTTTGTTTAAGTTTAGCTCTTCCCCTCTTTGGTCCAAGACAGGGAGGAACAGAAGGTGGCTAAAAGCTACCTTTCTTTCTCGTCCTTTGTTTCTCGTTCCTTATTCAGATTCCTATCAAGATATAGTGCTGGGGCTCTGTGTTCAGCTCTCTCTTCCCTGCCCTGGCAGAACTCTGCTATTTAAAGAATTCAGTGGCATTTAAGTGACAGAGAAAAGGCAGAATTAACAATGAGCATAATGCTTTGGGCAAAATATCTGAGCAGTTCTAAAGATAAATCACAGAAAGTTTTATTTCTGCACTAACAGAAAGGGAAAATCCTCTGAAGCTCACAATTAATAAATTTTAGTGGTATTTTCCTGCCTGTTGCTACTGTTCCAGAAGAGATGGTGAACAGCAACAGCCCTTGAGGAAAAAATGTGACATATATCAGAGAGCTAAGCAGAGCTGGCAACTTGTTTGAAAAATACTGTGACATTGCCACCATTGTAGTAGGGAATAACAAAACAGCCAAACCTGGGTAAGTTATGCACTTTCAGAAGATCACTTTCCAGTGATTTTAGAATCCTCCTGAGTGAGAGAAGTGTGCAAATAGAAACTAAATATGTTATTTTCTTCTGCATGAAAAAATTCTGCCTTGTACTAAGATACCTTTCTGGACGTGGTTTGTATCTTTGCACTTCAGAAAACAGAAAAATTCCTACATTTAAAATGAGAGAAGGCATGATTCTTTCTACAGGTGCCTACATATCTTAGCTTAGCAGTCACTTTACACTTGGCTTGTGCTTGAGGCACATCTGTCTCCTGAAAGCTTTACTGAATGAACTTTCCCTTATCTACAGCTTAATTTTCCTCATTGTGTCTTACAGTTGAAGAAGAAAACAGTGATCACCCTGCCTACTTGACAGACAAGCTATCAAATTGGTGAAATATTTCAAATTTGACATTTGGATTGCACAGACCCTGAAATCATGTCTTGTGTAAACAGAGTGTTTCATCCATCCTCACTTCAGTTCCCAAAGAGTGACGTATATATGTGTTGCAAAATTTTGAATGCAAACAGGTTACACGTTACTGATAAAGATCAGATAAAGGAGGTATTTGTTAGGTTCTGCTTTGTTTAGACCATTTTGTATGTCCCACCTAGAATTTAAAATACATTGTACCATCTTACCTGAAAAGATGATTAAAACTATCTTTTTGGACAACGACTTCATTTTCTTTCAATAGTCATTGAATAGCCATCTTTTACCACTTTTCACCCAGCTGTGTATTGAAGCCCTTTTAAAGGTGATTACTTCACCACTTTGCTGCCAGCCCTGTAAACTGCTGATCGTTAATAAAGTCAGTGAGATATTAAAACAATCCAGCTATCTTTGACTGTGAAGACAGTGGTTTTTGGTTTTTTATTTGCAGATGTCTGTCACCACAGAGAATAGGCAACAGCGCTGTCCCAGTTACATGCATGCAGAAATGTATAGTCTGAACAATCCTACTGAGCAAGTCCCACCGCGTAAAGATAGCGTGGGGATAGGTCTTACAGGATCTGGGCCTCATTAATGCCTGTGGCATACAGTCACGCTGTTTTTCAGGATCTGCAGTACTGCTGGAGCTGGTGGTGGTGTACCAGGGACAAACCTAGTGTCACACATGACAGCAGGCACACAGAATATTAATTGCATGGTTACTGTACTTTTTGTTGGCCTGCTTTTTGAGTGGTGAAACTGGAGCATAAATTGGTTTATTATCATTCCATGCTGATAAAGACATATTTAACATCATTTGTGTAGTTTTGTGGTCTAACTGGAAAGCCCTCTGTAGTTCTCATGTAATTAAAAAAACAGCCACATGATTCTTGTGTCCAAGCAGCTATGTTGTTTTCTTTTTAACCTTCAACCCTAGTAATACTCTTCATCTTTCAATGCTACTTCCCTCTGATCTTTCTCATGACACTACTAATTAACTGTTAACACACACTAATCACAATGTGGCTTCTCCTCAAAAGAAACGCAGCTGAAGGAACGGAGGAATTAATTTCCATCATGGGGCTGTTGGCATTTTCAGTAACTGTTTACAATCTATATTATTTCATGGAGGAACATAACTGGAGAAATAAAAATGTCCCTGTATGTTAATTTTTAAGCACCAATGTATCTTTGAATAGCAGTGTATGTTATATGGCAAAATGCATTCATGATGAGCTTCATCTAAACACCAATGATATCCATCAGAATATTTTCATTCATTTAATTGCTCTTTGTTTCTATCATACTCTGAATATCTAAGTTACTTTTCAGCATATTTTACTGTATGATCAGTCAATGATCAGACAAAAGTGGAAGGCTTATATTATAGATCCTTTGGTTTATTACTATAATGAAATTCATATGCCTCTAAATGAAATGATAGAAAAACTGTACTAATCATATTTCCAGCTTTTTGTATGCAGTCCTGATGTAAGCTCACTAGCTTAAACAATTCATTACAAATACCATGGAACAGAATAAACATTCTGCCATGCTGGTGAGTGGTTTGTGAAACCCAAGCATTTTCAATCTGGCAGATAATCACTTATGTAAGAGACAGCTGCTACCAAGCTTGTCAGATATCAGTAACTATTAGAAATGTGCAGCATTTAAGTTAGGCAATCTGTCTGAACAAAAAGCCATTCCCTATAAAACTGCAAATCCAAAAGGCAGAAATGCTTTGCTGTAGTTAAATTGTCGTGCTACGGATGGCTAGTCTTAGTGTTCAAGAGAGTACTAAAATAAGCCTAGAGGCATGAGGCAGAGGTCACTTTGGCCACTCAAGGACCATTTCTGAGAAGAATGGGCATTATCTTCACATCAGTCACATCTCAGAAGTTGTGCACTTTCTGTCACCAGGCAGGTGCTCAAAGCGTATGAGCATGCTGAATCAAACACAGCTGGATTTGTGTGAGATGTCATTACAGTTCTCTGCTCTTCCCAGAGAACTCAAACACCATAAGCACATTTAAGAGAACGCGTAACCCAGACCATGCATCTTGCTTATTTTTCTCCTCTGGGACTTGTTCAGAAAGAGCAAGCGTAGCTGTCTTAACACAACCCTAGCAAAACCTTTCCACTTTTCATACTGCCTGTGCTGTGGCTCCATCATTTAAAAATATTTACAACACGTATGTAGTGATCACATCTTTCAGCACCAAAATGAAGCTGATGGTAAACAGATGTTCATGAGCTTGTGGCAACTGAAACATTTTTAGGCAACTGAGGAAGTGCTGGATCACTCTCAGATGATGCTAATGCAGTTTTGGTGGCAGGGAACTTGGGATGAAGTGCTCTTCTTCCATACAACAGTGCATTGAAATACAAGCAATAATTATAGATTTCTTGAATTTTTTATTTTTTTTTAAGAGAACATTAACTCTCAGTCTATATAACTTTTAAATAATCTTTTGTTGCAACTCTCTGCCAGTCTTTGGTTCTGTGAGCTAACTCTGATTAAAGCACTTTGGGGAAGAATATACATTTCTGAATTCGCAAAGTGCAGTCGTTCTCCAAGTAGTAAACTGTATGAAGAAAAATGTTTGTAGCATCTTTACTTTCACCACTTTCATACAAAAAATAACTACTCATTGCCTTAATTACTTTTAACATGGTTAAAAAATAGTGACTCCTTTTAAATCCAGTTATGTTTTTGCCATAAAAGCCTGAACCTGTCTTCTGAGAATAGGCATTCATTCACCTATCCGAATCAGCTTAAGAATGAAAGTCCAATTTTAAAACTGATTTTAGGTGGCCAAAAATAGAAATAGGCACCTAATCACTTTTATTCTATATGTTCTGCAGTAAGACCGATGTCATCAAATGTTAAGTATTTGAAAGGTATGTGTCTAATCAAAGAGGACATCTAGGCTCCCTCTTGGGATTTGCAGTGAAGGTAAATACCTCCAAAATTTACATCATCCTACCTGCTGAAGAACAGGCTGAATCAATTCCTGCAAATGTCTTTTCTTGAACAGCATGAGAAATTTTTGATGCGCAAACTTCCAAAACAGAAGACAAATCTCCTTCCTAACATCTTAAAGTCAAGATCTACTTCTGAAGAGCATGTTCAGGCACTCTGTGCATCTCTCAGAATTAAAATACATTTGAAAGCTTTCTGAAGATAATGTCTAGTTCTTGTTGTGGGGTTCAATTATTCCCCAAGTACTTAGAAGTTTCGGGTGCTTTTCGATACTATGTCTGTGGAGCAAATGTGTTCTTGGAATTGTTTTAGCACTGTTTGTTACAATCACATCTTTCCTCAAAGAAGTGAAATAGACCATGGATTAATTGGGCAATTGGAAGAATTAGACTTACTCATCTTTAAATACTGTCACACTGCTCTATGGCATGTAGGTTTGTCTGCAGGGAAAGGCCTAACATAAGGAAATTTTGTCATTGTCTTTAGCCAAGTCACATTAGCTTCCTCACAAGCTAGTTTATTAATAACCTTAGAACCTAAGACAAGATGAAAACAACAAAAAAGGCATACAAGAGGAATCAGAAAATAAATGGTCTGCTGTTTATTGTGGGTCTAAGTGACTTCAGAAAGATAACTTCATTTGTCTCTAAAATTCAAATGCCCACTGCATAAGACTTTATTTTGTTCCACAGGAAGTATGTTTTACCACTGGATCAAGACACTTCTGTGTACTGTAAAAAACCATGTTTTAAGTGATGTAAGCTTACAATAAACAGCATAAGTAAAAAGGAACACCATTTTCTTTTCCACATATCTTTTTTAACCCTGCCAAGGTTTCCTCAGTGCAACACTTTTTTCTCTAAATTTTTGAGCTCTGGCTTAAAGTTCATATTAGTTTAGGAAGGGACAGGGGAAACATAAATGAGCAGAAATTAATTTGGGACACCCATAATGGAGCTATCAGCATAGACTATAATTAATACAGATGATTATGTAGACAAAGTTATGATCTGCAGTTTGTATAAGCTCCTGTGGGGACTGTCTCATTCTCTAGGTTTATTAAGCTTGAGAAATCTCTTCTATCTCAAAGGGGCACAGAAGGATTATCATTTAAAATATTTTTAAGGTGAAATAATATTAAGATTTACAACAGTGTAGCTCAAATAACATTTAAGATTCCCCTAATTATATCATACTGTCCTTAACAGAAAGCTTAGGAACCTACAGGAAGAACTGTTGAATGGATGAAGAGACCTTGCCAGGGTGAGAGCAACAAATTCAGTTCCTGTATTCTCCATGCTGCTTCTTTTTCCCTTGTGGCAATGCTCCAAGGGTAAAGGGAGACTTGATGTTTTGCCTATCCCTTTCAGCCTCCTCATCCTCATCATATCTTTCATCCTCATCTTCACCTTCGCTCTGGTGAGGGCTGGAATGCTGAGAGGCAGAAGGTGACGGTGGCACTGATGAAGGCCTAGGATACCTGAAACCTTCCGTCTGGCAGAGAGAGAAGCATGTTGTATGTATTATCACAGTGTTCCTCAATTAGTTGTATACAGCAGTTTAAGAATATTAGCACTTCAAAGGAAACCAATGGTGGGATGTAAGTTAGACCTGCTCTGCCTTCTAAAATTAAACTCCCTTGACCCTACATCCCCTCAGTCCTTCTCTGCTTGTATGGCAATGATCTTTAGCCTGTGGCATAAATAACATGCTGCCCTTCTAGCACTCCTTTTTGCAAAATATGACTACCTTGACTGATCCTAAAAATTGTCAATGCAGTATGAAATCCTCTGATACCCCATAGTTAGAATATGCTTATCGAAATTCAGAATTCCGTCAAGTTTTAAAACTGTTTTCTAGTTATAATGCCAATATCTGCAAAACCAGAGACAAGAAAGGGTTGGTTTGAGCTTCCTTTGTCCTTCTTGTTTAAAAACAAATGTGTTGCTCTCCAGAGGCGCTGGGGATTTGGTGTCAGATAATATTGTTCTTATATTAGATCTGAGCAGCCTCCCTTCTCACTTCAGTGATCATATGCACTATGCAAGAACACCTTTAAACTGACCCCTTGCAGTTCCAACCATAGCTTCCTCCTCACAGACCATGCTTAGATGCTTTCTTTACCTCGCTTTTCCTAGAGCATCCTTTCCCAGCTCCTCTTCTGCTTGGTTTGTGCAGAACATCTCTGTGACATTTATCAGAAGCAAAATTAGAAGCTGCCACTCTTTAATAAAAATTTCAAAGGCCAGTTCCTCAGCTG